AGACCGGAAGAAACGGGAGAAATCATTGATCAAGAACGGACTTCCTATCCCAGGCAAGGATTTCGAACTTCCTGATCCTAATGCTGAACCGCCTAGAGAGCCTGAGCCTGAGCCAGTACCTGAACCTATTCAAGAAGAGCCGGCGCCACCTCCAGCCCCAGAATTGGAGCCAGAACCAGAGCCAGAACCGACTTGGGAGCCAGAGCCAGAGCCTGCGCCCGAGCCAGTCCCTGAAGTGGTCACAGAACAGACTTATGAAGAGGAAAGCTGGGGAATATGGAATGCTTCGAAGGAGAAGAAGAAGAAGAAGAGCAAGATCGCTGCTGAGCCTCCACCGCCCGCACCAACACCTCCATCTTTGGGATGGTCTGCCGAGCCAGAGGGGTATGTACCTACTGACCAAGTCCCCGACCAGCCTCTCTGGGATGACTACGACAGCAAACCTTCTAAGAGTAACAAGAAGGGTTACAAGGAGGAAGAGACACCTAAGAGTGGCATGGGTTGGTGGGCCACCATCGGTGCTGCAACTATGGGCAAATCCAAGACGACGAAGAAAAAGTCATCAGAGAAGACCAGAGCCATAGAAGCAGCACCAGAGCCCGAGCTCGAACCCGAACCTGTACCAAGTCATCCTGCAGAGGATGACTTACTCATTGACGTTGACGATTCAAAGATGCCCGAGGCGCCCGAAGCGCCAATCCCGCCAGTTGTCGACGAACCACCCGCGCCAGCCGCGCCGCCAGCGAAGTCTCCTGTTGTCACCTCGAAGACCAAGTCATCAGCCAAATTGTCCGTCTCAGAGCGAATCAAAACTTTGGAGAAAGCAAAGAAGGGGAAGTCAAAGGACAAGGTAGCCAAGGAAGAGCCTGCCCCACCCCCAGAAGAACCTCCTGCTCCCCCGCAACCCGAGCCTGTCGAATTCTTTGACCCCGAACCGGTTCAATTTAAAAAGCCCTCTAGGGATTTGGTCCCGGGCAGTTTCCCAGACGCATTTGACGACGAGGACTTTTACGATATTCCCCCTCCACCTGCCCCAGAGCCGCCTGCCCCAGAGCCGGAACTTCAGTTTGAGCCAGAACCTGAGCCTCAGCAGCCGGAGCCGGAGCCGGAGCCTGAGCCGGTGCCCTTATCGAAGAAATTAAAGAAGAAGGAGAAAAAGAAGGCAAAGACTACTGTACTCGAACCTGTGCCAGAACCGGTACCTGAACCAGTTCCTGAGCCTGTGCTTGAACCACCGGCTCCTGAGCCCGTGCCTGAGCCGGTCCCTGAGCCTGTTGCAGAACCAGAGCCAGAACCTCAGCCCGAGCCGGAGCCCGAGCCAGTCCCCGCACCTGTTCCCATCTCGAAAACTGAAAAGAAAAAGAAAAAGAAGAAGGTTGTTGAGCCAGAACCGATTCCTGAGCCGGTGCAGGAACCGGAGCCAGCTCCTGAACCTGAGCCCGAGCCAGTAGCTGAACCCGAACCCGAGTTTGTCCCAGCTCCTGCTCCAGAGCCTCCGATCGAGCAAACACGGGAAATAGAGCCGGTGGTCGACGAAGCACCTGCTCCCAAGCTTGAAAAGCCGAAGAAAAAGAGCAAGAAGGTATCCAGTCTAGAAAAGACAGCCCCGGTCGTGGAACCAGCCCCTGCCGATGTTGAGACTGCAGAAGGAGCTGCAGAAATCGATGTAGGCGCGGGTGGCCCTCCTACGCCTCCACCAGAGCCTGCTGAGCCGGAACAGGATAAGCCGGCCAGGAAGGAGCGTGTTCGTGTTGAGCGCACTCCCGGTTCGGCATCCTGGGGATTTTGGGGTGCCACGCCCCAAAAGCAGCCCAGCACTAGGGAGCATAGGCGTAGAAGGGAAAGGGAGCGTGAACGTGAACAGTCACCCCCGCCTATGGTCAGGTCGAGATCGACCAGGCAACCAAAGTCTAGGGATCTTGAGAACGAGGCAGAGAAGTCTACCTCTGACAAGGATAAGCGCAATAGCCGAGGTATGACTCTCGCTGATTTTGTCCTGGGCACGCCGCCACCGCCTAGTAGGACAAAGTCCAGTCGAAGACACGGAACACACGCATCCAGGGCTACTTCGAGACGTCCATCCGTGGGCATGGAGGACGCTGGGTTCCCCAGTCCTCCACCCGACGATAGCCGGGATATGCCGGATAAGGCTGCCAGGATGATGGGTGTGCACGGCTCCTCTCGGAGAGAAAGAGACAGACGTCATGAATCTCGTAGAAGATCTCGTATGTACTCTCTTGAAACTTCCTGTGCCGCTGCTAACAGCTTTCTTAGGCGCTCCTGATCCGTATGCGGTCGAAGACGACGACATCGTCATGGTAGACCGGGACGACATTGATGCCCCGAAGGAGGGCTCAAGGGGATCGAGGCACTCCGACAGACGTTCGAGGAGAAAGGTAAGCGAGGATTTTAGTGATATCATCCGGGAATTATTTCCATGATGCTAACTTTGTTCTTAGTCTCGGTCCAGGCAAGAAGAGCATTATGATGATGCTGAAGTGTTCTCGGGACCGGAAGATATCGCTTTCGTGGAAGCACCAAGAGAGCGACGCGTGAGACGGTCAAGTACTGCTCCCAAGAAACCAGAGGCCACTGGTCTCATGGGCTTCATCGGCTCTTTGCGGAAAACCGCTCGTCCGGACCCTCCGGAGCGCCGAAAGTCCCGGTCTCATCGTGATGAAGATGCCCGGTACATGACAGAGCCAGAGCGAGAGGAACGGCGTGCAAGGCGCGAAGCTCGCAGGAGACGTGCCGAACAAGAGGCTGAGCTGGACGGCTTTGTTACTGAAGGCGGTCCAGTAGGTGGGTTCCCGGAAACCGACATGGACGAAGTTGAAGCTAGACGGGCAGCCCGTCGAGCAAAACGATCCTCTCGACAGGCGCCATCTGACCAGCTTCGTGAGAGCGAGTGGCGCGAAGCCGAAGAAAGACGTGCTCGACGGAAGGAAAGAGAGAGAGCCCGTGAGCGAGAGATGCAGGAGAGAATGCTCCGAGAGGAGGAAGAGAGGGAAGCAAGGCGCCAGGAAGAACGAAGGCTTCGTAGAGCAGCTCGTGAAGAACGCCGTGCTCGAGAAGAGGCGGAAGCCCGCGAGGCAGAAGAGCAGGCCGAAGCCAAAGCCAGAGCAGCAGAACGGCGCGAACGCAGACGGCGGAGGGAGGCAGAGATGCAAGAAGCCGCCGCGTACGAGCCCCGGTCCAAACGTCGATCCTCTCGTCACCCTGTCGATGACAGAGCTGCCCGAGACTTCTATCTCGGCGGCTATGACGGCGAGAGGGCTTATCGTCCGGAACGGTCTACAGAAGAGGGGGTGAGGCCCAAACGTCGGAAGTCCAGGGCTCCAGAACCGGAGCGTGGACCACCGATGATGTCCGGAGGACGCAAGGATAAAACTTCGTCCTGGGTGCATTCGCAAGCGAGCGACCCGCCTGAACCACCACCAGTCGTGGCCACCGTGGTGGACATGCCGCCTGGTCCAGGTGAGCCGGCTCAGGCGAACTCGGTCTCCTCGGACGAGGAGGCACGACGTGAGCTGCGGCGTCGGGCCCGACGACGAGCCAGATATCCCGGCCTGACGGATCAGGAAATCGACGAGTTGCGGGCGCGAAAGCGCGAGGCTAGACGGTCTGAGCGTAGTTCAGGCAGCGCTGATTACGAACGGGTCCGAAGCATGAGGTCGTACGACGATCGTTATGCACCGCCAGTCAATGGGCCCAGGATGCCGAATTGGTTCAAGAGACTGACCAATATGGGTTGAGCTGGTGGCTTGGAGTACCGATGTGAGGATGTTTCTTTTTCTTTACGAACGGAATGATGAACGACATGAAGCGATGTTTGCCATTGAAGGAATATATGATTTGGCTATGATGTACGATTAACTAACTGAGAATGGACTCCGCTTCGAAGGATATACCAGAGTGATGAATTTCGATGACTTTATCACATATACTCTTTACACTGTAGCTAGCTGTACACCTCCCCCCTATTAAGATGACATCTCCTTCTCCTTCCGTCTATTCTCCAAAAACCCTCTCCCACCCTCATACACACAAAGATACACCCCAAACGAAATAGCCGTCCACACAGACCGTATCGCCCCTCCCTTGAAGAGCCCTCTAACCCCTTCCTCTCTATACACCTTCTTTCCCACAGCCCACACACTTGCCCCTCCCTTCTTCTTCTCATCCCCATCCCCACTCCCATTAGTAGTAGAACTACCAGCCCCCAACATCATCCTCGTCTTAACCACATCCACCGGCGTCGTCACAACAGACGAAACCGTCCCCGCCACAGCCGCAGAAACCCCCGTAATAAGAGCCCTCTGCACAACCCCAAACTGTCCCAGCACATCCCCATCCCCATTCCCTCCTCCTCCTCCATCCCTCCGACGAAGTAAATACCCCGACAAATGCCCCCTCAGATACTCAAACACCGGAAAGTTCAACCCCGTGAAAGGGAGATTCCGTCCCAAGAGAGCAGTGTATCCGCTCCAGAGGGAAGTTGGCCGATGGCGGAATTTGCGAAGCGTGAGGAGGGTTATGTTTGTTGTTCTACTTGGTGGGTTTTTGGTTGGGTCATTGGGGCTGGGTTGGGGGTTGGGGTTAGTATAGACCTGTGCATTCTGCTTTATTACCTCCGCGGGGGTAAGGATGAAGCAGGAGACGGATTCGGCGGTGCAGGAGGAGAGGGAGTGGATTATTGGTACGGGGAGGAGGGATTGTGTGGTGGGGTTGGTGGTGAGGGTGTGTTTTAGGCCTTCGTAGGTTGTGAAGAATGCTCCTGCTATTTTGTTTATGTCAATGTCAAGGATACTATTCAATATGGATGAGTTTGGGGTGTATGTTGGGTCTGGGGACATACAAGCAGGTAATGTAGCGAGAATGACGCTCCCTACGCCCTGATATAGTCCCCGGAAGAGAAGTTTACGGTTAATTGCCCCTGTCGTAGCATCCTTGTATATTCTATTGTAATTGGGAGATTGGATGCGGGTTTTGAGCGTGTCGATGGGGTAGACGAGGAAGTCGACTATTAGGACGGCGAAGGCGCCGGACTGTGCTTCTCTTTTAGTTTCTTTTTGTATTTCTTATGTGAATTGCAGGGGCTTACCAGCCAGATGTCGGTCTTGGTATTGTACATGATGCATCATCTATTGAAGCCAGAAATTGAGTCTATGTATGTCCATGGTAGTGAGGCATGATCTTATCTAGTAGTTTAGTTATCTTTCTCGTTATCGATGAGGTCATCACCACGTGCCAGGAGCAGGCTTTGCCCTAAGCCGGAATTAGGGCTGGATCAGCTTCTCTTTAATGAATACAATAGTAGTAAAGAGCAGCGGCAGCAGCAGCAACAGCAGGACAGTCAAGTAAGGAGGTATGGTATCAAGTCATGCCCGTTCTAATTCTCATGGAAGAAGCAAACAGGAGTCATATTAACAGCCCGTCAGATACAGAATTTTCCCTCCCTACGCCGTAAGGTCATGCAATTCCAAGAACTAATCATCATCGCCCGCCTTTCCTATTTTCCGTTCCATTCCTCCTCACCATCTATTTGGCCGTCTCACCCGGAAGCAGGTTGCCCTTGACGGCAAACATCTTACCCGTCGTCGCAGACACGAAGCTGTCGACCTGGCGAGCGTACTGCTCAACCTGGCGGCTGTTGAGCATGCTGTCCAGGCGGCTGGGCTCCTGGGGCAGCTTGAACAGCCGCTGCCACTCGTCCTCGGGGAGCAGGGGCTGCTTGAGAGCCGCGCGGCTGGCGTTCTCGGTCTTGCGCTTGTTCTGCCACGCGGTGATCTTGGCCTGCTCACGGGCGAGCGACCGCTGGTAGTACTGGAAGTTGTTGGTCTCGGTGTGGTGCACCTCGATGCTGTCAAGCAGAAGGTCGCAGTTCTTCTCCAGGAACGGGTCGATGCTGAGGGAGAGGTTGTCGAAGTTGGGTGCCAGCACGGACGACTTGGCGTACTGAGACGACTCCAACGCGGCCAGGGACGGGGGGAGATCGGAGGGAGTCGCCTGAGTGGGAGTCTGGAGCTGGTGAATGAAGGAGGTGATCAGGTGAGAGTTGTGGATTTCAACGGGGAGCTCGACCAGGATGTCCTGGTACCTGAGGTTGGACTTTTGGAGCCTGCCAAAAACAACCAATTAGCATGCGTCTATCATCCCTCCGGGGCAATAGTATTATGAACGTACTCCTCGGAAGTGAACTTGTTCTCCTTGAAAGCCGCCATGAACTTAGGAGACAGGCGGAAAGCGCGCAGGCTCAGGCTTCCCTGTGCGCTGCGGCTGACGTCGTGCACCAGAGCGACCGTGCGCTCGTTCATCTCCTTCTGGTAAAAGAACTGGTTCTCGATCACGTTCATGTTGATGAAGTTGCCCATGTTGGCGCTAGTGTACCAACCAACGTTGTTGGCGTCAACGTTAACCTCGCGCATCATACGGACCATCTCAGCCTCGTAGGCGGCGTTGGCCTTCGCGCGGGGGGCAGCAGCAGCCGGGTTGGGAGCGGTATTGTCAAAGTGCGATTCGGCGGGCACCTCAACGACGGGGAAAGGGAAACTGTTGGTGATCTCCAGGGTACCGTCGACATCCATACCGACGATCGAACCGGTCGCAGTCGTCGGGAAGGCCTGAGAGCCGTGCTTGATGATCTTCATCACCACCTATATGCCACGCTGTAAGTATCGTCGCCGGCCGTGAAAAAGGCGGGTGGGGGGGAGATTTTCATGGTGTGCATACCAAGGCCTCGACCTTGACGGCCGTGAGAGGGACTTCTTTCCTATAGCGAGCATTAGCATGCGGACCCCTAGATGAGACTGATAGGGCCAGGAAGACTTACTCCGCCATGTTGAATATGTGCCTGGGAATTGCTATACAGACAGCGACAATGAGATGGCAGTCGGCGGCGAGGTTTGTGTGGATGGAATTCAGCATTTCCCACCGCCTAGCCCCCAACACGGCTAGCGTGCCAAGCCCCATACGAGCCGCCGGTCCGCTTGCCTTTTTGGGCTCTTTCAATCACTCTTGCATAACTTTACACTCAAAAGCATCGTTTCTGCCAGATGATATCTATTTCACTAAAATCCATGCCCTCATGAGGTTATATACTTCCAATTGGGAGCAACTATGCTGAAAAGATTCCACGTAATGATGCCGTATCCGGGTTCTGGGGAACACTAACAATGACCTTATCTACGGAGTTACATCCGCAATTTCCAAGCCAACTAACGCTACGACTGACCCCTCACTAACCCAGCACCTCTACGTTGGACAATCAAGCACCTCTCTTCCATAGCCAAGAGCACTTCATCTCGTATCACAGAGCAAATAATTGCAGCAATGGGCCAAAAATACCCCTCCTCCAAACCCATAACACTTCTGCCCTCCCTCGAAACCTTCCCCTACGGCACCGATCACGTCCTTCAAACTGTCACAGTGGCCACCCTCAACAACGACAATAATGAAGGCTATTGGGTGATGTAGATCCCTCCCATTTGCCCCTCGTCTACATCCGTACACAAATTGACCGATAAACTCACAGTCTAATCCACGGCGGCGCCTGGCGCGACCCAACCCAAACAGCCTTGAACTACCTAAACCCAGCCCTGGACACTCTTACCACCGGCGACACCACAACCCTCTCCCACCTCAAAGGCATCGCCTCAATCTCCTACCGTCTCAGCCCACACCCATCCCACCCCCAAGACCCCCAAACCACAGAGCCCACACATTTCCGCGCCGCAAAGCACCCAGATCACATCTCCGATGTCCAGTCCGCGCTGTCCTTCCTGCAAGGGAAATACAATATTGGGAGTAATTACATCCTGGTAGGGCATAGCTGTGGTGCTACGCTGGCATTTCAATCTGTTATGGGGAGGTTCCGGGCTCAGTTGAAGGAAGTGATGCCTCCGGCAGGGATTGTGGGAATGGCGGGAATTTATGACCTTCGGTTGTTGAGGGATACACATCGGAGTGTTAGTGCGTATCAGGATTTCATTGAGGGAGCGTTTGGGAGTGATGAGGGGGTTTGGGATGACGTGTCGCCTGCTTTGGGAAGGGGTGGGGAGGGAGTAAGTGATGGGTGGCGTAATATTGGGGATGGAGAGGGTGAGGAGAAGAGATTGGTTGCGGTGTTGGCGTATTCCGGGGGTGATAGTCTCGTGGATCCTACGCAGAGGGAGGCGATGAAGAAGCATCTGGAGGAGGAGTGGGTGGGTGGAAGTGGGAGAGGGGAGAAGGTGGTGGAGATGTTGGATATTAAAGGGGAGCATGATGATGCGTGGGAGAAGGGAGAGGAGTTGGCGAGGGCGATTGCGTTCGCGGTTGAGAAAGTGAGAGGTGAGTAGTTAGACTAATTGAAGTAGTGTGCGGGCAGAGTACGTAGAAGTAATGGATGGATGAATGACGAGCATGCAGTTCATTATGAGCCCTCTGTCTCGGTTCCAGACGGAAACTAAGGTATTCTACATATGAGCCGCACTCGCCATGTCTGAGTGATCTTGAGGTCGGGAATAAAAACCCGAGGAATAAACTAGTACACATTAGAAGCAGAGGAAAACAGACCCGCCATCTTCAAAACTTCCAACGCCCACCAGTGTTCGTGATCATTATTGCAGTGCACATGAAGTAATGAAATTGTAAGAACCCGTCATACGCCCGGGATTTCAGGAGCCGTTAGTCGGAAGACGTTTGTAAAGAGAAAAGAAAAGCATTATCAGAACCGGAGAAAAACGACTCAGACGCGCATTTAAATGCAAGTTCATGATGTTGCGCCCATGCCAGGTGGATATGGTAGGAAAATGAGGTAACTCCGATGAAGCAGAATATCATGCAGGGAGCGTCAATCAGTTGCAAAGATCCATACGGCCAGAGGCGGCATCGCCGGCGACTCTCTCTTCTTTGGTCTCAGAAATAGGTTCGTCGTCGTCATCTAGCTCTTCCTCCTCACTGTCATCTTCGATGTATTTGGCTTCCACACCGGCTTCGCGAAGGGACGCCTTCGTCTCCTCCCGGAAGATATCCTGCCAGCGCGCAAGGGCCGCCATGGCGTGCACCTTGAAACCGAAGACGCGGGGCTCATAGCGGCGAATGCTCTTCTCGGGAAGCAAAGCAGGATACACCTGGAAGAGCATGCTATGGAACGACGTGCCGAAGTAAGCGCCGTCGATGGAAGCATGACGGGATGACTTGGGGTTGTAGATGTCCTCGCACTTGGGGCAGTACAGGCGAACAGTGCTCTGGTTGGCAACGTCGTGCTGGCCCATAGGCAGGAGGGGGTGTCCGTCACACATGACACGGGGGCATTTGCCGAAATCGCAGCGCTTGTACTTCTCGACCTAGATTGCCTGTCAGAAATCCCTTCACATACCATTCACAAACCCCCTAGTGTAAGACGTACCATCTTGGCAAGACCGCGGGTTGTGACAATGTATCTGGCATGGACCAGACCATAGAGGTGACGCGCCGACTTTTCGATTTGCTCGCGCAGGTCGTCGTCCGCGTCGAGGTCAAACACGTCCGTCACAAGGTCCAAGGCATACTGATAGTAAGCGACCTCGGTGTTCAGGCCAGTGAGGTTGAAGCGATCGGTCAAGTAATCTTCGTCGATCTCGCAGAAGTATTCGTTTCCACGAGAGGAGATGAACTGATGAATATAGTCAGTATGTTTCTGCGGCAGTATCACGCCGTATGAAAAACTAGACGAAGAGCGCATATGTACTTCCGGCCGGGGACGAGGTCGAGCTTCGATGGAAGGGCGTAGCGTAGCAAGTGACGAGCCTGACTCCTCACTAGCAAAACTAGTAGGTAAAGCCATCATTGCTTAGAAGTGAGGGAGCAGAAGCAGGTGCGCAGTTGAAATCCGAGAAGCTGAGCAAAAGCATTGCAGCAGAGAAGAATTCAACGCATGAGACCGTGTTATTCTGACTCCTGATCTCTCACCAGCCGCAACGACATCGTTGAAAGCAGGCGCGCAGCCACGCATCTCCCTTCACTTGCAAAGCCGCCGTCGTCCCTGTCCAGCACAGAAACTCACGTAGGGATTGGTAGACTCACCCAATCTCTCCAGTAGCTAGTGTAGTCACTGTCGGTTTCGCTGTTGAAGTCCTCCATGGTTGCTTCCCACTAGTAGACTCCACCGAGGAGAATGTAATTAAGAAAGACTAGTATTCGTGCTTGGCCTGTAGCAGTTGCTGAGAGAGCCGGTCGGACAACTCCAGTGCAGGAGAGCCCCCAGAACTGTACAGTTGAAACAATCCTCTTTAAAACATCCAATAGACACGTCTCCGGAAGAAAAGCAGATGCGGTGTTCACGGGCGATAATGAGGGTGGTTTAGCCTTGGGAGATGCAGTGTGTGTTTCTTCTCCATCCAGCCGGACTGTTATCAGTGGATCGCCTTCTTCCAGTTTAGCGCGGGGTTGGCGGTGAGATTCTTCATGGTGCAGTTCACCGCCCTGCATGCTTTCACTACAGCGTTTGTGACTACTCATGCTGTGCTTCACCAGAGGACAACTACTAAGATAAAATGTCTGCACTCATGGAAAAGATTTAAGGAAACAGCTTTAGATTTGCATTCTCATTGGGATCCTGCCCACTTGTTCCAACGATCTACTGCATCACTTCCCCTATACCACCCTGAAGATCTACTTCCAACATTCAGTATATCCATCTACTAAGTGATCGGCTCAAAGGGAAGGATTGGCGTTGGTCAAAAGTTGCTCAAAGTATGCCTAGAACATAGTGTTAGCATGCTACCTTCAACAAGTCTTCAGCCAACACCCACCTGGAACCAGGTTCCGGCCTCCGGAGCAGGCTGCAAGGCATCGCTATATCCGCAATGCGCGTCGTAGCGAGAAGAGCTGGTATCCGATGTCCCGTCGCTCTCTCCGCCCGGCTTGACCCAGACAAAGGCATCAGCCAGCTCGTCTCCAGTATCGGTCGTCGGTTGAGCACCGAAGCCGGTATCCTTGACATTGCACCAGTCACCCCACGCGCTCTGACCGGTGGGTTGCTTCCCATTGCGACCTAATGCCGTGAGTCACATTGAACATGTCGCTATGTATAACTTTTAGTATCACTCACCCGTATCGGTAATGAAGTGGGCATCAAACCCAGCACTAGACAGCTCCGGCGCAATGGCATTGATGTAGCTTTTCTCATCACAGACATCGTTGCCCGATGTATAAGAGGGGCAAGAGTCGATGCTCCAGGCATTGAAGTTAGCTACATTGGTGGCGAGGCCGCGAACAGCAGCTGGGGACGACGCATTCTTATACACCGATGCGTAGAGTTGCGCCGCGGGACCGATGTTGGCAGGCCATCCCAGCCATCCCGCATGGCCTGCGGGCATTATTAGCGATGCTCAGTATCCTCAATGGACAAGACGTACCAGCATCAAGATACATAGCCACGTTCGGCAGATTCAGTTGCTCAAGGGCATAGTTGGTGCATTCCAGGTAAGCGGATTCAGCATTAGCGCATTTAGCCACATCGAGATTCGTCACCAGGTTAGCCAAGCTATCGGGTTCTGTAAGGACCAGTCAGTATCCTATTCCAGCTCAATGTCTGACCCATCAGTCAAAGCAAGCATACCAATAATCAGAATAGTCTGAACATCCGAGTACGTCTCGACCTGCTCCCGAATAGAATCAATGTACGCCTTGTACTTCTCCACACCACCATCACTGATCGAGTATTCCCCATTACTAGCCAAGGCAGAACAATCCCGATCTGGTAGGTCATAGACAACGAAGATACCAGCAATTGGGGGGCTCGCTCCAGCAGCATTTTGTGTCTGGATGTCTTCCAGATATTCACCCATTGTAGGTACCTTGTCGGCCGTGTCCCTGAAAATCGAGTATCATAACATCAGCCTAAGCACGTAAAGTTCTTCTGTATGGATACTCACAGCCAGTAGAACGAAGGCACATCTGCAGCAGCACTCGCCTGCGCGACCAGTGAACTAGCAGACAATGATGGAATGGCCGAACTCTCCACTTGTGACTTATAGTAGGGGTTCGCATAGAGCTGGTATCCCTCAAAGGGATTGCCCGTAGCAGAGGCCGTTGGCGCCGGAGAGCTCGATGCAGCAACGGACGCTGAAGCAGTTGCGCTTGCGGCGGGGAGGGCCTTGACGGCAGAGAAAAGAGAAACGAGGGGCCAGATGGCTCGCATGTTGGTGGAGTGCATGACTATGAGATAGCCTGGTACTGAGCGAACTAAGTGAGTTTGTGTTTTGGCTCTTACGACTGATAATGAAGTCGTATTGAATACCAGCCCATTTTATATGAAATCCATTTCCATAGACGCGTTTATCCATTACCGGAACCAACAAGGAGTGACAAAGTAAATCCGGCTAAACATTTTCATCCGTAACAGGCCAAGACGCCTGAATAAATGGACTAATTGATCATGGCAGGGACATTGTCGTGATGAGGGTAACTGTTCCGTGACTCAAGACGGACCCTCCGTAGCCGAAAGGGATCTGGTCCGGTCGATCTTCATCTCTACAGGGCTATGTCCGCTCCTCTAACGAATCTACGGATAAATTGTTTATATTGAGGGCGGTTTCAGGTGCATTAGTTCAGGGTCCTGCATAATGTTGAGGGGAGTAGGCACGGGAAAATTTCAATGCCATTCCCTCACGAAAGGAAGGTCCTTGACTAAGTTCGGTTGCATTTGGCATCAAATTGGCTTAATCAAAGATATAGCTATCCGGTCTAACGGTCCGAATCTCCATTAGAACGGTGAGGCAATCCATTGTAGGAAGATTGGTCATATTTTCAGGAAAGTCCAAGGAAAAAAGATCAAAATTAGTTGAACTAATTCTCTCCTAAATACGAAGTAATGATTGTTGGGATATATGTAGGCCTCTTCAACAGAAAGCTATTGATCAATCTTTTTTTATCATTTTCGTTTGTTGTCATCATCAGGCACTTTGTGTTGAGAATAATGGATTATATGCTTCAAATAGAATCACAACAATAGGAAATAAATGACTGTCAAAGTCGGTATGTTCAAGTGTAGCGGGCTAGAAAGCCTGCCCATAATGTCGCGAAGCAAGATCACACTCTGCTATAAATTTGCGTATTCCATCCGATCCGTCGTACTCGGAGGCACTCTCAGGTACACCAATGCTTGCGACTTCAGCAAAGAAGGCGCGATCGCCAAGTTCGCTGACATTGATGCTGGAATATCCTGATGGAGAAGACATCCAAGGGTTCTCACCAAACATAGCAACATCCTCAAAACTGAGCTGATTGAAGGGCTGCTTGTAGGGTTCGGGAGATGCTTCAGACACATCCTCTGGGGACATCATGGCATGCCAGTCAACCTCCTCAGGAGTCTGTGACTTCAGGGTCCCAGAGCGATAGAAGTACTCATTTACGTCAGGAGAAGCCGGGACACTAGGGGCAAAGGGAAACAAGAGAGCGAGGTCGGCACCTGTACGAATGTCGAAGTCCTCATCCTGCACTATCTTGCCCCTCTTGACCCCAGCCTCGTCACAGAGACGTTCAACAGTACTAGCATCGCAACCAGGGAACCGCACTCTAATCGTCGATTGATCATGTAAAAGAATAGGCAGGTCACCCAGTGTAGATAGCCTCTTCAGGTCATTGAGCACAGCAGCGAGATCCTTGAGGGCACGGGCAAAGTCCACGGACAAGAAATCGAGGAGACCGTCCGAGTTGATGGTCTGGGCATCCCCAGCGCCAGTCGCCACCAGGTTCTTCTGCAGGCCGAAAGCGGTGATTGTGGGGGAAATCTGGAAGTCGACAAAGGAGCCGGGAGCTGTGCGAGGAATTGCAGCCATCTTGCGCTCAGCCTCATCTTGAAGCTTGCTCACAGCTTTGAACCGCTTGTTGCCGGTGATTGGATCAATCCCATCAAACCGAGCCTTCTGTCCTGAGAGGAAGAACGCCCGGACACCGACAGAGACATTATTGATGACCTGGGCAGGGGCAGCTGCGCCATGGGAAAAGTATCGTGCCCCACCGATACGGCCGGCGCCAATTGCATAGCCACCCGCTGTGCGACCCAGGGTGCCGCCCGTCAGGTTCGGACGAAGGGTTGAGGCGAAAGGAGCATGTTTGGTCAAGCGACTGACATTAGTTGCGACGCGAGATGTCTTGTAGGCAGTACGGTCGCCCTGGAGGCCACTGCGAATGTAGGAGATGAAGGAGCTTGCTGCCCGGGTGGAATAGTAGTGGCGACCACGAGCTTGACGGATAGCAGCGGCCCGATTGATAGGGTGTCTGTTGACTACACGCACATACTCAGGCTGAAGGCGGAGTGAGCTTTGTTGGAATTGCTCTGGGAACCTAGACTTGATAGTCTTATAGGCCTTCTCGTAGGCAGACCTGCAGGCCGTTAGCGGAATGAAGTATATCCGAGTGGCGAATGACTCACCTGGCTGCTCTCCAGAACTTGGGGAGCAGCAGGTGCCCGTTAGAAGGCGGCATCCTGACTGCAATCGAATGGAAGAACTTATAGATGTTTCTCAGATGGAATAACCATCCTAGGATGATGGTAGATGGAAGAGAGATAAGGGGATGACGGAGGGACCTGGCCTGATGACGGAGCAGCCCGGGGTGGCGGTGCGGCATGTGATCCAGCGCCACGTGCTCCTCACGTAATTTTGGACCATTTTAGTCACGATGGCAATTCTTGACCATCAACTATATGTAAACCACCGGGACCAGGCCGATCATAAGACTACTTTAACTTTTATATGCGAAAAGATGTCAAGGGAACGTCGCTTTATCGGTAGAAAAATATGCGACTAGATCACAAAGATCCAGCTGTATGTGGTCTGATCTGCCTTAAATGACATGTTATATGTTTGTGCTCAAAGTTACTTGCAGAAGGGCATTTAAGCATATGTACATTTTATTTTGCTTTCTATAGCTCTATTTCACATGGATATCATCATAGTCTCGTAGATAATAATTTACTCGTCATCACCGAAGAAAACCTTGACCGGGAGCCAGTCATCACCGCAGACCTTGAAGCGGTCCTTGAGGTTGTCTAGCTGCTCGATCTCCTCGGCGGTCAACTCCCAACCATCAAGCTCGAAGTTGGCATCGATGCGAGACTTGCTGACCGACTTGGGGATAACACTCCAGCCCTTCTGCACACCCCACAGGAGAAGAACCTGCTGGGGAGTCTTGCCCTTCTTCTCAGCCAGCTTGAGGAGGGTCTCATCCTTGTAGAGGGGAGAGTTGGTGGAGCCAAGGCAAGAGTAGCCAGTAGAGTGGATGCCCTTGGAGGTGTTGTAGGCAACCAGCTTAGGGGAGGGGTTGTTGGGGTGCAGTTCGATCTGGTTGACAGCAGGGACGATCTTGCAGCTGGGGTCGTTGAGGAGCTTCTCGAGGTTCTTGATGCCGAAGTTGGAGACACCAATGTTACGAACCTTGCCGGTGGCAGGAAGCTTCTGCATCTCTTGCCTGAACGGGGTCAGCAACAATCTAAATACTGTAATCGAGAGGGACTGTACCAAGTCTTAATGAAGTCCCAGTCGGGGAGGTGCTTCTTCAGGTCGTTGGGGTCAGTGCTGCTGGGCCAGTGGACAAGGTAGAGATCGACATAGTCGAGGCCAAGGTCCTTCAAAGAGGAGTCAATGCCCTCAGCGACACGGTGGTGCCAGGGGTTGTCAAGCTTGGTGGTAACCCAGATCTCCTCGCGAGGGACACCAGAGTCCTTGATACCCTGTCCAACCTCGGCTTCGTTGCCGTAGGCAAGGGCACTGATTGTGAAATGGTTAGGTTGGATTCCTCTAGATTGTCCGGTAATTGGTGGCTGCTTCTAACTTACGTGTCGATGTGACGGTATCCCTTCAGGAGAGCATTCTTGACGGCCTCTCTGACCTCGTTGGGCTTAGATTGCCAGGTACCAAGACCAACGGCGGGGATCTTGTCACCGGTGTTGAGGGTGTAGACCTTCCTAAGGAGCGGAGAATGATTGTTAGTTTCCAACAATCTCCCATGTGCTTCACATTCGATGTACTTTTAACTGACGTCCAGTTAGAGAGAGGAATAGCTTACTTGGTGTGCTCGAGGTTCGACATATTATGCGATTGATCGGTGATTCTGAGGGGTATGGGAAGAAGAATTGTAAGGTAATAAGTGGCGGATCAAGAAAATGAAGAATTGAACAGCCTGGGTGAAGGTGGGCTTTATAGCAAGGTGGATGCAAGCTCCGAGGGCGGACCGGACGAGAGAGGAGGCAGGTCCATCCAGCACACCATGAGCGGGACGATGACGATGGGAGGGGCACGACCTGCCCCTCCTAGAGATAGTGGGGAGCATCAGAGGCATCGCCGGCCAGTGATCACTCAGGCATTCTTTTAGCGGACGGACCCAAGGGTCGGGTCTCCTGCATTGGAGCGTCAAATTCAGCCAACGATAACTACGGATTCAGTCATTTCCGATCTGCAACTTGGGGCTCCTGTTTTGCCGTTATCAACGGAGTTACCACCGAGCCCGAACGGGGATGAAGCCTTGACACCGGTCAGTTGCGCTTAAACGAGGTTGTCCGGCTGCTGTCTATCACTTCAGTGGGTAGAGGTACAGATCAATGAGTTGATAGCAGTTTAAATTATCGGAGAAGATCATAAAAGAGCATCATATTGCCAATTGAATCATATCGTGGAATTGCTACTGTCCAGGCAATCGAGACATCGAATTACCGTGGCTCATTGTGCCGATAATTATCGAGAGTAATACACTGAAGACGCCGGATGGCAAAAGCTAGGTCGCGCAAGATGAAAGCCGACCCAATTACTCTGTACAGTAGTAGTCTTGTAGAGGATAATATGAACTGTCTTTTAGCCAGCGTGGTTCTTGTGAACCATAGCCCCTCAGATGACTAATGAGGCATTTTGCCTAAATGGACCAAAACAAAAATCCGCCGCTCCGGGGTGGGTCTGCCTCAGGCCCAATAACCATAGACCACATTCACTTCACCGCCCGTTTCTGCCAGTCCACTATTGTGGCTCTCGGTTGGCAACGGTCACAAGTGAAGGAAGAAGCCGCCGGAAGCTAGCAAAGCAAAGACGCCCGTGACGTTGCTCCGCCGCCCTTTACGATCTTGTCGCGCTGGATTCATTTTTGGACGCTTTTGCAGATCTTACGGCTATTGTATTGTACGCTCCGTCACAATCCCGGCGCTTTTATTCGACGACCACCTGCTAGCTTTGCGTACTACTCCCGCCAAAGCGATCGACCATGTCGTCTGGGTTCGTATCTGCCGGAACGGATCAGGAGCCAATCGAACGCGACGATGAATGGCGTCGTGTGCAAAATGAGCTCGAGGAGGAGCGAAAGCGCAAAGCAGAGCTAGGGAGGCAGGAAGATGGCAAAAGCTTATACGAAGTACTGCAGCAGAACAAAAGTGAGTCTCCACATTGTGCGGAGATGCCATGAGGCGCGTGTACTAGAGACGCCTTAGATTGACATGTTAGGGTGATGTGTTTTGTCGCGCAAAGTGGCCAAGCAGGAAGCTTTCGAAGAGAAGATCAAGTTGAAGAATCAATTCCGTTCGCTGGACGAAGACGAAGTCGAATTCCTCGATTCCATCATGGAGTCCACCCGGGCTAAGGAAGCTGCGGTCAAGAAGGAGACTGCCGAACAGCTTGAGTTGTTCCGTCGACAGCGGGAAGAAGCAGAGAAAGCTTTACTGGAGGATACATCTGCGGATGTCGCACCGGTCGCTGAAGGAGAGGACTGGAAAATTCCTGCCCGCAAGAGACGCCGAGAGAAGAGCAAAGACCTTCTCATACCTGGCAAAAAGCGCAAGTCTCTTGGAGGTGACAATACTGGAAACCTTGCGACAGAACTAAGTGCGGACAAAGAATCCAGGAATACTGTCCCTGAAAGCATGCCGGAGTCAGCGCAAGAGAAGCCGGAAGTGCCAAAGCAACCAATTATATCTCCTGGAGCAAAAAAGCCTGTACAGGATTCAAAACCAAGTCCAAAACAGACTGCATCGAACACAACAGCAAAAGCACCTTCATTATCCCTTGGATTAGCCGACTACGGCTCAGATTCAGAATGATCTCCTAGGCAGATTGTGCAATAGGCATTTGGTGTTTCTTCTCTTTACATTCGTGCTCTCTATCGCTTGATTTTCTGCGCCTACAGTCTGCTGGAGCGGTATCAATGTAACTGTTGCCTCGCTGCCCTGAGCTTGAAGGGCTCTCTATCCTGCACTGAAACATCACCAACGGGGCCTTTGGATCACTAAAAGTGTTTAGGTCTTATCTATATCCATATTCTATAATAATATTACACGTTAAAGATTTAGATGGTAGTTCTTACAATATTTGTAGGCTTCAGACTCGTGTGTATCAATTTTGAATTACCGAGACTTACAGTACTTGATGCTACATCTCACATCAGGTGGTCAGGAAAGCCGCACGAGTCTGTTCACTTTAACAGTTACACTTCACCGTGTCCACTCATCAATCCATTAGTTTCAATTCAGTGCGAGTTACATAACTGCTACTTATGCAATCAAGATAATTTGGTGCCAGTAAGAGCATACTCCCCTTACTCAACCCCTCTGATCAAAACAGAAGACACCTAATAGGCTGACCTCCGAATCAACTCTTTACCAGTGCTCAACTCACTTCATTGTGGGTCGCAAACACCTCTCTCTTCTCCGCCTCCTCCTCAAGCCTGCGCTGTAAATCGTGAGGAACATAATCCTCCTTCCGCTTACCCGCCACAATCCACGGAGAATTCGAGAACAGGTAGTTCATTTCTTCAAGCGGCAATTTCTTCGTCTCAGGAAGCAACAGCCAAAAGAACACCGCGTTCGTGAAGTTGCAGATGATAAAGAGGAAATAGTACCGATAGCGCACACTCTCCATGGCAATGGGCGTCACCTGCCCAATCATCGTGTTGAATGCATACGATGTCATAGTAGCCAACGAAACGCCCTTCGACCGCGTTCGGGTGTCGAATACCTCTGCTGGGATGATCCAGGAGAGAGGGCCACATGTGCACGAGAAGGAGAAGTTGTATAGCCAAGTCATGATGATAAAGCCCCAGTGGGCTCCGGTGTTGTGGCTTTCTGGGGGGAACTGTGCTAACAGAATGCAGGCAACAATAAACGTTACCATGTTTCCTAGGTTACCCCAGATCAAACTCCAGCGGCGACCGACTCGGTCAATGAAGAGAATGCATAGGAATTGAGCTACAAGGGCGATGATGGAGTTGATAGCTTGATACTGTAGCGTTTTGTCGCCACTAATGCCAATCTGACCATAGATGGTTACAGAGTAGTATCTATCAGATGAGTTGTGAGCCTCTGGATTTACCTTTATATGCAAGGGAGTACTCACTGGATTGCAGACACGCCGGTCATCTGTACAGATGCCTGTAATGAGCAACAAAGAAACAGGCGACGGAAGGACGATCGTGAGGTAAAGAGTTCCTTGTAGGACTTGGCTTCGTTCTCATGCTCGTAAACAATGCTTTCTTGAATCTGGTTAAATTCCGCACGAACCCAAGGATCCTCTTCGTTGCCGTGGGCATGAAGCATTGCCAATGTCTTCAAGCCTTTCTCGTGCTGGCCGTGATCAATGAGCCACCGTGGTGACTAGTACTTATCAGCATGAAAGCAGGCGAACGGTGAGGCACTGCGTACCTCAGGGAAAAGCATGATCAAAAGTCCCAGGAACACAGCTGGTGCAATTTGCAGCCCAAGGGGTAGCTGCCATTGTGTGTCATTGGTCTCGGAAAATCCAATATATGTGCCGTATGAGATCCAAGCGGCACATAGAGACCCAACTCCTAGCATGAATTGCTGCAGAGCAGTAACACGACCACGTATGTCCGGATGGCAGATCTCCGCCTGGTAAAGAGGGATAATCATAGTAAGGAAGCCGACCCTGCGAAGACATTAATCCATGATCTTGAGTTATCGCTGGGTCTAGAAAAGCATACCCCAGTCCAGCAAAGAACCTTCCGCTATAGAGGTAGGCGACAGTCCGTGCTCCAGTCTGAAGACCACCTCCGAGGCAGAAGAGAACACAACCGACAGTAATGGTCCATCGTCTGCCTAGCTTGTCGCCACTTGGACCTGCAAACGCTGCACCAAAGAAAGCACCTGCAGTGAACATCGACACCACAAGTCCACTACGGGATGTCAGAACACTTCATGCTAGCAAGAGATAGCGACCCACGATTCAGTGTCATTCAAATTGAATCTGGATATGAACGACCCGCAGGCGATGACTTCAGCAATCACACCTAAATCGTCTGCGGAAACTAGTGTTAGGCCCCGTGGATCCACAAGGAGGAAATGTATACACACATCCATATAAGAATGAACCTAGCGAGGCGAAAACGCCTACTAGGAACTGAAGACTCAGTTAGTCCATATTTCGCCGCAGATATTCAGAGGATCATGACTGACTTGATACCATGCTGGGGAGAGACGCATGATGGAAGAAAAAAAAGGCGCTCCTAAAGCTTTAGTGGCTCGAATCACTAAGCTGAGCTAAATCAGACAGAAATGCGGAGACCAAATCTGGGGTACAGGACCCTCAGTCCCTTAAGAACATCGGGGGATTGAGCCGCGCATTCCACGTGTATAGCCATACTATGGGCCATATTAACCTCATGCTTCACTGAAAAGGACATAAGCATCTCGGTTAATTGAGATTTAAACGAGGCCGTCGGCGAGGAAGCCATTTGTGGCCATGTTGTAGGAATCTCAGGATCCAACCCAACCGAAGCCACTGAACAACATGCCATGCGTGACCTATCGCTATCGACTACCCCGGTCAAGCCAAGTAACGCTTTGTCGATGTGGGAATGGTACCAGTATGCACGGTTTCTGGACCAAGAAAAGATTCCCGTCTGACAAGCGTGCTGATTGATGGAATATTGCCGTGGCGTTGCCTCGGCTTGATCCCCAAGCCAACGGCGTCAGAGCACCTCGCATCTCGTCCACTCCCGACGCCCTAAGCGATCATCATCGCGTGGTGCACATGAGAGTCAGTCGCGGGTCTGGAATCACCCCGCAGGGGATTTCCCCAATTTATGCGGGACTCAGGGTAATAGCTTTCGTACATTAATATCTATCGCTAGTCTGCCATCATACTGGCTTTGGACAAATCCTCTCTGGTAGAGCTTGCCGACTTGATTTATTCTATACTATTTCAGATTAGGTTATTACTTACCCTACGTGAAACCTTGTCGAATCATTCCCGCCATGACCACTTTCACCAAGCTCAGTGACCAGGATGCGCCTAGTATTTCCATCCACCCAGCGAGGCGTCTTTCCAAGATTAATCCGAACATCTACGCGGGGTTTACAGAGTAAGTTCAAGGATCATAACCCATCTAGTCTGTGGAAAGGTTGGCAGTGAGCTCATGTATCATAAGACACATGGGCAGGTGCATTTACGGGGGAATCTACGATCCAGGTAATTCACTGTCGGACGAGAATGGCTTCAGGAAGGATGTCCTTGAAGCTCTGAAGGAGCTCAATATCCCCGTCGTCCGCTACCCCGGCGGGAACTTCATGGCGACTTATCATTGGATCGATGGAGTTGGCCCGAAGGAGAAACGGCCTGCTAGGTATGTCCACATGACCATCTAGTCAACATCTATCGTCATACCTTGTCTGGGGTCTTTGCTGTTATGCATCTCATACGATAGATATCCTTTCAATTCAATGGCGATGTTGTAAGACTAACCACATTGCTCTATAGACCTGAGCTGGCATGGCTGGGAACAGAGACCAACCAGTTCGGCACAGATGAATTCTTGAAATGGTGTGAAGTCCTGGGAACTGAGCCCTACTTCTGCTTGAACTTTGGAACTGGTAATGTGATTCATCTTACTTGAAGAACCAGCGCTGACGTATGGCCAGGTACTCTTGACGAAGGTAACAGATCTCAACTCCATTCCTGGCACATCACTAATGGCCTTTGGTATAGCGCTGGCGTGGGTCGAGTACTGTAACGGTACCAAAGATACATACTATGCTAACCTTCGACGGAAGAATGGTCGCGAGGAACCATACAATGTATGTAACCCTATCCCTCTGTCTTCCTTTATACTCATTCGATACTCCAGGTCAAATACTGGGCCCTAGGCAATGAGACCTGGGGTCCCTGGCAGGTCGAACAGATGACCAAGGAAGCATATGCTCACAAAGCCTATCAATGGGCCAAGGGTACGCCATCTGTTGCTTTTCTCATAAGCTCTTACTGATACGGTCTATAGCCTTGAAGCTCCTTGATCCCAGCTTGATCTTGATTCTCTGTGGACAAGATGGCACAGCTTCATGGGACTACTATACCCTTAAGCAATGCCTACTCCCAGCCCACTCTCCTCTATCTACCAGCACTGTGCCTCTCATCGACATGCACAGCATCCATCTATACACATCCTCTCCCTCTCATCTCCCCAATGTTACTGCCCCCCTAGCCGCAGAGCGTGCCATCGAAATCACCTCGTCTCTGATAGACCTCGCCCGAATTGAGAACGGAGTCCCACCCGACCAACACCGACCCACCATTTGCTTCGATGAATGGAACGTCTGGGACCCTATTCGCGCAGAGGGCAGCAAGGGTGCAGAGGAGTCCTACACCCTCTCGGACGCACTCGCCGTCGCCGTTTTTCTGAACGTGTTTGTCCGGAAGAGCAAAGACCTGGGCATGGCGTGCATCGCCCAGAGCGTCAATGTCATCTCCCCACTCATGACAAGCAAGGACGGCATCACTAAGCAGACGACTTATTGGCCTTTGTACCTGTTCTCGAAGTATATGCGGGGATGGACCATCAGTGTGCATCTTTCCTGCGCCTCGTATGAAGGAGAGACTTCTCCCAAGTGGGTGCGCGGGGTCAAAGATACACCCTGGTTGGACGTTAGCGCTACCCTCGGTGAGGATGGGTATGTGAATGTTGCGGTGGTCAATATTCATGAGGAAAAAGATATCCGGAGTAGCATTGATGGGCCGTCTGGGACGGTTTCGGTTTTTACTGTTACTGGAGAGAGAGTCCAAGCTTGTAATATGAATGGCAAAGAGGAGGTTGCAGTGACTGAGAGTACATGGGAGGCAAGGGAACAATTTGTGTTCCCGAAACATTCTTTGACTTTGCTGAGGTGGAAGCTGGCGTGAATGATGATTGGACTGTTGGTATAGAGATATATTAGGCTGAGTACTACTCTACAATGATTTCGCGTGCCGTGCGGTAGAATGCATTGTGATTCTTTCTTCTTTCAGCCCATATTTCACAGTACTTTGATTTGTCGGCAGACTACGTCATCCAAGTAGCTGACAGGACATCATACTGAAATGAACAATATTATTTATTTAGGTCCCTCTCAAAATAGTACATGAATATTGTCCCATAATTCGTAACAAGTCACGTCGCATCTCATAAACAATCATCAAGCCATGATGTACCGCCCTCTAGCCAAAGGTCACATTATGAACAGTGCCATCTTCGCTCACGTGGATGTTCATCCTAGGACATAAAGCTATCAGTACTTTTGCAATATATACGAGGTAAGGCATCGTAATGAAAAGAATGCTCACCGTTCCGGCCTCATATCCATCGTCATAGCATCCCCAGGCTTAATAACACGATGTTGCTGCGGCAGGTCCTTCTTCGCGAATGACTATATCAGACAGTTCGTTAGCATCATTTACAAAGACCCCACAAACGACAGCAACTATAGAGTCGTACCGTCACATCACTTGACGACTCAGTGAGTTTCTTGCCCGCCAGCTTGTTAAGCCACTCCTCTTGGCTGGCACCACCAGAGGTGTTGTTGATTCCAGGGACGACGAGAGGCATGGTTGTAATTTGCTTTGTGTCTGCGAAGTCGAGATGAATTCTTTATTCTTTTGTGTAACAATAAAATTCAGTGGAGGTAGATGATCTTGGGTTTGAAAGTGGGAGATAAGCCTGACAGGCACCCTTCATAACTTATATATACTTTGTTACATTGAGACCCTGGCGATGACATCATGCGGGAGGATGGGGCTGGAGTGTGGCGGTGCTGATGACGTCTATCTGTTTCGGGACTAGCGCGATTGAGGGGGCCGGCATGTCACATGCGAGGGGTACTGTATACTTCTTTCCTGGGATTTGTTGATGGCTTCGCCATTGGTTCGTCCTTGAATTAACGAGGACCATGTCATCAGATATACTCTTGAGTTTGACTACTTCGGTGTTTCAGGGACTAGTACAGGTTTCTGAGGGTAGTATAGTACTGTGATGTCACTACTCGCTGCAATAAATGCAGAATATATCGCTGATATATAGTACCGGTCTACACTGATCGTTTACTCGACTACTGGTGCTTAACAACCTAGCACATTACTTAAATTGAGAAGCTGAATGTGAAGCTCACAACTAGTACCGAGCGCTTTCTACAGCATCTACTAGCATCAGAAGAGTACTACACTCTGTTTAGGCGTCACTATGCTAAGCTTAGGTTCCACACAAACCCCGAATCTAGGAAACCACAACCCAGCCGTGCCCCCCAGAGCAGTTGCCTCTACTATTCGCTGGTATCACTTAAGCCGTGTTGTAACGGACAGCTTCAAATCTCATCCCTTGCTCTCTGAAGCATTTCTGACATGATACTAATTCGACGCATTTGCTCTAATGGCAGCGATCATCAATATACAAGCTACCGCCATCGAACAGTTGTATTGCGCTTTCGATCGTTATACACACCACGCGTCACATTATTAGCCTTCCTTGCCTGCAGCAAGAAAAGGCCTGGCCAGCTACACCACTGTTCGCTTCATAACTCGCGTTCCCGATGCTGTTAGATTCTATTGTGCCTTCAAGGGCCAATGCCACATCCAGATTGGCGCTGGGGCAGCAGTCACAAACGTCTGCCGGGATACTGACAAGCACCCACAGCTTGCTTAATGAAAGCTTTGGGAGTATGCGCCTTCGAAACAGAAACAGCAAAGTTGCCAAACACCAGCTGGATACCGTTCTTAGTGGTCTTGATTATCCCATAGTCTCCCAGCTTACAACTCGCTCAAACAACTCAGCGCATGGAATGGTCACAATAGGGGACGGTGCATCGCAGACCAGATTACCTCAGGTACACCTACGTGCAGACATCAGCGGACCAGAGAATATGAATAGGAATTGGATACCGCATTGGAGTTACCAGAAAAGCTCCATTGCTGCCGCTTGCATATTTACAGCCGTCACTGTAATGGCTTTGACTTTTTTGGCTATCCTATCCATCAAAAAGGCTAAAAGAAGCTGGGAGCGACATAAACGCGAGAAGCGATATTATACAAACTCCGGATATTCTGCTCTCTCACTGCTCGAGGAAGGCCATGAAATGACTTCAACGAGTAGCAAGCAATTAAGCCGAGAGACCCTGATGTTCAGTAAAAGTCGTTCGCCCTCTTCACCTCTTTTTGTTGAACAAGACGGCCCCTCCGTGACAAGAGTTTATCAGGCGAGCAAAAGCGTCTCTACAATTACGCTTGACTCGCCCAGCTCTACCCTGGGACATGCAGGCTCTACAACTGAGCTGAATGCAATACCGGAACGTCCAGCCAGTGCGTTAAAACGCTCTCGCCAAGAACGCCATGGCTCTAAGGCCAGATCGGTCGTTGTCGTACCGTCACCTCTAAGGGCATTCTCGGTGAAACCAATGATACACCACACAGACCCATTCCGCAGCTTGGAGCGGACTCCTTTGAATGTCGAACATGAGGGCGGTAGTGTTCCGTCGAGCAGCAAGCGCGACTCCGCTGGTGGAAACAGCTTGTTTAAACTTCCAGCAATCCAAAGAACAATGTCGCCTCTATTCTCGTTTTGATTTTATAGGACTATGAAGCAGTGTACTTGTGTATACCGCGTTTAGCCTAACACGTCTGAATTGAAATTATATCTTCCAAGGCGGAACTGGAAGTCAGGGACTTATCGTCTTCTTTCTTTCTTTTTTTTTTTTTTCCCCCTTTCTGTCATTATAGTATATCGCTTCCCGTCTGCTACAAAAACATGTACAAGACTTTTTGGCTAACGCACGCCCACATCAGGACCAAAGTCAAAGGGAGGCCATGCACATTCTCAAAAGACAAAAGTTATTGAACAGGCCCATTCCCCATCTCTTCAGTACAACATCAGTGCAATCCGAGTATTGGGAAAGCCAAGGCTCAGCAAAAGACTGAGGCATGATATCCGTGCAACACAGCAAGCAACGCTCCAACCCTCTCAGCTTAGCCATCCATACTTCTAAAGCAATGAGGCCTACATATACCACCCCAGCTCAATGCCCAGTTCAAGAGAAATTAGAAAAAGGCCCGATATCCATAAGCAAGCTACCACTCTCCTACTGTATTAATCATCCATATCATCACATCGTGGGATTTATATTAGTAATATATGAATAAAGTTTAACAACGCGATCAAGCCGTCCTCTAGACCCATCACAAGCTGAGTGACAAGCGACCAGGCCAACACAACATAAACGCAGACCAAGACTATAAATGGCAACATAACACCGGTCAGTCAATCAGTCAATAAAAAGTCTACAGAGCTTGCCATTTATAAAGGAACCAGAGGAAAGAAACCAGGTGAAAGAGTCGGAGATGATTGGTAAAGAGAGTAAAGCAAAACGCACTCAGAAGGAGGATAAAAAGGCAAATACACCGCACCGCCGTACATGCATGGTTTGTAGTAATAGAGAATGAGAGGATGATAAAACAGGGTGAATAAATGAAAGCAGAGAATCTATCTCATCTCGCGCACTCCACGCAAACACCGCTCTAGTCGCTTCCCTCGTTCGCGTTCTCGGACTAAGGTTGCCCTGACGAAGGAGCGGATGGCATCTCGCCCGACTTTCTCTCGCCATGTGGTCCAGCCTGCTAGTTCACCGACGACCACGTCCTTGTTCCAGGTGATTTCGCGGGAGAGACGAGCGATTTGGAGTTCGGAATCCTGGATCTTGGTTTCGAGGTCGCGGACGGACTTTTGGCGGGATTCTTCGAGCCCCGGGAAATTGATGTTGAATTTTCGGGGAAGGGAAGAAGATACGAGGGATGAGCGGTTGCGTGAGAGGTTTCTGTTTGTGGAGGATAGGTTGTTTATGAGGGAAATGGGGCGAGAGAGGGACGCTAGGATTGCGGTTGTGGTGTCGTCGATTGAGGTCAGGGCCGTGAGGAATTGAAGGAGAGGAGAGGAATCAGATGATGAAGTGGAGAGATGGGTTGCGTAGCGGGTGAACGCGTCCACGTAGGAGGCTGGTAGAGCGTTGGTCGGTTCCTTAAGGGTTGAGATGATGGAGGCACAGAGGGCCACGGCGTCTGCAATATCGGAAGCAGAGTTTTGGAGAGCGTGGCCGCGACGGAGCAGACTGCGAGTGTTGACGTGGACAGCGCGAACCATGTCCTGGGCGTGGGAGACGAATTGCTCTGTCTCGCGCATGCCTTCAGGTGTGACGGGTTCGTAGTCGTCGTTGATGGATTCCGTAAGGACCTGGGCTTTGCGGTATGAGCGGTCTGCCATCATCTCAGGTTGCAGTTCTGGAACCAGAAAGAACTCCCACAACATCTCGTGAGTGGCGAAAGTTGGATGCGTAAGTAAGACCTTGAGGAACCTGTCGAGCTTTTCTTGCATGTCATGGAGCACAGAACGGGACGGTTTTGAATGAATTTGGAAAGGGCTACGGAAGTCGGACAGAGACGGCATGTAGGAAGCCGGATGCTCGATGGATAGGCATCTGGCAAGGTTCTCGAAGTCAGAGAACGTGCGACGGCATGTGGTGACTGTGAATGTTGTTCCTGACGCAGGACGGGACTCTGCAGAGTTCACCGTTGGGTTCGGGGCACCGGACTTCAGCACGAAGCGCACTGTCGCATCCTCAACAAAGTACGAGCGCACCACGGTCGTGACACGGCCGGACTGCTCGTCGTAGGCTGATGGGGGGCTGGAGAGAAGGATGAGATCGTCAATACGATTGCGCACTTCATCATCCTTAGCAAGCTCAACGGCAGTCAAACCACGGCTTTCTTTCAGGTGCACATCAACTCTAGGGTCCATGAAAAGAATCCGGACCTGGTCGATGCGGCCGTACTTGCTGGCCATCATGAGAGGGGTGAACCTTTTATCATTTGTTGCGTTCGGATCACAGTCACATTCTTGCAAGAGCCGGATGGTAATTTCCGGATCGCTAACGATATGCAATAGTGTATTGCCTCTAGAGTCGACATGATTATCGAGGCGCAAGGGCTTTCCATCACCTTGGGCAACTTGAGCGGCCGTGAGTGCTTCTTTCACCATCGTGTTGTAGTCCGGGTGATCGTAAGACCTGCATAGAGCGAAAAGTGGCGTCTGTCCATGCTTGTCGCGTTGACACCACGGCAGCAGTCCTTCCAGCCTATGCATTACCGATGGCGTGCTGAAGAGGTAGTGTGCAACCGTACGCCCATGCATGTCTGACTTCTGTAGGTACGATGCAATGGTGTGCTTATCCGTTGAACTGAATAGGAAGTTCAATAGAATGTCCACCATTTCGACATGAGCAAGCTGAACAGCAGCACTGAGTAATGTTGTCCCATTAGTGTTTGTGTCCTCGAGAATATCCGCCAGCGGATAGTAATCTTGAAGGCTCAGCAGGTATTTCAAGGCGTCTGGCTGGCGGCTTTCTACGGCCATCATCGGAATCGAATCGCCTGCAGGATCTTGCGTTTTCGTTAATGTCTCGATTGAACTGTCTCCCTCAATCGCGCTTGATATAGAGCCCATTCCCGTGGTTCTGGAAGCTAGAGATATCCCGGATGATTCGGACAGGCTGCGGACATCCATGGAAACCTTTTTTACAGGGCGTCGGACCTCTTTCGGAGGGGACGTGTTTGCCCACGTCTGGAAAGGAAATACATGAGAAAGAGGAGGTGGATCGGAGGGTTCCTCATCATGCGCCGTCCCACTAGAAACGTTCATTTCGAATGGTGCGTCCTGCAAAAGTAAGGGCTCATGTGGACTATGACAAAGATTATCCTCATCATGTGTGCGGAACGCAACGGATCTTTCTTCGGGCTCACATGGAACTTCATCTAGCGACTCCTGGTCGCCATTTGGCTCTAATATGGCCTTCATGTCCACGACACGCCCGCCTTTGGTTGCATTCCATAAGCGCCTGTTCCGGATACTGGCTCGCCGGAGACCCGCAGAATCGGTCACCAGGTAGGTAAGAACAGCCTCGAGAGTGCTCAGAGCATAGCCCATTTCACCACTGTCAACATCGTCGATGTATATAAAATGTTGCATGTACATCAGCCTCGCTTGCAGGTTCTTTACTTGAGACCTGATGACCACAACCAGTAACAATGAAACCAGAATATCAGCGTTGATCGTCACCGGCGCGTATTGTTTTTCCGATGCAAGAGACCCCGCTCTATCGTAGTTCCCAGGATACGATAGAAGTTTGATGGTCTGAAGTAGAGTGTTCAACATGTCGTGGGGGCACTTGGCGTCTAGCATTTTGCGAAACTCCTCCACTGCTCTCCCGATGCGCTGTAGCAACTCTCGCTTACCCTCTCGTCCACCATCGACAACTATGCCCACTTGCGATATGTCGATGTTTTCCATGTAACGAATCCTAGAGTCTAGCTCTGCATCTTCTGGTTGACGGAAACTGCAAAGACGAGGGAAGAGAAGAGATTCGTGCACCTGTTCAGCGACGTAGCGCTCAATGAGCCTTTCCACCAATGGTCCCGTTAGATCGGTGGTGGCACCTAGAAAAGACAACTGTTGCTTATCCACTAGTCGAAACAAGTCAATTGCGGCAGTAACAGCTGTCTCTAGACTCCGACGCATCAGATCCTCGTCATCCTCGAAGTACTCCTCGGAGTTGAAAGGTAGGCCCTCCCGATTACGAGACGCTGAACTGCGGATAGAAGCAGATTCGTCGGCAGTTATCTCATTGTTATTCTGCTTCCGTTCGTATTCGTCAAATATTAGGGGCGAACGAGAAGGCGGAGGTGGCAATGGTTTTCCCAGCTCCTTTCCGAATTCCTTGAACAACCTCTCCAGGCCAGGCTGCATCTGCCGAGCAATCATCGGAAAATGAGAAAGGAGTTCTCCAAACGTCTTTATTTCCTTCTTCGGAGGTGACGAAACGGGCTCACTAGACTTCGTGCCGTTGCCTATGATATCTCGCTTCGGTAACATCCCAGGCACTACAGCAGTGACAATCTTTCCGGGGTCGAATGAGCCGATCAACGGCCGTGAGATGTAGTAGATCAGCCATGGTTGAGAGTCGTTGCTGTTGTTATAGTACAGCGCATCGGATAACAGCTGGGCTTGGCTCAGGGACTTGAAGCCTAGATATAACAGTCAGCGCATGTGCCAGTCAGGAGACTAGCCGGATGCCTTCCCACCTTTGTTGCTATACACCGAATTCTCCTTGATAATCACCGTGCGCCCGTTGACCGTTGTCACTTGTTTGGCTTTGCCCCGACTATCACGTATATTTGAGTCATCCTTACCCCCGCCGGCCCCGGTGGACACTGGTATTCGCAAGGTATGGCTTCCCAAGAATTCTTCGGATACGACGAGATCGGAGTAGTAGAGGGATGACTCGCGGTCGCGCGATCCGACCAGCGATTCCGTGACAGGTACTAGGAGGACCTAAAATGGGCATGTCAGAAGCTGGGCTCAGACCGGAGCCGATAGAGTTCGGCGGGACATACATGATTCTCAGTGGGTATACACTGCCCCGGAACTGTGCTTCGGAAGAAGGCACGGAGGAAGGGATTTAGAGGGTGCATCCAAACGGTCTTGGACGACGGCCCAACACAGAATCACAGGCACTCATGAAGCCGTCTAGACCGGTCTGGAAGGGGGGGGATCCGCTGCTCGATCGTCGCAGAGGAGCAGCTCCGGCGCATGCGCCCGCAGGTAATCGGATACTGTGCAGTCTCAACAAAAGAGCTCAGAAAGAAAGCGCAAAGAATTAGCCGGAAGAGACAGAAGTCGACGTCACGATGGACAAGCTAGGAGCACAGGCTGAATGATAAGTGAGAGCGAGGGAGTTGTTGAGGACAAGAGGGGGATCTCAGCCAACAGCTTTCGGAGTGGCAGTCCTGGGAGCTCCTCGCGCTATCCCCCTTTGGGTCGGCCTAGATCTCAGCCTGCCTCGATTTTATGGAGACTTCCAAGGCGAACTGCCCAACTACAAGGCTTCATCCAACGACATTCTTGCTGGTAAAACATTGAATTGATATACATTGCACCCGTAGAAACTCGCATCTTAAAAAACAAATCCCATATATGCCGGGAACAGGCTGGCTAGTATACAAATAGAGAAAAGGAGCTGGACCCTGAACTTTGAACCATTGCCGGACTATTGCCACATAGCAAGACGGTTCAGTTGATACAGTGTAGGGTCCCCATATGGTTGGGCTGAGAAGAACATATCCCGGGGCATCTCTGATCAATCCCGTCCCATCATCAGGTATCATGAAAGCATGCCCGTGTTCTTGTCCCAGACGTTCTAGCAACGCACTTTCTACCCGCGTCAGAACAGCATAATGAACTTCGTCAACAAAATGCACCGCCTTAACCAAGACGGCGAACTCTGGGGCTTCTCGAACCACCAAACTTGAGTCTGGTGGAGTCCGTCACCCGACAGACCAAGCCGCGGATGTTCTTCCCTTCGTTACCCAGCAAAACCTTGGTGAAAGCCTCACGGCCCTGTCCGAAATCGCGGAAGATAATTTCCAAGCGCTTGATCTCCAACAAAAAGCCTCTCTCTTGTATCTGGCCAAAGACGTGCGACGCCAGCTGGTGGGCGGCTTCGTAACCCGAACGCTTAGACTTGCGGAATCCGAGGTGACCGCAGCTCTTAGCCAACATTGGGTCTCCATTCGGCCGTGTCAATGTCAAGATGGTGTTGTGCTTGTGGCAATAGACATGTAGGTGGTAAGGAGGAGACCGATCGGCATACGGTTGGTTGATCAACTCTGCTTCCAGGCTCTCGGCCATCCGGGAATAGTCGCGACTCACACCCTGGTTGGAGCGAACCTTCTCGCCCTGCATCATCTTGGTGATCGCAGAGAATGACGCATTCTCTTGGGCAGGTTGTTTCTCCGCAGGGGTGTTCAGGATCTCTCTTTCGATTTGACGGGTCTTCTCCTTCGCACTTTCCAGAATTGCGGGAGTCGATGAGAAGGGTCTCGTAAGCCGGAAAGCAGGAGCACGGATCTGACACGAGCGGCCAACAGTAGGCAGAGCCCTCGACAGGGCAGTAACGAATGTCGAGTTCATCTTTGCGGTGTTGTTAATCGAAGAGCGTGTCGGGGAGACACGGCAAGCCGGGGGGTGAAAGGACCGAACGTGGCCGTTATACCAGCCAACGTGATAGAACGCAGGACAGGATGAGAATCGACTCCGGACAGACAAAGGAAATTGTCGTGATTGCAGACAGCCGGAGGTGGCTCCAAGTCGAGGATGCGACGCAAGTCTGGGCCGGAACGACAGGGCGGCGGAAAAGGGCCGAATTTTCGACGGGCTTGGCGTCCAGCATCTCAACTTTTTTCCCTTCTCGTTCTGACACCAGCTGCCGACATCGCTTCCTCGCTCTTCCTCATCCACCTCCCCCTTCAACCTCAACCTCAACCTTAGTCCTTCCACCTTATCTTCGGGGTTGGCGAACACGCAGATTATATCCTTTTCCTTGGTTTAAATTCGGTTCTTGTTTTTACAGTCGCATAGCATGATCTCGGCTACCAGGATGTCGGTCACCGCGCGGGCGGCCACCCTACGGTCTCAGGTGCCGACTTTGAAGACAGCTGCTGTGTCCCAGCGCTCTTTGATTCAGTCCTGCTCTTACGCAACATCACGAAACACCCTTCTGAACAGCCAGCACGCGGACCGTCCCGTTTCGCAACTCGTTTCCCCGTACGCTGCTCTCCCTCTGACCAGATCCTTCCACGTCGTCGCCCCTCGCTTGCAACAGCAGCAGCAGAAGGATAAGCAAGAGCAACAAGAAAAGCAGGAGAAACAGTCGGAAGAGTCCAACCAGGAGAAGAGCGAAGAGGAGCCCAAGAAGGAAGGAAAGAAGGATGCGCCTCCGCCGCCACCCCATGGTGACAAGACTCCCTGGCAGGTTTTCAGAGAGACTCTCCAGACGGAGTTCAAGGCTTCGAAGGAGTGGAATGAGTCGACAAAGGCTCTTGCTTCGTCTGCTCACCAGTTCACCGAGAACGAGAACATCAAGAAGGCTCGTGCTGCTTATGAAGCCGCCTCTGGAGCCGCCACCTCCAAGACCGCGACTGCCATCAAGACCACCGGCAAGGCCATTGGCACTAGTGCCGCATGGACCTGGAACACCCCTGTTGTGAAGGGTATCAGAAAGGGTGTCAACGTCACTGGGTCTGGTATTGAGAAGGTCACGAGACCCGTCAGAGAAACCGAGGCATACAAGAGTGCCGTGGGTGGTGTCAAGAATGCCATCGATGATGGTAGCAGCTCTCGCTACGGTGGCTACATCGAGAAGGAGGAGCGTCGGAAGCAGCGCAAGTTGCGTGAAGAAGCTGAGCTCAAGGCTGGTCGCCGTGTCGAGCCGATGGTTGAGGATCCCAAGTGAGTCATGTCCAGTAGACCATGTCAAGGAGATCTCTAACAGTCATTTTACTTTAGTGCCGGAACCCACGTTACTCTCCACAAGGACTCTGCCTGGAAGGAATCGTGGCGCGACTTCAAGGACTCCAATCCTATGATGCAAAAGCTCTTCACCCTGAAGGAGACCTACGAGGAGTCGGAGAACCCCTTGATCAGCACCGCGCGCAGCATTTCCGATCGTGTTGCTGGATTCTTCGCCGAGAACGAGACCGCTCGTGTTATCAAGAAGTTCCGTGAGATGGACCCCAACTTCCAGATGGAAGCCTTCCTCAGAGAAATGCGTGAATACATCCTGCCCGAGGTTCTTGACGCCTACGTCAAGGGAGACGTTGAGACCCTGAAGCTCTGGCTCTCCGATGCGCAGTTCCATGTCTATGCTGCTCTTGCCCAGCAGTACACTACTGCCGGCCTCAAGTCGGATGGCCGCATCCTCGACGTCCGTGGCGTTGATGTTTCCCACGCCCGCATGCTGGAGCCCGGCGACATCCCCGTGTTCGTTGTGACTTGCCGCTCCCAGGAGGTTCACGTCTACAAGAACGTGAAGACCGGCGAGTTGGCTGCCGGCATGGAGGACAAGGTCCAGCTGGTCACCTACGCCATCGGTCTGACGCGGATACCCGAGGATGTCAACAACCCGGAGACCCGGGGTTGGAGATTGATCGAGCTACAGAAGGCCGCTCGTGACTACATCTAAGCCATTCGAAATATCCTTCTTACACCTCCTTCACCTACCCTCGACGCTCAACGATCACAACACCTGCTTGATTTTGGTCTATGACATGCCTCTATTCTCTTCTCGATTGTTTTGATATCATCCGACTGTACAATATTGATTTTTGTTAAAATAGAGACCAGGCGGAACTGGCGCTTCATGGAACCGTCTGTGATAGTAACTTGATTAATCTCGCTGGGCGCCTTTGTCACCATCCTTCTCCCACTTTTGTGATATCCTCCCTCACACCCTTTGCTGGATTCTGCTCCAGCCTCACTGGCATCCGCTAAAAGAGTATATCATATATGCATCTATGCAGTGGGCCTTGTGCTTCCAATTCGGGCGTTTCGGGAGTCGTGTTTACTCGATTTGCAACCTCACCCTCCACTCTTCTGATGAAATATTTGCATTGGCTCAGTGTTTGTTGTCTTGTTCCTATATGTTGAGTGGCCTCTGGCCCCTCTGGTGGTTTTTGATAAGCGAGTCCAGGTGTTATGTGGCCTGAATCTGGCGACGTGAAGTGGATCATTATGAGAATTTGTAAATACAGCTGTGAAACGAAGAAATATGTTCCTCCGACATAACAAGACTAATTTTGTCAAACAAGTATAGCGGCGTGTCTATTCGCTTCCATAATTAAGATGATCATACATTGCACGTATACGAAATTGAGAGCGCGACAATGGTTTTCAGATGAAAAGGACAGATAAAGCTCCGAAACACTAACACATTCATGATATCCCGCTTACTGGTTTCCACGTCCGGCACCGCCGCCCATCATGTTACGAGCCCTAGAAAATACATGTCAGCTGCAACGCAATGGACCAGGTATGTCATATTACTTACATATCGGCAATGTTGGGATCGCTCATCAAAGAGGACATGTCGGGCATACCACCGCCACGGCCATAGTTTTCAGCCATCTGTCTCAGCTGGGGGTTGCTCATGAGGTTGTTGAGCATATCGGGGTTGCTCATCAGGTTCTGGGCCATGCTGGCGAACATGGGGTTGCTCATGATAGAGCTGAGGTCGGGCATACCGCCGCCGCCACCTCCACCTCCCAGCATGCTAGCAAGGGAAGACAGATCAGGCATACCGCCACCACCACGGGAAGCACCAGCAGCATCGTCAACAGCATCAGCGGGAGGCTCGGTGCTACGCTTGGCCTCCTCGATCTTGCGCTTAGTAGTCTCCAGACCCCGCTTCATGGCCTCGCTGCCGCCGTTGCCCTCAGCCTCGATACCCTTCTCATAGGCCTCCTTGGCACCGTGGTAATCAGCCAAGTCGAAACGAGCCAGTCCCAGACGGCTCCAGGCCTTGGAGTACTTGGGGTCAACAGCAGTGGCGAGCTCGGCATCCTCGGCCGCCTTCTCGTGCTGTCCGGCCGCGGAATAGGCAGCAGCCCGGTTGGAGAGGTAGATGGGGTTCGAGGGAGCAATAGCCAGGGCTTGGGTGTAGAGGTCAATAGCGGTGCTGTAGTCCTTGCGGGCCATGGCACCGTTACCCTCGGACTTCAGCTTATCGGACTCGGGGGTGGGAGCGCCAGCCGCAGGCTTCTGGCTTTCGCCAGCCTTGGCAGAGTCGCCGGTGGGCTTGTTGCGAAGCTTCTCGTAGACACTGTAGATGCTGGCCAGAGACTGTCCACCCACGGCATCCTTCACAGCAGCCTCGTTGGAGGGGTCAACCTTGAAGGTGTCGGCGATACAGGACTGGGCGATCTCGATGGATTCGGCATCGTCGGCGGTAAGGGTGCCATCCTTCAAGCTGGCACCGAGGAAGTCAATGATGGCGAGCGCGAGGCGCTTCTTGGACTCTGTGGGAGCCTAAAGAGAGGAAAGTTTAGGTTTTAGTCATAGAGACAAAAGAAATTTCGCTGCACAAAGGAGCGATCTTACCATTGTGTGAGGTATAGGGGGGGGTATCACAGTGAACGGAAATGTCTTATCACGAGCAAAGCAAAGGCGTCGCGGGGGGAAATTGGATGCGGGGGCTTGCAGGATGTTTGGCGTGTTTGTCACCGGAGCTTCCCTGCACGTGATACCCCGTGCTCCCGAGCTGGATCCAAACCATATCCACGTTCCCAACCGTCATCTTCATCCATCGCTGTCAGAAAGACTCTTGGGTGGATATGGTCGGTACTCGCGGGATCGCATCTGTCCCGACTCCGACGGTCTAAGTTTTCCGCGTCTGACGAAGATGACTCGATGTGAACTTGTTGATATACTCCGTGACTCTCGCGCCTGTGTCGAGCCATGTACTGGCCCAACGGAGTTCCCCGGGTCTATGCGATCAATGGCCCTGCAATCCCGGTTACGATCTCCGACGATGATGATTCAATAGAGTATGAGAGCTCTGCGGAGCAGGGCTTGTCGTTGAGAGAAAATGAAGCCGACAAACCGACCGGGTCGACGGACTCGGCCTGGGCGGATGAGCCCATTACGGGGCTTTGTGTTTCTAGGAGTGGGTTTATGTTCGCGACGATGACTGACTCGTCAATTGCTATATGGCAAACTAGAGTAGGTTTTGGTTCTTGAACTTTGTGGAGATTGCGCATGTTGACTGGCAGTTAGCCCACCGCTGTGGTTGCCGCGGTTGCTCGGTCCGCCTCTTCCTTGGAGAACTATGGGCCTAATGTAGCTCTCCTGATGCACCCGGATTCGACCATTCTCGTTGCTCAGACGCTGAACGGATACCTTTTGACGTATACGATTGCTGTTGGTCCTACCACCCGCGTGTATCAACATCACTTCGATCAGACCAGTTCGACTCGCCGTCAGCAGCTTGCGCGCTTAACCGCAGAGGAAGAGGCCACTGGGATTCGAGATGTTAGCGTTCGCTTCAGAATGGCGATTAAAATAGAATCGGGTATCGCGAAAGCCCTTGCGCTGGACAATGAGCTCGTTGTCGCCACGGTGAAGCCGGCCGCCATTCAGTGCATCCGATGGATGCCTGATGCAGACGGCTCCCAGACCCAGTCTGAGCTTTTAAGCCGTATTCTGGGTGTGTCGAAGCGCACATCCATTACCGATATGGTGTATGATCGAGCCATTAATCTGCTAGTATGGATCACCAACGAGGGTCAGGCGTATGCCGTCCAGCGTACTCCGGAAGGCACAACGGATTCGGAGATTCCCAAAAAGCTCTTCCAGGGACATTGCTTCCACAACCCCAAGGATGAAGGCACGAAAGCCATGAAGGTTGCGGTCAATGCCCGTTTCTCGCTTCTTACTGTCAACTGCGCAAACGGCAATATCCTGGTCTACACGGCTAAAGACTACATGGGGAATGTTCCACTCTCGCATCGGCTCCAACTTCCAGCTTCCCCTACTACTACTGGTAATCTGTCATTCATGTCCTATTCGCCAGATGGGTATTGCCTTTTTGCTGGCTATGAGCGTGGCTGGACGACATGGAGTGTTTTTGGCAAGCCGGGTGGGACCAGCTTCACAGCCGATCGGACTCTTGCCAAGTCGAACGATGAGGACTGGGTGACTGGGGTTTCTCACGGCTGCTGGATAGGCGGGGGAGCGGAAATCATTCTTACGGGTCAGAATGATCGTCGATTGTGGATACTGGAAACGGCTCGGAGCGCCTTGACGGGCTGCTACTCTTCTGCGAATCTGGCTCGAGGTCTTTTGCAGACCGGGACGGAGATCATTCTCTACCGTGGCCACGACCTACCCGATCTCATGACTATTTCGGGTAAGGATTCGCTCTGGCACCATGCGCAGTATCCTCCATCCTATCTGCATTCCCAGTGGCCCATCCGCTCCAGCGTCGTCTCGCAGGACGGGAGGTACGTCGCCATTGCTGGCCGGCGTGGGCTTGCACATTATAGTGTGAATAGCGGCCGCTGGCGAGTGTTTGAGGACTCCAAGATTGAGAACTCGTTTGCAGTCCGAGGCGGCATGTGCTGGTATGGGCACATTTTGATTGCTGCCATCGACAACGATGGGTCTTATGAGGTGGGTTCAATAGGGTCTTGAGGACTACAAGTACTAATGGTTGTCACAGCTTCGACTATACTCCCGAGAGAGTCCGCTCAACAACCACACGATCTTGCATATAGAATACCTTCCTTCGCCTGTCGTCTTTATCGGACCATCGGGCGAAGACTCCCTTCTTGTCTATACCTACGATAATATCCTCTACCACTATATCATCAACTCTGCACACTCCCGAATAACACTGGTCCCGGTTGGTCAGATTGCATTCCACGGAATCGTGCGGGCACCGACCCGTGTGCGAGCGATCAGCTGGATCTTACCTGAGGATCAGATGCGTAAGTGTACTGCTTTGAAAGTGGTTACGTGTGCTGACTGCAGTAGGTAATGGCGATCCATCACAGGATGTCAAGGTGGCATCGGTGCTCTTGTTGGTCGACGGCAACTTGGTTCTGCTGCAGCCATCGACGTCGGAGACTGGAGAGCTAAAGTACGACATGCGCGTAGTATCACACGAAGTCGAGTACTACATTCTGATGAGGGATCAGTTGTCCTTCAACTTTGCGCCTTCTGTGGACGAGTCAGTTCCAGCTAGTCCGGCAGCGGAGATGGCGCTGAACATGTACCACAGCAACCTGTCGCTGCGGGACTCGTTGTGGACGTTCTGCGGGAAAGAACTTCTTTCATGGAGCGATGTGCAGGATGTGCTGCGCCGGGAAGACGTAGCCAAGCCGCTCGAGGTACCACTGGATTTTTACCCTCTGTCAGTTTTACTGAATAAGGGCATCGTGCTCGGAGTGGAAGCAGAGATGACCCAGCGCCGCGATGTCACATTTTCTGTGCTGAAATTCGCCATCCGAGTAAGTCTGTCGTCTGCGCTTCACGACTGTGGCTGACTGTCTAGACACACCTATTCCTTCCATACTTCCTCCAACATAGCCTGACGCATGGCGACATGCCAGCAGCACTGTCGTTATGCCAACATTTCTCCCACCTCTCCTACTTTCCACACGCCCTAGAAGTCCTGCTGCACCACGTCCTCGACGACGAGGTTGACAACGCCAGCAAGGACAGCAAGACCGATGACCCATCACAGAAACACAGTCCCCTCCTCCCGACGGTCATATCATTCCTGCAGGCATCTCTACCCGCCACCGTTTACCTCGACATTGTCGTCCAGTGCACGCGCAAGACAGAACTCCGGTCCTGGCGCACCCTGTTCACATACCTCCCGCCACCGAAGGATCTGTTCGAGCAAGCACTCAAGCTCAACTCGCTCAAAACAGCAGTAGGTTACCTCCTGGTGCTTCAGGCGTTCGAGGACGAAGACGACGACCACGACTCGCCTATTGAGGACTATGTCGTCCGTCTGATGTACCTCGCGTCGCGGAAGAACGACTGGGAGCTGTGTGCCGAACTGGCGCGGTTCCTGATCGCACTTGACGGATCAGGCGATATGCTGCAGCGGGCCGTGACGCGCGCGGGCCTACGAGATGGCAGTCTACCAGGGACGGGACTGAACGGGTCAGGAACGAGCGTGAAGGGGCTGGGACTGGCGATCCGCACGCCGTCGTGGTCATCGCTATCACCGACATCATTGTCACCACGACCTGACTCAGAACGTCATAGCTAATACCTTCCATACAACTGTACATAATAAATACGAGCCAAGACAAGACAAGAACGACATAGACATACTTTTTGCTTTTTCATTCCACATAGAGACATAGATAGATAGATAGATAGTAACCAAACCAAAACTATACTCAACTCCCACCACACAATATCATAACCTGGTATCATCATCATCCCACCCTACACCTACCTCCCCTTTACCCACATTCTTATTTATCTATCCCCCAACCCCAACCCCAACACCCCCAGATCCCCTCCGGGGTCAATTCAATCAAGATGATACCTCCACAACCCATCCCCCAAATAATGCCCCTCATCAAGCACCACACCCTTCCCGACCTTCTTAATCTCCTCCGTACCCACCTTCAACACCCCGACCAGACAAACAAACTCCTTCCCCTCCGCCTTCACCGCCACGACCTCACCCGCAGGGATCTCCTTCTCCCCATTCTCGACATCAGGCAATCTACCCCCGGCACTCGTTAACCCAGGCGCCATGAGCGCCGCGCCCGAGAGCACGAAGCGGATGGCGCCGCGGTCGATTTGGATTGTCGGGAGAGCGTCAGGGTATGCGTGGAGCAGTTTCAGGTGCGGGATGGGTGGGCCGTCCATGGGTTGGTAGAAGAGGGGGGTGTTGTTGTGGGTGTAGAGGGTTGATCTTTCCGGACTATGGGTTGGGTTGGGTTAGTTAGTTTGTGGGAAGGGGGGAAAGGGTATGAAGGAAGGTAGGTATTGGGGGACCGTACAGCTTCACGGCATCCAGTTGGGCCTTCTTCGGTAGGACTTCTTCAATGTAGGGTTCGAAGCCGGGGTATGTGTCTAGGAACCGTTGGCGGAGGCCGCGCTGCACGGAGGATTTGACTTTTGAGCGGTTGCTGGGGGGGATGCTGTTATCATGGTGGTTTGAGTTGTTAGTTGGTTGTTCTGCTTGGTAGCTAGCTGTGAGGAGGGATTGGGCTGTAGGGAGGGTGGTGGATTGGGGAATAAATGGATGAAGTTGATGGGTGTTCTGTAGTAATGACTATGCTGGTTTTCACTCACTCCTTCTTAAACATCTTGCTGGTTGGTGTGTATGTATGTATGTTGTTGAATTCGGAGGCTATCGCAATCTTCACGCAGATCTGTTGCGGGGGATGTCACGTGGTTCGGTGGGGTAGCTATAATGCTATGCCGTATGCTCTGCTGTATACGTCGTAAAGTATGGATTCCTGGCTACAGATTACTGAATACTGGCTATTGACTACTACAATTGAAGTATAAAGTTGAATGGCAATGATAAATGGTATTGTAAGTGGCTATATATTATTTAACCACGGGCAGCACCGGCCTTGATCAACAGAATATCACCATCCTCCACAACGTAATCCTTACCCTTTGTCATCACCTTACCAGCGGCCTTGACGGCAGCTTCGTCTCCGTACTCACGCAGAGTCGCGTAGTTGTACACAACGGCCTGGATAAAGGTCTTCTCAAAGTCGGTGTGGATAACACCAGCAGCAGCCGGAGCCTTAATGCCCTTACGGATGGTCCACTGGCGCACCTCGTCGGTACCGGTGGTGAAGAAACTGGCCAGGTTCAGCACCTGACGCATGGTGGTGATCACCTTGGGCAGGGCCGACTTGGTGTTCAGGCTCTTGCACTCCTCCAGGGCAGCCTCGTCGCTCTCGAAGCGGGTCAGGCGCTCCTCGAACGAGACGGAGATGGGGATCAGCGAGTCACCCGGAGAGTTGGTCTTGATCCACTCGAACACCTTGGGCAGGTACTTGTTCTTCTGGCGGATGTAGTCCTTCTCACTCAGGTTGACCAGGTAGACAACCGGCTTGGCAGTGAGCAACATCAGGGGGTTGATGGTTTCAACCTAGACAAATCAGCATGTCTCCAGGATGATTATGCAGACAATAAAATCAATGATAATCAAGTAAATCAGACGGGACGTAATCTCATGATGCCTCTACGTTGGAAAAAAATTTGAGACATTCGACGAGCTGGGTTATTTCGAGTAAAACTCTTATTCATCATAAAAGGTGTGCAGGTGTAGTGCGCGAGATAAAAGAAATAAAATAAACGTACCTCCTTGGGAGCCCATTCGTTCTTGCGGACGTCCTTGCCGTCCTTGAGCCACTCGAGCACCTTGGCAACAGTGGCCTCTTCCTCACGCAGCTTCTTCATCTCCAGAGTCTGACCACCACGCTTGGTCTGCTTCTGAAGGTTCTCGAGAGCCTTCTCGACGAACTCGATATCCTTGATACGCAGCTCCTCGCTGATGATGGTCAGATCACGGATGGGGTCGACGTCACCCTCGACGTGGATAATCTCAGCATCATCGAAGCAACGAACGACCTGGAAGATAGCATCGACGGCACGGATGTGCGACAAGAAAGCGTTACCGAGACCGGCACCGGTGGAGGCACCACGGGTCAGACCGGCGATATCATAGACGGTCAAGTTGGCGGGAACCTGAGACTTGGGCTTGTAGTGCTCGCAAAGCCAGTCGAAGCGGTCATCGGGGACAATGACACGCGCCTCTTCGGGGTCAATGGTAGCATAGGGGAAGTTGGCAGGGTTACCAAGGGACGACTTGGTAATGGCCTGGAAGAGCGTGGACTTGCCGACGTTGGCGAGACCAACCTGGAGAGAAGAGAAGAAACATTATTAAAATCTCTTCTTGAGCAATTACATTGTGTCTGCGGAATGTGTAGAGAGGAGAAGAGAAAAAAGGAAAAAGAAAAGGGGAAAGGAAGATATTTATAGGGGAGGGAGACAAGCGAGGGAGAGAAAAACAAAAGGGAAAAAAAATAGACGAAAAGGGAGGAAGGAGGCTGGGAGGGGCAGAAAAAAAACATAGTGTATGGTGGGGTCAATGCTCACATACGATACCACTCTTCAGGTTGTTTCCTGGACGGCCCAGTAGGACCTTTTCTTGAACGACGGCCTTCTTGGGGGGCATTTTGGCTTTGGATGCTTTCTTCTTCTTGCTTGAGTAGCAGCGGCGGGAGAGGAAGAAGAGGGGCGGGGACGGAGAAGGAGGAGCAGCAGCAGCAGCAGCAAGCGAGGAGGGGAAGAAGGTAGTAGTAGCAGCAGCAAAGGATGAAGCAGGACCAGCTGCGGAGCGATGAAAGCGGAGAGACGAAGAAAGGAAAAGAAAACGGGTGCCCGGAAGGAAAGACAGGATGGCGGCGCCCACTTTGGCCGTGGGCAGAAGATGGCTGATAGAAACAAAAGTATATCTACAGTGGACAAGAGTCTCAATGGACGCGTTCCAGTGAGTGGCAGTTAGGATGACGGGCTGTAACTCTAGTGATTCCTTGTATTCGGTGCTACCCAAAGAGACTTTTCGTTCTCTACTGCTTTCCGCCGCCCATGACGACTTGACTGACTGGCGCGTGTTTTCTTCGCTAAATCGGTTTGTGCCTTTTTTTTTCACGCTCACCGCCCACGTGAGAGCCCTGCCCTGGTGTCGATGCCTCGGATATGAGGCAGTCCACGGCTTGGAAGTAACTACCTATATCTTCAGCAGATACTAACATTGATGACTCTTGAAATTCCGTAAACGTTGCGATTACCGTATGTTTCAATGCGCCATACAATACTTCTACTCTTTCTGTCTGAAAGTGGTAATTCTCATGGAGGTACTAATAACTCCTGTGGAGTGGCAGTAGCAGCAAGACCCTAATAGTATATAGTATGAAGAGTGCTGAACATAATTGGTATTCGCATCGCATACATCTCCAGTATAACCAAGCAACGATGATATCGATGAAGGAAGAAAAGCAAGAGACACCATCAAATACACAGGCATCACCCAACATAAAATGATATAATACAGAAACAACACACAGTGTGCAAAGTAGCAGCGCAAGTATGAGATGAATGCCCTCCGAATCCCAACCCGTAAGCCCAGTCATGCCAGACTAGTATAAACTATTCAGTACCCAGTCAACGCCAGCATAACGCCAAGCAAACAATCGAACATGTTAACCCAACCCCCACGACTTAGGTTTCCATGGCATCTCCCGCCTCGGACTCGTTGTCCACAACTCCCAGCAGTTTCGCATAAGGGACTGTCACACGTTGGAGGTCACGATGTTTGCCTATATCATATTAGTCATAATATAACCACACCCAGGACAAAGACGACATACCGAGAGCAAGAATCACCTCCTTCAACAACACCTCCCGTGGCCAGCCACAGAGGGTCTCGGAGCTTTCGCGCCAGTTCCGGTCGTCCTGCTCGTTATCTTGTAACCGGCGGATCGCGTCTGCATCCTCCTCTTCGAATAGCCCGCCAATCAATCCCTTCAGAAGCTCCTCGACCTTCATCTTCAGCCCCTCGGCTCCAATCCGCTTCGCGTACATGGACAGATAAAGCCGGAACTCTTCCTTAGCGCCCAAGGACAACGCAGCGGCAAGGCGATTCTCAAGGTGAGCGATGGAGACGCTGGACTCAAAGCTCTCATACCCTTCCCGCGACAGTAGCACCTTGATCAGTCTCTGAAGGAAGTAGGCACGTCCACGCAGCAGCGTCTCATTTGTGGTGTTGCGCTCCAGGAATGGAACAATTCCGGCCGATACTGCTGCCTTGGCATCTTTGTCCTGCGAGTCCGTCGACTGGAGATTGCCCACAGGCGCTTCCGTGGTGTTCCAGTACTGACTGCCAACTGCCCACCATGACTCCGAGATCCGCTGCCAGGTGTACATGGACGGCGAATAAGAATACCCCTCACCATTGGACAAGGCAACCACCACGCGACCTTCGGAGTTGATACGGGCGTTTGTGATGGCGGGCGCAGCGCTAGGGTGTGCGCCCAACGTGTGAACGGCAGCGTCAAGAACTGGCTGCAAAGAGATAGGTGGATGTGGAGATGAAAGATGTTTCACATTCCAGACATAGCACATGCCCACAGCTGAGATGCAGAGAATCCAAGGACCATTGCACTCCAGAATCACTGGCTGTGCCTCGAGAACCAGAGCGCTCACCAGCCGACGCCCAGCCGGCGTCCAGATGTATACCGAACCGTCTTCGCAAGCTGCAGCCCACATGCTCAAATTACCTGTTACCAGAAGAACAGTGCGTGGGAGAAAGTCCTGCCACAGGGGCTGCTCGCCACGGAAAAGCGTGAGCCGCACTGGCTCCCGATCGACCGCACGCCCCGTCAAGCTGGCCGGTGATGGATTGCGTGCTTCGAAAACTACGTCAACTCGCGACTTGTTGGATTCCCCCGACGCATTGGGCTCTGTCGGTTTCCCAGTTGGATCGATGGCTCGTACTATCTGACTGCGGACCTTGGGTACCGCCAATCGAAGCTGACTGATTGCCATGCAAGGATTCATAACAGCTGGTCGAATGAACTCTGGCGTTTGCTGCTGACCTGTGGGAGCAGGCTGCGGTTGTGCAGGAAGTAGACCGTCGGGCGTGCTTGCCAGAATGGGGGTGGCTCCGTTTTGGCTGGCCAGCGCCACGCGCTTTTCAACATGTCCATCGTCATCGCCCTCTAGCTGAGCGAGCTTGCGCTTGTTTCCAAAAAGCAGTGCTGCTAGACCACCCTTGGGTAAACCATCGAAAGGCTTGGAGAGGTCCACGATCGATTGCGGTGTGTCGGCCTTGACTTGGCTACTGACCGACGCCATTAGTCGAGCTTGTGGAAGAGAAGATTCGGCCGCTCCAGCACCCGATACCAAAAGAGGGGCGATTCGTTTCTTTCCATCCTTCGTATACGTTGGACGCTGCTTCAGCCTCTCGAGTTTCGCCTGGTACGGATCGGGCTTCTCCGGCTCCTGTGCTGCGGGTGTGCCTGCGGTTCCGTTCGGCTGAGACTTTTGTGTATCCGGTGTAGGAGACGGCGCTGGAGCTGGCGTTACACCATTTGATGCCCCTGAGCCAGGCTTTCCATTGACCTTGCTGTCTGCCGCCGCATGATCGTCACCCATCAAAGCACCCATGCGGCCTTCGACTCCCTTGATCTCTCCAGCTTTACTCTTCTCCTCAAGAAGCAATCCGTCCGTAGTCTCGGTGATGCCGGCCCCCTTGCGGTTCGTGCCAAACTTGGTAAGCGATCTCTCATTCTCCTCCATCTCCATCGCATAGCCTAGATCCCCATCTTCAAACCGTACTGCGAGGATGGTACCGTCGAGAGCGGTGGCATACAGGCATTTGCCATCCGGACTCCATGCCAGGTCGGAAATGGACTTGGCAGCCAATTCTTGGGCAACCACGATAGGTCTGGGGTTACTGGTGATCCAAATGCTGAGTGACTTGTCACCGCCTGCGCATGCAATAACCGTAACCGAGTTGTGAACCGCATGTCCTTGGCTATCCACCGTCGGTTTGGTGATCGGTTGGGGTGAGTACAACCGCGGAGAGAAAGCGCAGACTTCTACCGGTGCCTCATGCCCAATGAGATTGATATCGCCATCCCACGAACCCCGGTTGATGATCGCAACCGAGCTGACAGGACCATTCACTGCATTGGCCGCTGCGATGTGCATACCATCCGGAGACCAGGAGCACCGGCGGAAGTAGGCCGTCAGCGGGGAGTTGGAGAACGGCGCAGAGATGGTCTGCTCAAGGATGAAGTTGTTCATTTGGTCATGAGCGCTGGAATTCGGGGCAGGAGACGTAAAGCGGAAGATCCGAACAGTACGATCGTCGCTGGCCGTAGCAAAGTACTTATTCGCCGGATCAAATGTAACGCCCTTAACGTGACTCTGATGAATAGAAAGGGTCTTGAGCTTCTCAAACGTCGTCCCCGACCACACGACAACCTTCGAATCCAACCCAACCGAGACCAATATCGAAGAATCGTATGACCACCCTAAATCCTGAACATCATTATCATGGCCGATCAATCTCCGAATCGTGCGCCAGTTCTCCACAGGAGGTGCCTCGTTCGACCCTAAACATGCAAAATCATCAGTCACCATGACCCCAAACCTACAACGAACAAGCCACAAGCATCACCTACCAAAGGTCGACGCATGGGACGGCGGATTGGCGTCCAATGTATAAATGCACACAATCTTGTCGTCCGCCCCCGAGGCGAGGTATTTCCCATTTGGCGAAAACCGCACCGTGTGTATTGTTCCAGAGTGGTTGCTCATCGATGCCAGCTGCTTCGGCTTACTGGCATTTTCCGGGTCGTCGGTGTTGCAGATAGCCTCTGTCGACCATATCCGAACGTATCCATCTGTATTGTACATACATTTCCTATCAATCAACCATTCCAACGGGCAAAACCGCAGGTAGATAAAAGGGAAATGAATCCGGAACTGACCTCCAGCTGCTGTCACCAAGCGACTCCCATCGGGGGATACATCGCAACTATAAACCTCGAAATCCTTCCGTTCGCCTGTATAACAAGAAGAGGGAAAGATGTTAGCTAATGAATACTTGACTGAAGAAAGAGAGAAAGGGGGATTGCAGGGAATTCAGGACGATATCCTCAACCACACATTCATTTATCGTCCGGCAGAAGTCCAAAAGGGAGGAGGGAGGAAAGGAAAACATTACCCCCATGTGTCAGCCAAACGGGCTTGATGATATGCATGGCGGAAACACCGTCGATGCCCTTTGTTGTAAATGAATCCTCCTCTTTCTATCTCTCTCTCTGTGTAGGTGCTTGTCCGGGAGCGGTGATTTCACTGGCGAAGTGGGTGTGGTGTGTGCCTGATAGTAGTGTAGTTGCTGGTGCTAATTTGAGGATTAACTTATTTGTACCATCGCAAAGAAGCTTTGTTCTTCCTAGCTCATCGGGTAACGGGGCCCGTCCGATCGCGAGTAAATCGATGAGACGCAGAAGAGGAGCCCGTGGGGAAGGCAGACGAAGAAAGGGATCGGGAGGGTTTCAGCGCAAGGAAAACGGGCGATGAGATGGCGCGCCTTGGGTTCAATGAATGAAAGTCGCGATCCCCAGGATGGGCGGCGCGGGAGGCGGTGGCCCGAGCTTCTGCCGCCGATCCCAGGCTCTAAAGTTAAGGGTTAAAGTAGATGAGGAAGTAATTATTGGAGGGGTATCGGAGATTACCATCCAGAATGAATATCTACTGCCGTCTACGATTGAGAAGGGAAGGTCCCTTGAATCCACTTTTGTCTACTGTACATGATCCAGACACAGACTGACACCCGTTTCGCCAACTGCTGTAAGTTGATGCACGCGCTCAACACCCGGTAGCCGTAGCTCTCATTCGAGTAGAACTCCCGAAGCATCATGCATCAGTACCTGACAGGGCACATAGGGCGATAGAGATACAAAATGGGCAGAATAATGGGCGATTCATCCAGAAAATTCGTAATCGGTGATTATAAAGAGGCAACCGCAAAGGGAGATGGGTCAATCATAGTCAAACAACAAGGCTAAGAAAAGCTAGAAGAACATGGATGCCGCTTGTTCATTGGTGTCTCTGTTGGCTAACCTGGTCAAATCCTTCTAGAACATCCTGAACGGCATCAGGAGTCTTGTGTTCCTTCTCCGCATCGACGTTGTCGTACTCCGGTGTCTGCTCCGACTTGGCGCTGTTGGAAGTGGTCTCCGTCTGAACCGGCTCCTGGACTCCCAGAGACTTCGCTGCGATGGTCTTGGCCTGGCTCTCATTGATCTTGCCGTACACAGCCATGGCATTGGCAATCATGCCACCCATGTCGCCAACGTTACCGGGAACGACCACGGCAGTACCCTCCTTGGCAAGGTTGGAGAAGGCCTCAACGTACTTCTCGGCGACGCTCAGGCTGACGGCGCCGTGAGCATTGTCCTTGCCAGCCTCGATCGCCTGAGCAACGGCGTCAATGCCTCTGGCGGTCGCCTTGGCCTTCAGCAGGATGGCCTCGGCTTCACCCGCAGCACGGTTGATCTGTTCGGTCCGCATAGCCTCGGAAGCCAGGATAACGGACTGCTTCCGACCCTCAGCAATGTTGATTGCGCTCTGTCGCTGACCTTCGGACTCGAGAATCTCCGCGCGCTTCGACCGCTCTGCCGTCACCTGGCGGTGCATGGCCGCAACGACACCTTCGGGGGCGTGGATATCCCTAATTTCGTACCGCAGACACACAACACCCCAATCGCGCGCGGCCTCGTTGATGGCCTGTGTGATGTTGGTATTTAACGTGGCGCGCTCCTTCAGAACGTGATCCAGGGTAAGTTGGCCGATTTCCGAACGCATGGTCGTCTGCGCAAGTTGAGAAATGGCATATTCGGCATCCTCCACTCCGTAACTGAAGCCCGAAGAATCGCATGGTCAGTCTGTGTCCAACAATCGAAAGAAAAAAAGATCCCCCTTCCAGGACTCTCTGCGCAACAACTGTCCCGTGTCGCACTCACCTGGCTTTATACGCGTCAAAAACCCTCGTGTATAACACGCCATCCAACTCCAAGGTTACATTGTCGGCCGTGATGGCATTCTGACTGGGTATCTCGATAGCCGACTCCTTCAAGCTCTTAACATAGGCAATCCGGTCCAGGAATGGGATCAAAATGGCGAGACCGGGTTCTAGAATCCGATGGAACTTGCCCATCCGCTCGACAATCCATGCTGTCTGTTGGGGGACGAAGCGAACAACGGTGTTGACAGGAAGGGAAGTGCGATTGGAGAAGTACGTAGGTGGTGCACTGGACGAGGCCCCAGAGCCTAGGGGCAGAAATGATGTCTCTGGTGCAAGTCTCCGAGGGGTGTTGGAAGCATTTCTCCGTCGAATGCGGTTGAGAGGGTATGTAGTTGGGAGAGCAGCGCCGGCAATGCGAGGGCTGGAGAGAAGGGATCGGCTATTTGAGGGCCGAATAAGCCTCATTGTCTGTCGGGAGGCCACATCCATTGTGGTAGACAAGAATCTGAGAGGGGGTGGAGGAAAGGATTGAACTGGCCTGACCGGAGACACTGGGGAAGCTCGGAGTGAAGCTCAAGCCGCTCGGGTGAAGCTGGCTGGCCGCTCCGGTTTCCGCCTCAGGCATTGAATGCTGAATCAGCGACTCCAAGATGCGGTCCCTGCAGCTCTACCCCATACTTCATGCTTCATAGATAACTATCTATCTATTGCCTGATCTTAAGGAGAATGATCGCCTTAAAGTACCTCATGCGAAACTAAGATAGATCATGATAAAACTTATATATATTAGAATTGCGTCCTGTAAGTTCACAAGTCGAAGGCAAAGACTCCTAAGCTATAATGCATTTGATCCTGTTTTGCGTTACCTCGGACTACTCGTCACATCCTCGCCCAACTAATAGATTACTCATAATGTAATGTGCAAAAGTCTCGTCAGATGAAACCACCGGCATGCAAAAAGCAAAGAAAGATGGAATGTCAGCAAGGCGTCACCCTTCAAGCCCAGAGTAACCAGACCAAGTCAGTAGAGATGCTTATATCAAGTCCTCGTAGCCATGCGAGCAAAATCATTCATTGTAACTGGCCGAGCATCTCCCTCACCGTCTGGGGACGAACAGTCCGACTGAATTTGGGTGAAGGAAGTTGAAGATGAAGAAGAAAAACGAGCTGCTTATCCTTTTTGGGTTTTTCTGGTTCCATTCGTACTAAACATCGACACAAGAAGGGTAAACAATACCACGGTATTAAAAAGCAAATAACCCGGATGAACATTCTATGGTCGTGGAAAGAATTTCAGCCCGGCGTACCTCAAAGCAAGCATCAAGAGCAGATAAACACTGCCCAGTAAAACATGCCCGGACTCCAGAAATTTTCGAAACCTCCCATGACTGAAATAAAAAAATGCGAAGGAAACATGAAAAAAAAGATATGCCGAGACCTTCCATGTGCATGAATGTTCCACTTCAATGGACACATGTCGGCGAAGAAAGAAGATAAATGCAAGTCATGAGCACAAAAAGCAACAATAGTAACATAGATGATGGAGGAGACAGGTCGAGCGGAAATGGAAGAGTGATAGAGAACGAAAACAAACGACATAATTACTTTTTCAGCTCGGCTCTCAGGCTAGCATCCCAAGTGCGGTCCTTTGGTGCCCCCGGTTTCGGACAGGGACTTCGTCATAGCGAACAGGGTCCGAGACAGCCTAAGCGTAGCTCGGGTATCAAGAGGATCGCCTTTCCTCAGTTCATTGAAAACCGATGAGCTTTCTCATACCCCTGTCGCTCGTCGAAAGTTGCCGCAAAAGGTGAAGACTGCAGAAGCCGCCGCTGACGTTTCGTGCAAATAAATCATCAAACGCTAGACTCTTAAATTCATTGTACATTTGTGCATTGAAATTTTGGACCAAGAAACGTGACCAGATTTGGTACAGAACATCCATTCCACGGTCACCGTCTTGGGTTGCCGTTTCGAAAATCGCTTATCGAGTGCTCGTAATCGAAGTGTGTAGAAGTCGTCGAAAATAAGGAAAGAGACAGATTAGTGAAACGTTCTTCTCGAATCCAGGTTATCTTGAGCTTTCGCAATCTGACATATGAGCAGCCTATTGGTTCAGGCCTCGCATATTTCATGATTAGACTGCCAAGGAGTCAGTGGTGTTCGCCGAAGAACTCATTTCAGTCATTGCACACCTGAAAGGACAGTTGCTGGGATCCCGAGAACAAAGGAGAATTCAACAATGCACCAAATTATTCAGCCTGCTGTTTAGAAACGTTAACAGATGCCTCGTACAAGTTTGAGAACAGGATTGAAAAATTTCGACTGCCAGATGCGTTGTGCAAAATTGGGCACAAACAGCACGGCCGTCGTTCATCAAAAGTAGCAACGAAGAAGGGGACAAAGTCGACCATCACAGGGGATTTCGTACATTTGTGATTTCAGTTTGGCCATTCTGAGTGCCAGCAGGCGAAAACTCCGGAGCAGTAGACGATAGCGACGTCTTGGGACCGTGGAAATCAGCGGTACCGTTAAGAACTTGTCCATTGACAGCCCCATCAACGTAGACGTCTTCAGGCTTCGCAGAACTGCTAGGAGAAGGACCGTCATTCTGGGCAGAAGGGTCACGCTGGTCCATAGGGAGAACCCATTGCTCCCACTTCTCTCTCGGCCGCAGACGGTCCAGCCCATCTTCAGCTTGAACATACTCGACGCTCCTCAGCTGGCGAGCAACATGGCGCAAAAGCTCGAAGTCTTCGGTCAAGCTCTTGACGCGCTTGAAGCTAGCAATGAAAGCCAGCCCAACATAGCCCTGGGAGTCCATATGTTTGCGGAGGAAAAGATCCTTGCACAAGTTATCCACGGAGAAGTAGTACTCGACCTGCATCGAGATCATGCCAATCTGGGAGTAAGGGTCGTAGTACTGGCCATAGGGATATGCGGTCATCGGCCCAGCATGCATGGGCTGGTAGCCATACATCGTGTTGATATCACCAGGGTAGGGGTAGACACCATACATGGCAGTGGAATTCGGCAGGGAAGGCGACCTGATGTTCATTCTGTGTCCTCCAGAACCATTGACAGGGCCATGTTGTTGCGACCTCTGGCGATCGTTGAAGCCAAACTTGGGGTGCATGAAATTGTGGTGCGACATGTGGTTGTTGGGGAAGTGAGCGTTCTGAGCACCGTTGAAGCCAGCATGGCCTCCACGGCCTCCCCGATGTCCGCCTCGTCCCCGTTCGGGGCGCGACTCACGAGGGAAGTCCTTCTCCTTGCGCTCGCGATCGGCGTGGAAGCTAGCGAAATCTGCCGACTTGGGGCCATTCTCGAAGCGACGGTCCTGGCGAGGACCAGCCTGGGCATCCACAGAAAGCTGAGGGTTACGAGCGCCATGCTCGCCACCCTTGTGGCCTGCATCATGGCCCTTCGCGAACTGCTTGGCATGGTGGCGGGGGTAAGTGTCCGCCCCGTTGGCGTTTCTTCCGGCCGGTGCTCCATTTGCATTCTCTCCCTTGGGCCCGCGGTTGCGGTCCGCTGCCTGGTGTTTACGCGCATCTGGCAGTCCAGCGTCAGCGCTGTTAGAGCGCCTTGACTGGGCGGGAAGCGAGTTGGCGCGACCGGAGTTCTGCTCGTTTCTTCCTCTGTCAGCAGAGGTGGCCTGCTTTGGCGTAGAGCCCTGCGCAGCCTGGCCGGAAGCCTTATCAGCACCGGCTCCAGCACCATGTGTTCCGTTGCGGGAGTTTTCGCGTCCACCGCGGGCAGCCCTTCCGCCTCTACGAGCAGAGGGAAGAGGGGTGTTGAACACAGCGGTAGGAACGTAAGGAACGGGCATCCACTTCTCCTTGCCGTGAGGGCGGATGACAGGGCTCTTCTCAGTCTTCTCGGACTTCTCCTGAGCCTTCTTCTTCTCTTCACCCTGAGCAACCTGGGGTGTGGGCCAGAGGCTCTCGTCTCCAACAGGAGGGATGCTGGCGCCGTCATCACGTGCCTTATTTCCATCAGCCTTCTTCCGGTCCTTGGCGCCATCCGAAGGAACGTCAGATCCCTTCTTCTTGGAGGCCGGTTTCGACTCGGCTTGGTGATCACCAGACACTGAGGAAGCGGCAGATGCAGTCTTCGAGGTGCCCGTCTTGGAGGCAGGCTTCAATGCGGCAACGGCCTTGGCCTTGGCCTCCTGCGCCTCTTTCCGCTGCTGCCAAATGTTCACGGAAGGGAGCGGGGCAGCCTTCAGTTCCTTAGCAGGCACAGCCTTTTCCTTCTCAGCGTTCTTGTCCTTCGTGCTGTCTGCTCCAGTATTCGTCTTCTCGGTACCCGAGGCTTGGGACTTGTTGTCCCAAGTAGATTCCGAAGTACCGTTGGGAGTATCTGTTCCGTCCTCATCCTTGGGGACAGATGACGTGGAAGAGTTGCCATCACTCGATGCTTCAGAAGCGTTGGCCTTGGTAGCTGTAGAATCGACTTCCTTCTCGATAGTGTGGGTCACCTCGGTTTCCTGGGCTGTTTCGGCCTTGGAAGGCACGGCATCTGCATTCGTCTGCGAGCTAGAGTCCACACTCTGCTCCTCCGGCTTCGAACCCGCTTGGGTCTGCTCTTCCGGTGATGTTTTTGCTGGGGACTGCGCGGGGGCAATGCCCTTTGCTGCTTGAGCGTAGGAAAATGAAGCGGCCATTTTCGATACGTGGGGAATAAACGCGGTCTATGAAGCCCGTTCTAGTGAAGAAAAGAGAAAAGCGAAGAAGTCAGTTCTGCCAGAGAACAGATACCTCCGCGATAAGCTGTCAACCGTAGTTTGGTTGGAATAACTCCAACAACGATGGCAATCAGAAAAAGACTGTTGCCCTTGAGCAACCCCACCAAACGCAATTTCCCGACACGGAATTATTGAACCTATTCGGTAGCGGACAGCTGAACTGACGTTTGTCCAATCGATTAAAGACGCGGTCGATAGTACGAAGTGTAGCGTAACAACAGATGTAGTCGAAAGATCCCTTGACTAATGTTGAAACCTAGCACACAAATCGCATCCAAAATGCTTTCGCACGGCACAATTTATGTCCAGATCCGCTAAACGGCGAAGGAGGAAGGGCCAACAGGAGTCGATGTGGAAATCGTAAGACGAGATCGCTTCGGTAGGAAGGCGTCCAAAGGAGGTTTCTAACCGATTCGCTCGATGTGCTTGCTGTAAGACTGGCCACAAAAAGCACTCGCGGTGTGCGGTTATGATATTCGGGCCGTCGGAGAATCCAACTGCGCTGCCTCTTGGCTTGGTGTCGTATCGACGATCACGTAAAGAATCGATATACGCTGTCGTTTGCGAGAGAACTCGTTAACCTTGCACCTTTAAAAGTGTTATAAAGCGTAAACGAGGCGCGACTTGCACGTGGCAACAACCGCTACTGAACTTGGTGGGTTTTCAGATTTGCCAGGTACGGAAGGGCAAGAGGAAAAAAAAATGTAAGGAGCTGCGACGGAAAAAAGTTCGAGGCAGGACCCGTGCGGAGAAAACAAAAAATAGGCTGAGCAAGAAGAAAGTGATCAACGATCAAATTAACTTGTCAACGAGGAGAGAAATGGGCAGGAAAAAGAAAAGTAAAGTAGATGGGTGGTCCCGCTGAATACAAGGATACCTCTGTCTGTGTGTGAAGGAGGATCTCGGGGAACGGAAAAAAAGGCGCACTGCAGAAATGGAGCACCACCTCACTATAGCAACACAGGTCACGGGTAACCGACGGAGGGTAACCACAGGGAGGGACAGAATCCCAAAATGTTGAAACAGTGAAGAGGGGAGGGGGGAAAAGAGAAGAGGGGGGGGGGTTAAAGGGGAGAAGCAAGAAGGAAGAGAGAGAGAGAGAGAGAGAGAGAGAGAGAGAGAGAGGAAGGGTAGAGACTGTGTGTGTAAGAGAACGAAAAATAATAATGGAATAATCACTTACAGGCCGGAGGGACGTGGAAAAGCCGAAGAAGGCAGGCAAGAAAAGTAAGTACTAGTCAGAATTGTGGAATCCGCCAACAGAGGGTTAATAAAAAAAAAATTGCACGGGAGGTTCGTTCTACTTTCAAGGTACAGTAAAGTAATCGAGTTTTCCGCGTGTAAAAACAGAATTGTCTTGCCAAATAATACGGGTATCAATGGTACCCAGTGTGTACCATAATTCCTACAGTTCCGAAGAGCAGGACGGGCTCTGCTCACACAAGGGCAGAAAGAGGTAAGGGCGTAGAATGGATCAAGTCAAAAATCGCAGAAAAAAGTAGTGAAAATTGTTATTCCTGCCATATACCCACATCGTCGTCTCACGATGTGGTTCGTGGACTCCAGGGTTGTTGTGGGTATGAACCGTCCTTTTACTTGTGCTGGAGGTAAATATTCCGGGTAAAGATCTGGAAGTTGTATGTAAGTACCAGCAGATGAGTTTGAATTGCTAATGAAATTTGCTGAGTTTTGATGGGTATTTTCATTAAATTCTTTAGATCGGAAATACGGCAATCGCAAATAAGAAAAAGGTGAAATTAATCCAATGTAGTATTTTTGTCTCGAGGACTACTACTGTCGGTATCCCTAGATATGATGCCCGCCCATAACTATCATGCGGGCCGTATTATTACCAACAACCAATGTGGTAGTAAGTATAACAAACGCATTTTCTACCTCCGAACCAGTCTGTCTTGTGGGCAAGGCTTATGAGATTGAAGGTCGGGAGAATGCGTGGGTGGCAGCTTACCACCAGCAAGTCATCCCACTCTTTGACTCCCAGCAAGTCCTTTCCAGCAACCCCTCACTTCCCCTCTATGCCCAAGCCCAAAAAAACCCTTTGACTGGCGACTGTCCTAATTCGGATGTCCCAGCGGCACTAACCGTAATGGTCTCCGGTTTCAATTCGGCTCTCGAAATACACATTCCTCTGTTACCAATCGTCATCCTAAACTCGAACGAGGCAGTAGTCAACTCGTGATGCTTGACACCTGGAAGTCTAATTAACATAATCAGGTCTTGTGAAGACACCAGATACCCTCCGTGGTCGTGGGTAAAGTGACACGACCACAATTCTAGTACCTCGCAGACTCCCCTCGTCTCTGATGCTAACCACTTTGGCTTAAGTCCTCATTTACCGAAAATGCAATGGACTGCAGGTGCGCGCGACTTTGAACCGCTACCTCACTGATGGCGGGGCTCGGAGGGGTTCTGTGATCCATGCATGGATGGGGCTGATGCCATCATCTGGTAGGCCTTTTTCACTGGTTCTGTCAAGGGCTCCGGGCCACTCAATTTTGTCGAGTTGATCCAACCGCGTTGAGAGGAATATGGAGGAGAAGCGAATAATAATACCCAGGAAATATAACGGCATTACTACGTAGTAGTTTAGGCATGGTTTTAATTTGAACCATACCCACTATGCGTTTAGGCCACGCCCAGGCTACATAGGACGTGGGATGTCCTGGTCCTACAGAGCACAATATCTATAATCACAATGCATAACAAGTGAGCATCCTGCTGCCTTCCCAATGCATCTTCTAGATAAGGGTGTCGGGTTTTGGAAACATCGATACGGTGGCTTATCGGTGCTGGAGTGCTAGGACTAGTCAGGTGATCTATCAGCTACGTGCCTGGTTCTGCAATGATTTCTTTGCATCTTAACTACCAATAGCAATGCAATCATTGTCTTTTGTTTCAATCTTTAGTCCGAGATCGTTCGCTGGTGGAAGGTGTAGGGTGGCTGATTCACTCGCACTTCGAGCTCACAGGCAAGTTGAGTATCCGTTTTCTACGCCGCCAGTAGCTCCAGTAGGAGAATCTCCTCATCGACAATGACCCCGATCAGTTATCAGGTAGATATTTTACATTTATATCAGGTCATAACGCTCGGAAAGTGGGAGACTGAAATGTCTGTCATACTTCTTGATTCTGGATTATCACATTCCCCACACAGGCTTCAAAAGTAACAGTCGATCTTAGTGTCCAGGTATGACAATATGCCGTTCATATCAGTTCCCAGTATAGTCATGAGACTCGTTCCCCTAAGGCATGCTAAACTTAATATTACTAGCCAGGTGCGACCATACAAACCATATAGTTCAACTACCACCAAGCTCCAGTGAGCCACAGTTCCAACCTGATCTACTGTCAGTGCCCCGACCCACCTGGCTAGACCACAGGAGTAAGCAAAGAAATCTGAATCATGGCAGCTAACACTAAGCCTATGCAAACAGGCATGTAAATCAATGACATTCTTGTAGCTCGGGCATCTAAGTAAGGTTATATCCCATGTCAACCGTGTCAAACAAAGAACATGCTCGCTATGCCAAGCATTGAATACCGGAGAACTATCAATAGACACATGTCGGTGAGCTATGAATGCTAGAAATTAAAATGTTAATCCCACTTTGCCTTCCAAATACTAATCTAATATACCCTCAAGCTTGACAATCCATTAATATTTCACACTCAAAAGGGTACGCATCTACATACTAGTAAGTTATCCTAGTCTAATCAACTAGACAACCGCAAATCTCCGAAGTTTGCTTCATACCGTATCAACTTCAAACACCACTCTAACCCAATGTAGTCAAGTGCCCCCAAACTCCAATACATTGTGAAGTTAGATCATGCAGCCTGTAAAGGAAAGGACTTTCTCCCAAACAGTACAGTAATTATAAGGACCCTTGAAGCCAATCCAATTAACAACCCGTGCCAAACTACATAACCCTTTGTTTCCCAAACAATTGCAGAGTATACCCAGTACCAGCCATATAGCTAAAGAATAAAAACCTCCGAGACCATTCATCTATAATGGTTACCACTAATAGGCAGGGAACGCAGTAAAATGCAGGGGCATTCCATACCAACCAACAAGGTACGGAGTTTATTGATTGATCTCCTTCTCTTCCTTCCCCAACAAGCCAGCCAGTCAGCCAGCCAGCCAGTCAAGTCTAAGCCATCCGTCCATCTATCCATTCATTTTCCAGTACGGAATTACAATAATGTCCTTTATCCCATGCATGATCCCGCAGCAACAGCAGCACCACCACCACCACCACTGCCGCCGCCGCCAGCCGCGCGCCACACCGTCCTTCTTCAAAGTGAAATAAATAGATAAACAAACATCCATTCCTTTCCACCAAAAGACAACTACTAACCGCAATGACTTATTCACATTACCTATCCAATCACACGACCGACATATTACTTTACAAAACAATTCTCTAAGTACTACTAACTAATGAATATCAGTGTAGCGGAAGCCAACCTACCTAACCTCGGATACGCCCGGCGTAACCGGACAATTTATGCAACCAACCAATCTCAATAATGGTACTAACTACATAACCCAACAAACTATCGCTTAACAAGTCTCAGCCCCAGGCTGCGGTTCACGTCAATTAGGGCTGAGACGCGCGCGCGCGCGCGATCAATAATTATTATTATTTGGTCTCGTGGAAGCAATAAGTTTTTTCTATTCCCCTCTTTTTCCTTTTTTCGGAATTCCTCGGAGAGCCCAAGGTAGATAATGGATCCGAGCCGAGAATACAATTGCCAACCATAGGCCGAGATATTTCCTGTTTCCGACGGCGGAGAGTCTTGCATGGTTTGGGTTGCGTTGACGAGAACACTAGTTTACTTTTGTTACTGCGCTAAAGTATTTAGTTGGTAGGGGTGGTTCCGTTCCGTCCGTCCGTGTGCCGGGGTGTCATCACGTGCGATGATGCTGGATTGGGAGATATAGTCTTGTTGATTTCGAAGTTGTGTATTGTTTTTGTGAAGAATTGAACAGTCTTCTATGTGAATGAGCATAGCTGCACATTAGGCTTATATTATATTTTGATCATATTTGTCGTCCATAAATCATAACTCATCTCTACCAATGTCGGACACTAACCAGAATCTGCTCCCTTGGATCCAACTGAATAGATGACTGCTGCCCTGTCACTAATCCTAGGCGCATGAGGATCTGCCATACGAGCTTGCGCTTCAAGCTCTCTCGGACGGGAATCTTCTCGAGCGCGTCATACCCGTTGAAGTATTTGATAAAGGTCGGCCAGTACTTCTTGAGCGATGTCCGGAGTCCCGCGTATTCAAGGTCCCCATCGGGAACGTCGCCCTGAAGTTCGGGGAACCGCGCCATGACCTCACCTAACCATCGAGACTCTAATGGTGAAGCACGGTGTGGGTAAAGAATGAGCGACGACGTTTTTAAGGAAGTGTTTTGGTCCAGGAGAGAATGAGAGAGGTCGAGCTCGTTGTTCCGTTTATACCGACCTGGCATTGGCGTTTCATCGCCGCTTCCGTTGCTGCCCAGTGATGATGACGAAGATGAACTGGCATCATCAAGGTCCTCCCTTATCTCGGTATCTGACGCCGATCCCCTTTTGCTCAAGTATTTATCAACTTCTTCCTGTCGAAGGGCCGTCTCCACTGCCATCTTGATTTCAGGGCTTATTTTGACTCTTGCAAAGGCTCGCAATTGAGTGACCCAGCCACCTCGTAATAGCCACGCTAAAATGGCGAAGTATGTGTCTTTGTGGTCTTTGCTTGGAATGAAGCTTCCGTATGGTCTGGGCGTTCCGCTCATAGCTGATAGCATCTTTGGGAGACTTGGGAGTGTCGGGAACGCTGCCTGATAAGCCGCTGTGGCTACCTCAAGCTTGCTCAGATCGCAGTTCGGCGATACGATGTAAGTATCTCTTTGATGGAGTGGAGGGATTGCTCGCGCTCTTCTCCAATACACTAGATGGCTAGCCAGCATCTGTATTGTGGAAAGCGGTATGCCGGATGATACAGAGATTTGCGCAAACGACTTCGTTGGCTTCGAGCACCGAATATAATGGGCAAGCGCAGGAGCCAGAGCGCCCCCGGATGCTTCAACGTCTTTGAGAATCGATGCCTCATTGTCCAGCAATAAGAGGGCAAAGTGTTTAGCAAGGACCTGATGGGGCGCGGTGTTCTCATCGGCAGTGGGATCATCGACCGGAGTGACACTGTCTGCCGTTGTAAGCCAGAGTCCCGGATATGCCTTGTCAGTCGGCCCAGGAAGCCATGGCGTCGAGGTCAAAGGTGGTATCTGGAGTGAGATGGACACGTCTGGACTGAGGGACACTGAGGCAATCTTGGAGGCCGATATGCTGGTGAAAACAGTGCAGATAGCTCTTGCAAGAGAGGACTGGCTGATTAGCTCCGAATAGAGGCTATTCACGGACATTCCTATTCATCGCTCCGTCAGCAACCAAACCTGCGCCACATCGACAGGACCACATACGCTTCTCTTTAGCCTTCTCCTTGATATGTGAGATATGCTGCGCCTCCTTCCAAACATAATCCGTCCGAGCCTGCTCCCACTTCAAAGCCTTCGAGAACTTCTTAATAATATTGTCGTAAATCTCCCTCAACCGCATGGAATACTCCAACAACGGCGGATCCAAAACAAACACGACATTAAACATAGTCATGCAATCCTTATCATCCGGATCCAGTGCCTCACTCAACGTCCTGAACGACCTAACACTGATCATCGACGCCCGCTGACTGTCCGTAGTAGCCATCTGCTTCGGGCTCAACGTCTCCGTCGAGGCAGCAATAAGCTCCGTACCCCGATCAGGCGAATCATCCTCAGTCCCAGCCTCATCACCCTCCCCATCCCCATCCCCATCCCCAGGAGTCTCATTATGCCCCAGCTCCCCTCCCTCCCAAGTAGCCCGAGGCTTCCTCTTCTTCCTCCTCTGCTTCCTCCACGTACCATCCTCACGCACAAAAACCGGCCACCCCACAAACGCCAAATCATTAATCCCGACCTCAAATCGCCGCTTATGCCACGACCGCGACGGACTCAACAACTTCTCCCACACATCCGCAGGGAGCCCCAATAACGACTCCCACGGCGGTCGGAACGGCCCTGCCTCATCCTCCTGTCTATCCGACGCGGCGCCTGCATCCTCCTCGGCATCGGAATTCGTCCCTCGTTTCCGCATCATCAACCCTCTCCCTGATCCCACTGAGCCTGCACGCTGGGACTCGCCGCCCGGCGAGCCCGATATGGTTGTATCGTCGACGACGCCGAAGTTACTCGACCGTCTTCCTGCCACGGGATGACTGCCTGCGACGTGTGAGGCGTTCTGGGTTGCATTGGCTGGCTGTGTCGCAGTCCCTGTGGTTGCGGGAGCTGCTGCTGTTGCCGTTATTGGTGCCTCGTCCTCATCTTCGCTGGAGGTGGAGCTGCTGTCTTCGCTAGAGCTGGATTCGTTGCTCTTGGAATTCTTGCGTGAAGGTCGGCGCGCTTTGGGCGCCCCTCGGAGTCCGTTCTCGCTGAGCGGGTTGGGCGGGTAGTGGAAGACGAAGCGCGGACCGGCTCGTGAGCGCACTATTAGAATGATTGCTACCAGGCAGGGGTCTGGTGGCCGTGCAATGGACGACATCGGTCGTAGGTTGGTGTTGGGAGTTGGATTGCTGGGAGCATTTGGGTGATTTGGGACGGGCGGAGTGATTTGATCGTTTTGGGGTTGGTGTCCTGGCGGGTCGGCTTCCCCGCATGACATTGCATGGTTACGTCTATTGCTTTAACGCTATGGAGTAGGCAGTTGTCAAGAGTTGTACATATACTAATTCTTTTTTTCCCCCAATACTTGTTTTGGATTACTCCAAGTGAGTGCACATCAAAGTTAGGTATGATACACATGTTATATACAAAACCGCAATCCCAACGCCGGAAATGGAGAAGTATCTATCCATCCATCATCAATCATAGCACAAGGTACCCTGTTTATACACTAGCCATGCCATCCCACAATATCATACAGCTCCCCAAGCTATCTTGCATATAAGGCAGGCAGGAGGGAATTATTCCTTCTTCTCCGCACCCTCTGCACCCCCACTCGGTGTAGCCTTATCCTTCTCAAATATCAATCCGAGGTTCTTGAAGTCATCCGGCGCCATTAGATTGCTAGAGGTAAGTCGCAGAGAATTAGCCATGACTCCTTCAATAGCATATATAAACCAAGAACATACTGGTCCATCCGACAAGACAGGTAGGATTTGGCCAGTTTCCGGCACTCGTCGTCGTTCACACCTCGTCTCGATTTCAGACACTTGAGGTAGTCGGTAATAAGGTGCTTGCATTCGCCTGTTCCAGCAGTGGAAGAGTAATGTCAGTTATATGTTTGCGTCGATTGAGGTGGATAGAGAAAGCGTTCGCGCAAAAGCTCAACGCTGCCGTTGAGGCGGGATAGGCTGGTTTCCAATTTAGACGGGAATCAAGGGAAGTGTACCATCATGATCGAGGGGAAAGCTTCCACGCTCGGGACTGAATCATTAAAAAATTGTTAGTTTAATCTGTTTTTCCGGGACTGTTCACTGTCTGCAGGTATATTCCAAGGCCGGGAAGGGTATAACTCACGGCGTAGGCTTCACAGGGACGGCACCGCCACCGGGAGCTCCAAAACCCATTATGGCTAAATCGGGGTACGGCGAAGATGAGCAATTGATTGATGACGAATTAATAGATTGACTGGCCCGGTGTGCCCTCCTCTGTATCTGACAATCGCTGGACACGATAGTTGCTGAAAAACGGCACGGCGAGCGGTCCGATAAGAACAAACAGAACAATCGCGACAAACAGTAAGACAAACAGAGCAAACATCTGCTGATCTATGAAGTGTCATGCAATGAGACAAAGTAGTGATACTGGGTCAGCAAGGCCAATTTCCCTGTGGAAAAGAGTCAGTAGATCCTATTATGAGCTCAATATGTCTTTTATTTCATACACTTGAGGATGATTTTCAGTCTGTGCCGTAGTAACATAATGCGGGGTACTCAACCGCAAGACGATGCAACCGCAACAACATGCGGAGGTGGAAATGAGAGACCAATAGATATAGAGTAGGCGACAATAGCTGCATGGCATCCAGCGCGCTATCCGAGGGCAGCCGCGAATCCAAGTTTGCATGTGCAGAGTCATTGGCCCAACCCCTCATGGATCCAAACAATCCGAGTTTGCATGATATGTCTCTTATATACCAATGACGTTGTTGCATCCGAGCCCGTTCCGGGCACGGTCCTGGTATATAGATAGTCGCGATCCCTTTGTCCTGTTGAGTAAGGTTGGACTACTATTGGTATGACAAGTTACGCTTCGCACTTGACTAAACTCAACTATTCGTTCAAATACTTGATCACTTGACAAATATGCCGATGTATGCCCCAACATAGCACTAGACTCCCATATACAACACACAAACTCGACACGAGCAATATAGTCGAATTGATACTAACAAAGAATACAGGAAACTTGAAGGCAGCTGCCAGTGTGGCAGCGTTGAGTTCGCACTCGAATCGTCAACTCCAGTTCCCTATCAACTATGCGCCTGTAGCATCTGCCGGAAGGTAGGCGGGTACAGTGGCAGCGTCAATCTGGGCGGTATTGCCGACAGCCTGAAGATCAAGAAGGGAAAGGATTTGATCAAGTAAGTCATGTTTGTCTGCTTTTAACTTCGTAGTGTTTTGTCTGCTATTGGATATTCGATGGGTGTTGAAGGATGGCGGTTCGGGCTGACCGGTTTAGGAAATATTCCGCTGTCATGGCGAGAGGCACACCAGATGAGAAGATCTGTGCGTCGGAGCGGAATTTCTGTTCCAATTGCAGCACCATGCTTTGGCTGTGGGATCACCATTGGCCAGAGCTCATTCATCCTTTTGCTTCGGCCATTGATACCGAACTGCCGGTCCCTGATGAGATGGTCTGCCTTATGGAGAACTCTAAGCCGGCGTGGGTGCGATGGCCTGAGGGGAAGAAGCAGGTATACGATGTTTATCCAGAGGACAGCTTGGAAGACTGGCACAAGAAGCACAACTTGTTCTTCGAGTAGATGGAGGTCCTAGGTGACGATGATACGAAGCTTTACGAGAGATGTCGACCTATGTTTTACAGAAAAGTGGGAGCATTATTTGTGAAGAATGAACTCATTATCATTATCATTATCATTATAGTAGCTATTCATAGGCGAGTGACCTGCACAATGCAATGTTAGCAGCTGTATACACAGACACTGATGCATAAATATGTATGGGTGAGAAGTTCAGTTCTCCAAGGTGAATCTTTGTTGTTTCGTCAAGGTGGTTCGGTAAGAACACAGCGATTTAAGAATTCATCATGCAACAATGAAGGAAACACGACAGGAAATACTCACACTTTTGAAGCGTCATAGACATTTTACACAGAATATTCCCTATTACTTTTCGACAGAGTTAGCATCACATGCAAGACATGGCATGAGTGACACAAGCATTGAAATGTCAACGAAGTCAGGCTATGAAACGGGTCAGCACGAGCGCATTGGTATCAGGGATATGGTCGGGACCAACCTCATTAAATCAGATTTTTTTGTAACATGTTCATTTCCAAACACATGGCGTGCAGGATCAAACAGTGTGAATAACAAGATTCATCATGTAATGTTGACTTTGGATATATGGGCATATGGAGAGGGTGATTGAGGATGAAAGTACCTGTCATAACTTGTTAGTATGACTTGGAATCGAAATTTTCTGGTAATCGCAGAACGATCGATGAAAGCTCAGGTGACGAGTTCTCAACAATGTGTACACTTCCCCAACACCCGCAAAGTTTGTACGCTTTGCTTTTGATGGATGCGGGTCAATGCACACGTTCTGTCCGCCCGTTCGTTCAAAGTATCTTCATCGACGGCCAACAAGGGCATAGATATAGAATAGTTGGTATTTACCTATCACCAGCAAGTTAGCAATGGTCACAAACAGGCTGAGTGAAGCAATGAAGTTATTTTGTAGTTGTCAGACAAGGCTGAAACTTGAGTTAAAACACGAATTCCACATGGTGATTAAGTTTGAGGAATGCCTTAAAGCGTGTCATAGGGTCATCATACAAGGAGGGGGAGAGCAAATAGAAGATTGTGCTCGCATACCTTTTAAGCATATGGAATCAAATATCATGTTGTCCGAAGATGTTTGTCACCATTAGACTACATCTGAAGAACAAGATGTTGACAAGGCATGCTCAAATACAATCAATTGTCATTGACTGTATTGAGCATGCCAGTAAACCAACTTGAGAAGGTTGGGTTGTCGACTAGTGCATGTTGTAGATGCGGTTGCAAGGTTGGGCAAGTTGAGAAAAAAATTATTGTGGGTTGCGCCGCGGTTTTATAGGTGGGCAGCTAACACCACGGCTAGCGAGTATCACCAAGAGCGTTGTTTGACCGGAAAACAAACACTTCACTGTCGAGGACCCACCCAACTAGTACTATTGCTGTTACCAATTCCTACTGTCTAGAAAATGCTGCATTTACAAGCCTTCTGAAGCTATAAGAGTTGCCAGAATTGACACCAAACTAATTATTCTTGGAGACTCACCAGGTCGCTTGATAATGGCTTGCTCAATCCTGCGGGGTATTTCCTCATCAACTCTACGCTTTCCTACCTTAAAACTCGCTTGTTCTAGCGCATAACTTGATTAGTTCTGATTTATTTTTGCTGAAAAGGCTAGAAATTGAGACTGCAAGACTGGTATAAATTGTAAAACACTTTAACGACTTACTAATGAGCTGGGTACCAGCTCCAGCTTCTATCCCAAACTGCTTATACTACCTAACCACTTCAACCGGCCCTTCGGCTTCGGCAAGGTGTTTTTCTTACTACTATCTAGTACTAGTACCAGACGAAAACAGTTGAGCTGGTCTTCCGAATCATTGGGACCAAGGTTCTGGGATAGTAGCAAGTCAAAGGCTCATACCATTTCAAAGATGTTGCCGTGGAAGCTTAACCTCCTCACTGCACACCCTCAAGTCTACCCAGAGGTGATGAGAGCCCTGCTCTAGATGGCAGTTATTCAGATATCAATCAAATCCGTCGATGGCATACTTACAAAGTATACCGCGCTATTGATGTTTCTCAGTGCAGTTTCTTTTCATCTGACTCGTGGGAAGGCTTCGAGATGATGTGATGCGTTATATGCATGCATCCTTCAAACTTACTCACTTACAGTATCTAGATCGCGATTCATCGTACTGTCTTGTTCTACCTGCGTGCAAAAGACCGTACCAAATGTGGAGTCACAGAGAGATCGACAAGCGAAAACGGCAACGGTTCTGCATAAGGTACTGCAAGACAGATCGGACCCGGGAACCTCAGGGAAGGCTCAAATCAATATTGAGATAACGGGAGAGGAGAATTGGCGGAAGATCGGCCAACAGGGTACTTAATATGTTGCTGTATATGGCACAGCGATTGCCTTGCGACCATTCATGGATCGCTGTCATGCCTATTCTAGCCTTATGGATGATGCCCCGAAGCGGGCGTCATGTCGACCTAGCAACTGATTCGCACGTCTCGATTATGGTCGATTTGCTCTAGTCTAAAGATATGGGCACCTTGTAATGCCTTTTCTGGGCCTGTCTCACGAGTAAACACATCCAATGGGTTTCAGCCATCGTTGCTCACAAAGATGCGATGTTTGGTATAGTATTTGAGCTCCGGAGGAAAATCATATGGCACGACACGCAGTATACGAAGCGACCGCCGCCCTATGTTTCTGCAGCTATCTAGCACTTGTGCAGCGCCTTTGCCTCTCCGGATTTGTTGTGTACAGAGCGACTTAACAACAGGATATCTTGACTAGACCCACAGTCGAGGATAGGTGCCCTGCTTGGTAACACAAATTTGAGGTAAACCCCCATCCCCACCGAGCACGCCTTTGGCGCAAAGTATGTCGGGCTTCGAATCGTCCAGAAACGTTCGAGTAATGTGTCCTGACTGCGACTCGTTGCTACATTAACTTTGGAAGCTCCGTTGAGGGCCAGTCTGGATTGGAGCTTTAGTGGGTCCGCTTCAAAACGTCATCGGCCCTCTCCCGACAGAAACCCAAAGTTCTATCTGCGTCAATTTGACGTCGATCCTTGTTTATGATGGTGCATTCACCGGGAATTTGTAATGCTATTATGAGCTGGAATATGGCCATATAAGGGGCCTTCTTCCCGGCCGGATGTTGTTCTAGCACAGAGTATCTACCATTGACTCAGCCTATCCCAATTGACGCATACTACACAAAATGTCGACCACGTTCAAGCTCAACACTGGTGCACAAATCCCCGCCGTTGGCTTTGGAACCTGGCAGGACGCAGAGGCACAGGAGCAAGCTGTGCTTGAAGCCATCAAGGCGGGCTATCGCCACATTGACACTGCCAGAATGTGAGTTCGCATGCTCGACTCATCGAATCAAATCGGTACGCTGACATGATGCTGCAGTTATGGAACAGAAGAGGCCGTAGGAAAGGCTATCAAGAAGTCTGGAGTGCCCCGTGACCAGCTTTTCATCACCACCAAGCTCTGGAACAACAAGCACCACCCCGACGACGTAGCGCAGGCGCTTCAGGACTCGTTGAACGACCTCGACTTGGATTATGTCGATCTGTTCTTGATGCATTGGCCCGTGGCCTTTAAGAGAGGAACCGAGAAGTTCCCCAAGAATGAGAGTGGCAAGCCAGCTGTGGAGGACATTGACTATGTCGATGTATGTAGCTCATCTCCATGCACAACACCAGCTACGCCAGATGAATGCGCTAACTTACCATCTCTGGTAGACATACAAAGCCATGGAGAAGCTCCTTTCAACCGGAAAGGTGAAAGCCATTGGCGTCTCCAACTTCTCTAAGGCAGAGATGGAACATCTCCTCAAGGAGACCTCCGTCGTTCCTGCAGTCCACCAGCTTGAAAGCCACCCATGGCTACAACAGCGTAGCTTCGCCGACTGGCACAAGTCCAAAGGAATTCATGTCACCCACTACTCCCCCTTCGGAAACCAGAACGAGCTATACTCTCGCGAGGGCACAATTGGCAAGTTGATCGATGACCCCGTGCTGGTCGAGATTGGCAAGAAGTACAACAAGAGCTCTGCCCAAGTAGCACTTGGTATGTCACCATCAGCTGTCTTCGCGAAGAAAGAAGCTAACAATCTGTAGCCTGGGGTATCAACGAAGGACACTCAGTACTTCCCAAGTCGAAGACTCCGTCTCGCATCAAGGACAACCTCCAAGGCGACTTCAAGCTAGACGCCGAGGATCTACAGAAGATCCGGGGCATTGATCGCAAGCTCCGCTTCAACGACAGCAGCGCCGACTTTGGCCGAGAATTCTTCGGCGACTTGGACGGCAAGCAGAAATAAATTGAAACCGCGCAGCTTACATGTCTAATAATTCTAAATGAGGAAATGAATTGCAATGAATACGATATTACTCACATGCCCGCTCTAACCCCACACGAACTTCGTGTTCATCATCCCCCGTAAATATAGTGTAGATCAGCGGTAGCACGCCTTAAAACGGTGGTAAAATTAAAGTTCAATGAACAATGCCGTACCACTATCCCGGTGATTTGGTCAGAAATGCCTTACCTCGTAGCCTTTGCTGTTCTCATCTGGTCGGGTCACCTGCCATACATATAGTTACATACGAGGTACTATCCGGACCACCCAAGTAGCTATGCTTCTCACTCCGCAATTATATCATCCCAACATACCCAATCATCCAGCTCCCTTATATATAGCAATACCAATCGCAACAGACATCAAATATAATACTATACTACCAAGCGACAATGACGCCTTCTAAATCAGAGGATACCCCTCCCCCCGCAGCCCATCATCATCGACTCTCATACCAACAATTCTCCAAGCGCCTGATCCTCTCTTACATACTCGACTGGACCCTCATTATGTATGTCCTCCATACTCTAGACAAACCCCAACAAACTAGGCACTACTCACTAATAAAATTTCAGCGGAGTCGCTCTCATCGGCTTTGGCTTCTCCCAAACCACCCCCAACCACCGACCCTTCTCCCTCACCGACCCAAGCATCTCCTTCCCCCACAGGGAAAAAGATACCGTCTCAACAGGCGTGCTAGCCGTGGTAGCGATAATAGCTCCAGCTGTGATTATCATCTTCGTCTCCTTTCTCTTCATCAATCTGAATACTACCACCATTGCCGGCACTAGTGGTCGAAACGCACGAAAAGAGATACTAAGACGGAAACTGATGGTAAAGCTCTGGGAATGGAATGCAGGATGGATGGGCTTAGGAGTCGCCCTTGCGGGAACGTTCATGGCTACGGAGGGACTAAAGGATCTATATGGGAAGCCGAGGCCGGATATGCTGGCCAGGTGTGACCCGGATATATCTGCGATTAACGAGTATGCGGTTTCGGGGTTGGGAAGGAGACTTGCGGGTGCGCCTACGATGGTGACGTGGGAGATATGTCGGAATAAGGGGGATGAGACGTTGAAGGTGGATGGGTTTGCTAGTTTTCCGAGTGGGCATTCTTCGAGTGAGTTTATCTATGTCCAGGGAGATGAGAGTGGTGGGATGGATCTGACATGGGGACTATCTAGTTTCGTTCGCGGGATTGATGTATCTCGCTCTTTGGCTAAGTGCTAAATTCTCCATTGGGTTCCCATTCCTGGCCTATTCGCCGCTCGGCCATGATCTGGGAAGACAGGACCGTGGAAAGATTCGAAACCAGGGTGCCGCTCCTCCTGTCTATATGCTCATCATTACACTAGTGCCCATCGCTGTGGCCTTCTTCATATCTGCATCGCGTTGGTTCGACTATCGTCATCATGGTTTCGATATCATATTCGGATCGGTCATGGGAATGGTCTTCGCGTATATTGGCTTCCGATTGTATCAGCTTCCCATCATTCGTGGTGCGGGCTGGTCGTGGGGAGCTAGAAGTCGCGAACATGCGTTCTTCATGGGCGTTGGACTCCCCAGCCACGTTTCTACCGACAGCTGGGTTTCGATGAGCGACAAACGAGATGCCGTAGAGAGCAGCTCGCATAACGTTGATCTGGAAAGTGGTCGACAGAGCGCGACTGAGCGATGAGAACAGTATCCCTTCGCACTGCGGTTAACCTGCCATTACATTCCCCAGCTTGTCGGCTTAAGTAGCCTTTGCATCCTTTCTCCCTCTCTACCGCGTCCAGTGGTATCAGATATGCAAATCATGGGCTAGCATGGTGCCATAGCCGAGGCGTGACTTCAAATTGAAGCCATCACCTCCATCAAGCTGCCAAGTCAACATAAATATCACCTCCACCCTCCAACCCTCCCCTCATCCCACCTAGCTTTGGCCTCTCTCCTAGCCGCCAACTTGGCAGATTCCGCTCTGACCCGTCTAATCCAATCGCCGACCTCCTTTTCAGTGGCCCGTCCATGATGTTCCTCCTCCAGGAAGCTCTCCTCCACTGCCTGACACACCGCCTCCTGCTCAGCAATCGAAGCAGCAAGCCGCTGATACAAAGCCTTAGGCGACCACGGCGCCAGCGCAGCATCCATCTCAGACTGCTTTTTCCGCCAGGACACCTCGAGCGACTGATGAGTCAGAAGAAGGGTTTCTGTAGAAGAGCGTAGTTCCCCAACATGTGTCTGCAGTTCCAGCAAACGGTTCACAAGGTCCTTATTATATTTAAGAAGCGTCTGTAGGTTTTCCTGATGCGCCGTATACGAAGGATGGTTACTGGAGAGTGCGGAGATGAGATTAGGATCTTGAAGGATAGTCTGAAGGTCGACAGTCCTGCGACCACATAAACATGTACCAGTTAGCCCGTATCCCAACACCGAATTAAACAGATAATCAGCAAGGAATATGAATAAAACGTACGATTTCTCCTTCACACCAGCAGGCAGCCAGCCCTCCTCCACCGTCGGCGGCTTAGGCAGCGCATTCAGCGAGGCAGCGGGGTTGAACATTCCCGGGGAAGAAGAGTATCTCTGTCCCTGCATATTCAAGCGGTCCTGTGCATATTGTCCTTCCTGGTACTGTTGTGGTGTTCCTGAATGCGATGGCGTGCCCCTTCGGCTGGCTTCGTGGCTGCTGGGTTTCGGAGGAGGCGGGGGAGGAGTGTCCGGGTTAAGTGCTGGGTTCATGGCGAATGAAGGGACGTTCAGGAGGTAAGCTGACAGCTGAAAAGTACCTGAATAGGTGGGCAGACAGACTGAGGACAGGCAGCAATTGGAGGGATTGGTCGAAGCCAAGAGCAGCACTTGCTGTGACGCCCGAAATGCGGGGAAGGCCGATCATCACGTGAGTGGGTGGGTTATGGGTAGCAGGTGTTTACGAAGCTACAGCTAGAGGACTAGAAACTTGACTGTAGGGATTGTAAACGGATTAAGGTATTATTCTTGGTCACATAAGGTAGTATGCTGCCGCTTTCAGCTGCCTGTCATGCTCTGTTCGCGTGCGTTGGGCGCATGTGTAGGGCCCTTGTTCATGGAGTGCCGCCTGATTGAGGCACCATTTCTCCATGTACCAGGTTATCAGTCAGAAGGCCCTGTCTCCTGCAATGCTCGAGACCACATAGGGTGCGGCATTGCAGTATGATAAGATTGTTCAATCTGCAGGTCCAAAGGCCCTAGGCGCGAATTGATGCGAGACGTAAACGGCCTCTCCGGAACACCTCCGACATCCCTAAGCAGGAAAATGGGTATCCACTACTGCCAGAGGGCTGCAGAATACTGGCAATCTGCTGTATGATTCTCCTTAATCCGTCCTGCGCCGCACATCCCGCTCCTGAGTGTTAATGCCGGACCCCGAAATAGCATCCATGACCAACTGGCGCAGCTGATTCTGCGTAGCTTCGCTGTGGAAATCCCCCCGCGCCGCAAGCTCATCGATGCGCCGCTTGAACTCCGGGTCGACCTCATCCATTCCTGCACTCGCCTCCTGTTCCGACACCGTGCCCAGGTTCATCTGGATATTCGGGGGAAGCGGAGGGGCCGGGTTTAGTGCGTCGTTAGCCGAGTCAGCGGCAGGTTCTGGCACACCGGCGACTTGCCGCAGGTAAGCAGCGATTTGCGGGAACGAGCCATCGCTCTCGATAGTCTCATAGGCTGCGAGGCCCTCGTCGTTTCTCTTGTTGTAGTCCACGCCCAATTCCTCAACAAGGCACTTCGCAATGTCGAGGCTTTCCGTCACAAACAGGCAGGTTTCACCGTCCTCGTCGAGCAGGTTGACGTCCACGTTGTAGTCCTTGACAAGGGCGCGTAGCAGGTCGATGTGTCCGTATGAAGCCGCAGCATGGAGTAATGAATATCCGTGCTCGTCCTGGTTCGAGGCGATGGAGGGGTTGGACTGCAACAGAGTCAGGACGGCGCCCGGGTTGTCGGCGGCCAGAACGTAAGGGTTGGGTTGAGTCATAGTGACGGTTTCACTAGTCTGAGGGAGAAAATGAGTCAGTCCTGATACTGTATGGAGGCTTAGGCAAGTAGCGCCATACCTTGAGTCACACAATAATCTCCGATGAAGTGGTAATGGGCAAGTGAAGGCAGGACGTGTTCAGTGAATCGAGATGGGCGGATGAAAGTGGCGCGGGCGGAAAAAAGCGCTTTTTCAAAAGGATCGCTGCCCCGCATCATCGATAAGAAACTCCTACTTTTGGACCCCGAACGAGGCTGACGGTGACTCAACTTTCCCCAGTCATTTCTCGTCGCGCAAGGCTGTATCTTAGCTTGGGATAAGCTTCTGCTTGGGAAGATCGAGCTTGCCTTGTTAAAATCTAGGCGCAATTACTCCCTGGCCTTGTCGACAACACACCGCGCGTGCCTTCTGCCCCCCCACCTCCTCCCGCATCCCGACCTTTTCTCTTCTTTCCGGTGCAACGCACAAATATCAGTAATTGCTTGGACTCGATACGCGCGGATTTGACGGATCGCAATGGTGCAGCAGGACGAGCGGGAAGTCGCCGAGCTGGTCACCAGCCTGGAGGCTGCCAGCAGGAAAGGCACAGCTCATGGGAAGAAGTCGGGGTTCAAGTGCAAGAAATCTACCTTCGACGTTGAAAAAGCAGACAAAATCCAGGTGCATTCGTGGAAGTTCATGGACTGGGATTATAAACGCGACGATCTGCCGACCTATGCGCGAGGGCTGTTTACCACTCAGAGGAAGGATGGCACCCAGGAGATTGCGGTTCGCGGATACGACAAGTTCTTCAACGTGGACGAGGTGAATGACACAAAGTGGAGGAACATCGAGATGAATACTAGGGGTCCCTACGAGCTCAGTGTGAAGGAGAACGGATGTATCATTTTCATTTCTGGTCTTGAGGATGGCACCTTGTTGGTCTGCAGCAAGCATTCCACGGGTGTTCGGTCTGATACAAACCTCAGCCATGCTCAAGCTGGTGAACGCTGGGTCGAGCGACATGTCAGTTCTGTTGGAAGAAATGTAAAGGACTTGGCACGAGAGCTTCGCAGACTCAATGTCACCGCAGTAGGCGAGCTCTGTGACGACACCTTCGAGGAGCATGTCCTTGCTTACGACGAAAGCGCTTCGGGCATCTATCTGCATGGACTCAACTTCAACGTGCCCCAATTTGCCACGCAGCCTAGCTCGGAGGTACACAAGTTTGCGGATGCATGGGGATTTAAGAAGGCCAACTTTGTCGTGTATGAAGACCTCGACCAGGTCAAGAAATTCCTCGACAATTGCGCCGAAACAGGCACCTGGGATGGCCGGGAGACCGAGGGGTTTGTGGTCCGATGCCACATGGGCGATAGGGGACGTCCCCCCTACCGGGATTGGTTCTTCAAGTACAAGTTCGAAGAGCCCTACTTGATGTACAGGCAATGGCGGGAGTGCACGAAGGCAGTCATTGCAGGAAAGGTTCCTAACATCAAGAAGCACAAGAAGATCACTGAGGAGTATCTCCATTACGCGCGAAGACAGCTCGCTAAAACCCCTGGTCTCGCACAACAGTACCAGCAAAACCACGGCATCATTTCTTTGAGAGAGGGTTTCTTGCAAGAGAGAGGCCTCAACGGATCTGAGATCATCCAAATGGAGTCTGACGAAGCCGGCGATGTGACGCACGACGTAATTCTTGTCCCCGTTGCTTCCCTGGGCTGCGGCAAGACGACAGTGGCTTTGGCTCTTTGCAAATTGTTTGGATGGGGACAGGTCCAGAACGATAACATTCCGAAACAGAAGAACAAGCCAAAGAAATTCTCCTTGGACATTACAAACCTCCTTGCCCAACATCCTGTGGTGATAGCAGACCGGAACAACCACATGCGACGCGAACGGCAGCAACTTATAGACGATGTGTCGGTTGTAATTTCCAAAGCTCGCTATGTCGCACTCCAGTACGTCCACGAACCTAAAGGACAATTACTTCCTGGCATCCGTGAGGTAACGCGGAGACGAGTCCTTGACCGTGGAGACAACCACCAGACCATCCGGGCGGGAAGCAAGAATCCGGAGGAGGTCATCGGAATCATGGAAGGTTTCCTGAACCGGTTCGAGGCTGTTGACACCGACCGTGAGCCAGACTGCTACTTCGACCAAGTAATTGACCTGGATGTTGGTGCTTCTTCGCGGGAGAATCTGGAGACAGTGGTGAAAGCGTTACATTCATTCTATCCCAAGCTCGTGAAAGAAGTTCCGACAGCAGAGCAACTGGATGACGCCATCTACTGGTCGATGAACGAATACCAAGTGCAGCTGGATTGGAGCCATCAATACGGATCCCAGAAACCGAAGAACAAGAACAAGAACCAGAATCAGAACCCCGGCAGCCCTGCACCCACAGCCGGCCCCACCCCCGAAGACCTGGCCAAGAAGATCGAGTATTTCAACATCTCCCTACCCGCTGCAGAGGTGAAAAATATCCTCGAGTCTTTGTTCCCTCCGTCTACATCCCCCGAAAAAGCACGTCTCTACAGACAGCTCATCAACAGCAGACGCGTGCAGCCCGCCTTCCATGTGACGTTGATCCACCGCGCCTCGAAAAAAGAACATCCCGGTATCTGGGACGAATACGTCCGCCAGTACATCGAGAAGATGAAGAGCAAGCCCGAGTCTGATCCCACCATCACCCCAACGTTGGCTCCGGCTCGCGTACGTCTTGAGCGTCTTATATGGGACAACCGTCTCATGGCATTTGTAGCACGGATATTCCCCCCAGATGATCAGAACCTGGCAGAATGGCCGTGCGCAAACGAAATACCCCATGTCACTGTGGGAACTGCGTCTCCCGATGTGAAGCCCAAAGAGAGCAACGATCTGTTGAAGTGGTGGCATGAAGTTGGCTCGGGAGGAGAAACAGGGCTTTGGGAAGCCGAGATCCCAGGCGTGAAGGTCGTACAGGGAACAGTAGGTGTGGTGATGAGTCGAGGCAAATAAGTTAATGACTGATGACGACGAGTCATGAGTGATGATTGCAAAGGAAAAGTACATAGTTAGTTACCATAGACATGAAAGTCGCCTAGTTTGGCACCATGCAAGTGTTCTCGCTCTATTGTAAAAGACATTGTTTCAAGTAAAAGTAGTGACAGACAATCGCAGAGGGGTGGTCAAAAGCAGACAAACAATCAAGGGCTATTTAAATAGTCATGATTTTCCCTTCACACTTGAATCATCTTAGATGACTGTAGTTTCACTTGATTTGATTGTCTTGTGGAATCCTGGGAGACCGAAAGTTATAGTTCGCTTCGATATATTCTTTTCATGAGACGTTCATCGCCCCGTTCGCTCCGAGTAGCCAGCGACATATCGCTTTGGCCTACACTTCGCAACAACTGCGCTGCATTTGGACTTTTCTTGTGACAAAGGCAGATCTCTAGAATCTGGTCATGTCCTGCCTTCTAACCTTTTGAACTTAAGTACTTGGTCAATACTCAAATTGCTTTCTCAAATGATGTATTCACTCTAAATGGCTTTTCCATTTCCATGAAGAAATTTATATTCGAATATAGACAGACAACTGTAACTATATGCAACCAATCTGTCTTTATGTGATATTGTACTCACAACTCAAGATATCTAGTATTCTAAATTCTTGCACGCACTGCACTGCACTGCACTGCACTTACTTGCCCCATTAACTGCATAAACAAGGGGAGGAAGATGAAGAGCCAGGCGACCGTGAATGTCCCTACATAGTATGTGAATCTTCAGACACATTCACAGTAGCCAGACACCTATAAAATTGTTGAGACGCACCCCTCTCTTCCTTTTTACTTCATCATCTTGTGGCTCTGGAGAAGAACTGAAGAGCAGACGGAGAGGTATGTCTCAACGAATATTATAATATTCTATACGCATCACGGGCCAAGCAACAACACGCTGGAAAGCGTATCGTGAAGAGGACCCGGGGATTCCGCTCGTTGCCAAAGATTCCTGGGCAATACATGGAGCGCAACGAAGGAGGCAGTCTTCACCATCATCATGAAGCTAGTTACCAGCGCCCGCAGCTGGCGGGGCCCTCACCTTTGGGTAAAAGACCTGCCATGAAGACCTGTTCTAACATGGCCGGGGATGACCGTGTCAAAAGAGGAGAAGAAAGTATCATTCAGGATGCTTTTCATAAGGACTGCTTTGTCGCATGGTTCCATTCGATCTGCGAAGAAACAGGCCTCTCCTGTACGCCAGACGTGCTCAATAACCTTCCGTGGAAAGGTAAAGAGATGCATGTTATGTTCTGAGGGATTCCCAATTTCTAAATTATTGTGCAGATATCCAAAGCCTCACACTTCAACTTTTGTTGGCCCTAGAACATTCTGCGATGTGCGATTTAACGCCGAGATATAGCCGTGCGACTGCCCTGAACGACATCCAGAAATTGAAGTCTGCAGTTCTTTCCGAAACAATTGACCCCTCCCGTTTACGGCCTCTTCTGACTTCAGCTATCGCTTGTACGCCAGATAGCGATATATGGGAATGCCTTCATGGCGCAGTCCCTGGATACACCACTCCTCGACAAGAAATTGCCTCCCCCAGCCAACAAACCCCATGGAGCTACAATACGAGTAGCCTCGCAAACTCCTCCGAATTCCGCCAAGATATTGATCGTGTCCTCGAGGCTGAGCTTGGAGCTCTGTATGTTGGACTCCCGCACTTTCACTCAACATTCTTTGGAGGCGTCAGTGGTCTCCAAGCAGCATCCCATGCCGTATTTAAAATATGCACCGAAGGCAAAGATGCGCTTTTTGCTGCTGATGGGTGGAAAGACTGGCCAAAAGTTGCAAAGCAAGAAGATGTATTGACATGGTTTGCAGATATAACCGAAAAACTTGCTGAACTCTCCAAAGACTATCGTCCAGAGTCAGCACAGCTACGAAGGCCACTAGCCCAGCCTAACAAGCCTATCCAAGGCTCTACAGCAGAGCGTAAGCTGGACATTGGCTTCGTTAGTGACATAAATGCAGGAAAGGACACCAGGTGTCAATGGTCAGACATCCTCGTGCCTGGAGAGCTGAAGAGGAATCCAGCAGCCGACACCGCTTCAAAGGCATGGCTTGATTTGGGGAGGTATGTTAGAGAAGTCCTTCTGGCTCAAGATACCCGCCGCTTTGTTTTGGGATTTACCCTATGTGGCTCCCTCATGAGGATATGGGCCTTTGATCGTCTTGGGGGAGTCGCATCGGAACAGTTCGACATTAATAAGGACGGTCTCCAATTTGTGTTCATCATTCTCGGCTTTCTATGGATGAGTGATGAGCAATATGGATTTGACCCTACGATCATCACGAAAGAAGATGGTCGGCGTTGCATCGAGATCGAACAGAGCGGCCAAGTGCAGCTTCTCGTCCTTAAAAGACTGATCAAACGGGCACCCTGTATCGCAGGTCGAGCAACAACATGTTGGGAAGCGTATTGTGAAAACGAACCCGGGGTTCCACTCGTTGTCAAGGACTCCTGGCAATATACGGAGCGGGACGACGAGGGTGATCTACTTCAAGAGGCTACCAGTACTGGGGTGATCAACGTTGCACGGCACTATTACCACAACACTGTTTGCGTTCGCGGGAAGACTGACGACATTCGGGATAACGTTCGGGGCGGGTTGGATATCAGGACTGCGAGCAATTATTGTCTAGAGCGACTGGCACCACCTTCGGCCGACACCAGCGTAGCTGATGCCTCGCGAGAGAGTCGGTCCGCCGGTAGACCAGGCGTAAAGCGAACTCCTAGCCAAACAGATGCCTCCATGCCGCCTAGCAAGCGAGTACGATCTTCGAAGGCACCCGGCAGTCCACATAAACTACCGAATCGGGTCCACCGCCGTATCGTCTTGCGCGATTATGGTGAACCGATTTACAAGGCAAGCACTCATGAAAGCCTGCTCGCCGCGTTAGAGGGATGCATTACAGGGCATCAGTCTTTGCACGAGGTAGGGATCCTTCACCGAGACATCTCAGCCAGTAACCTCATGGTCAACGAAGATGTGAATAACCCGTCCTGGCCGGCTTTCTTGATTGATCTTGATCTGGCCATCCGAGAGGAAAGAGATGGCGCCTCGGGTGCAAATTCCAAGACTGGTACGAGGGCTTCATGGCAATCGGCTCGCTTCTCGGTGAGAAGCATTCTTTCATGCATGACCTTGAATCATTCTTCTGGGTCATCTTCTGGATATGCATCCACTATGAAGGCCCGGGGAAAGGAAGAGTTGTTGCCAGGTTTGACAAATGGAACTTTGCCGACACATCTGATTTGGCTTTTCTGAAACAAGGCTTCGTACTTAAAGAAGCGAATTTTCTGCGGATGGCGGATGAGTACTTCACACAGTACTACAAGGCCCTCATTCCATGCGTCAACGCTTTGCGTAAGGCGGTCTTCCCCAATGGAATTGCATGGACGGTGGAATATATAGGCTTGTATGATCAGATGAAAGAGATTCTGCGGGCAGCCCGGGAGGATGGAAACAAGATGCTATGTTAAAAGCAGCAGTTCTGCCAAGTGGGCCAAAACAATATGTTCATGCTGGCTAGTAGCAGTCGGAGTAGGCGGGAAGACAAATGTCTTAACAGAATATACTATCAACTGCCTCCGGGAGACCAAAGGATGGTTTTAAAAGCAAAGATAAAACAAAATAAGAAGTAATAGATCATCACATTCTTGCAAAAGGGGAGCAAGCTAGCAGGGCGTTCTTAGTTACCTGTAACAACGTCAAGTTAGTAGTTCTTGTATGATGCTGCTAGTCAATTTTACAGATGCAAGGAAATCAGAAAACACAAGATGGGGAAGTTGCTGATATATAATTTGGGGTTGTCTGTACATACTAGTAGTAGGAGTAATTGTTAAGGAGATGTTGGAAAGAGAAAGAAAAGGGAGAGACAGGTGTGGGGGAGGTGAGCGGCATGCCAGGGATTGAGTCGAACTAAGTAGTGCCGTGACTTGCTACTTAGGGGACATGAACAAGTCAACATGGTACCAGAAATATTCTGATTGTTGGAGCAATAAAATATCGATCATATCTCTCGAGCTGCTTGTGAAGGATGCAACTAAGCAGTACCAATAAATTGAATCACATGCAAGACCAACCTATGGAGACCCGCTCCCCACCTATATATCAACGATTCTTTTCGGCTTCCCAGGAATCAACAAATAGCTGTGATTGCCCGTTTTGACAAATTGCGACAAGATACGCGCCTGCTGCACGCCTGTAGATGTTGCAATAAGATCGAGTATCTGCATAATCCAGTCCTTCGTCTGAGGCGAGACACCCGCACAGTCAGAGGCAAGGTACAAAGGCCATGGCAATCGCGCGACGGCCCCAAGGGCGGCTTCACCTGAAGTGAAGAAATAAGGAACGCTAGCGCAGATATCCTCTGCTAATTGTTTATTGATAGAGATGGACTGGTGCATGATTTGCGGTGAATCAGGAGTTGCTTGATGGAGACACATTGCTTGGATCATCTCGTGGAGAATGATCCGCGCTTGGCGATAGTGGTTCCAGTACACTGCGTTGTCGATGCTCGGATATACGTGATATTCCGTGTCGTGGCTACGGACGTGTGAGAATGGCAGTGGGGTGCTGGTCGTTGAATACTGCCAGGTTGGGCTTAGGGAAGTCGCCCATGAGACTAAGTCGGCGTCAAGGTCGAGAGCTTCCTTGATTAACGGTGCGATATTTCCGCGGAAGCCAGTGTTGTTATAGGTCTCCTTTACTTTTATGGAGTGGTCGTTGAATGTGACTAAAATGTTGTAAAAGTCTTCGACTGTCTGAGCATCAGCATCACCAACGGATTTTGCATATTTTGACAATGCAGCTATCGTTGGCGAGCGATGACAGCTCGTCCTGAAGAATATGTTGATCATAGCCTGATAATGACATGTTAGCACTCCAAGATTGGCGCCTATGATATAGTTGGGGGTATAGCTAACAATCTGTAGGCGTGTGCTGCTGAAGAGGCGCCGCCCAGCCGCTGATTCGAATTGCTTCGTTCCTCGTAACTCAAGAAGCTTCAACGCTCCTCGGGCGTGATTTAGCCAAGCGGCCATCATCTGTGATTGGCCCGAAATAATCTGTTTTTCCAGGAATTAACAACCCAACCTTAATCACACATCTAAATCAGACGCATTACCTCGTACATACTCAGCGTGACCACGGCCCCCAAAGTGGAGTCAGAAGTAGCTGATACTGCATCCTGAAGACTCGTATTAGTGGCCCGCAAGGCCTTGCTGTACTCCTCCGCAGCCGATCGCGCCAGTTCAGGCAGGTGGTAGACCCTCGACATGCATGCCAGCCCTATGGCTTTCATGGTGGCTTGAAGTGCATCCGAGGGGCCCGTGCGCAGCAAATCCGGCAAGTAGCAGAGGATGCCGGGGTTCTGACTAGTGCCGACATAATACTTGAAGATGTGAGACATGGCTTGCTCTTGAATGTTGGTGGGCCCTGCAATCAACGGCGGTGTCTTCGACTTCTCTGCAGTGGGGGATCGAGCCGCCTTGCGGGTACTGGCAGCCCGGGCCAAGGCCTTGGTGGTTACAGCGGCCGTCTGATTGTAGACGCGAAGGGCTTGGGGGTCTTGGTATCCGGGGCATTCTTGACCTATCCGCAGACATTGGGAGCATGCAGGTCTCTCCTGGTCGCACTACTATAGGGTCAACAGCCTATCATCTAGGCGTGAAGGTGCATCGACGTACTTTTAGGCGCCGTTTCCGGCATAAAGCACAACCTGGACTGGGCTTTCCCCTGTAAACCATGGTCACCTGAAAGGGGTATGTGGTTCGGAAGGTGGACTTAACCTTTCAGATTATCCCCGCTTTATAAGGCCCATGCTGAGTGGTCGGGATCGGAGCTTGTTACGCAAAGGAGACTAGAAGCAGAGCATCCCGTCTTCAGCCTCGCTTCAGCCGCGATTTGGCATCAAGGCCAGATCGGTTCCACTGAGCCTCCACAGCTGGACAGAGCATGGACTCCAATCAGATAGCCGTACATAGGTGTCAAATTGAGCTTAGGGATATTGGTGCCTGGCTCCAAGAAGCTTGTTTATTAACGGATGTGGTGTAGATCGGCATTGAGGAATATTGACCTCCGTTATGACGAGTATCTTTGTTGTAGCGATCCTTCATTGATATTTCGGCGGGTGTGAGGTGATGTCGAGCCTAACCCAATGCAGTAACCAGTTCGGCACTTACGGTGGATCACAGAATAGCGTTGAGGCCAGAATGGCACTGATTGCTATTCAAATTATGAAATGTGTCGTTATCCAGCACCACACATGTGCAAGGGAAATAGTTTCCGTGTTTTCACGTCTCTTGTTGTGGCCGAAGCGGTACACTGCTAGTCGCTCCTTTCCGGGTAAAAGGTCTTCCATTCGACATAAATGGCTATCTTTTCGCCATTCAGGCAGTTCAACTTCAACTAGGCGGGCAGTCGGCATAGGCTGTGCGACTTTCAGTTTATTTTGAGTGATTTGAGTGTTGTTCCAGAATTGTTCTTGATCGGACCCTAGCTCCGTGCAGCAGCTCAGAACTTCTGCTGAGTACCGCTTCATTCTATAGTCCTCAACCGTAGATTGATCCATCGCTCATACCCGGTTGCCTGGATGATAGAAAGGTTTATCGAAAGAAAAAGCAAGCATTTGAAGAGATGTAGGATGGCTTCATGAAATAAGAGACTGTAGATTGATTGTTGTGAAAGTCGTGGAGAACCAGCGGATATGACGACCTTCCGATGAGTTTAAGATCAAAGAGACGGCCTGAAAACAGAATGAAAGCTTATGCAAAGCTCCTATCCTTTTGAGATCGAGGGTTTGGTGGAGGGTTCCGGCAACCTCCGTAATATCAGGAGCGCCAATTTCGAAATCCGAATGAAATACGCGGGGGAGCACATCTCATTTAACATGGTCAAGACCTTTCTTCAACTACTAGTCCTGGTTATGACTGATCTCCTAGCGTCTGCACCCCTCCGGATTAGGATTTGTGCTCGCGATGGCCGACACGATGGGAACCTCACAATATTGTTTCGCGGTTCATGAAGAAAGCGAACGGTTCCAGAGGAGGAGTATAGCGACCGGAGATGCAAGTAATTCAGCTCTGGCATCGCCGTAGACAGAAGTCTAAATAGACCGTCAAAGTTACCGTCAAGATATATGGACGTCAAGTCCAAATGCACCAGCTGAGTAAGCTGACGGAAAAAAGTCATGAGCGTAGCCTCGGACATTCGAATATCGGACAAAGTACACTTCTTCAAGCCCTGAAATTGGCAAGATGCTACTACTCGTTCGAAGAAGTATAACTCCTCCCTCACTCCTGCCGTCTCCTCGAAGTCATCATACTCCCACACCAGGTGCAATTCCTCAAGAGTAGGACAAAGGTTCAGAAGATGTGGGAGTGATCGGGTGTTCTCCCGGGCTTCTTCGTAGCTCGGCGGTAACTCGAACAAGTTATCTGGCCTTAAAGGGGATTCCCGGGGCCTAATGTAATCTAGGTTATGTATGTAGTGCGCCAAGCTTAAGCCTATCTTCTTGCATGGTTGGAATGCTGTCGCCAGCCTGGTTAAGTCCGCCGTGCTGCCGCCGAATAAAGCGTCCGGGATCTCGCTGAAAGGAAAGCTACAACGCCCCCCATAAGTGTGAGAATAGCCTTCTGCAAACGCATTAAATGCCCGAATCGGCAGCCCAGAGCGCCTCAGAGCTGACATTGTCACTTGAAACACTGTATCGGCGGCAGCCTTTAGATATCCGTCCCCAAAAACCTTGAGAGTAATCGATAAAGGCTCATTGTGCGGTGAGTCATTACGTATGTTCTGAAATGCTTGCGCCAGTAACTCAAATACTTTGGGGCTAGCGGGGGGCACTTCAGCATGAAGAGCAATAGATGCAAACAAAGTGAGATCCTGGACCCAAAGACCGAATCGTCCTGGCTGGGTAACGCTAACAAACTGCTCGAGCGGAGCCTCCGCGATTTCCAACTTCTTGGAAAGGAAATACTTCCGAAATGCAGCCTTAGACGACTTGACAGAGACGGAGCGTCCAGTCAGACGCAGAGCACAGTGATCGTGGAAGTCAAGCCAAGCCACAATTTCCTCGACCAACTCCACCGGAAGGCTTTCAAGAGTCAGCGACGCCATGGCCGGAGAACTGGCTGGCATCATCCATGCTCCGCCGGAGAAAGAAGAGCGTGCTAGGGGGAAGACCCTAGCAGGCACTTGGTGAGATTAAGTATGGCTCTCGAGACGTCGAACTAGTGACTCTTGGCGGGTGGTGGTAAATGTCGCTTTGGCGGAGTCATTGACGCTCGGACCTGAGATATCAAGCTTTTGCCAAACGTGGATTGGCTGGACTGTGAGACACTACCTATCGCCATTGACCGGGGGGTTTAAATGAAAAGATGGGACTGTATGGTCATATGAGGCGTGCGTCGGTTTTAGCCGCTGCCCTACTGTCAATTAGTTTGCTGCTAGGCTGCTGTCGGAAGAACTGGTTCGGTGGTCTCTGTAGCGATTATGATCTCGGTTGGTTAGTTGGGAGGAGCTCTCTGGCTATGATACGCTGGCGATATCCGAACCCTCGTCGTAGCAGCCTTAGCGTGGCAAGACCCTGAACTAGGCTATGCACTAGACAGCCTCGATATTACCTGGAGGGAATATGATAGGAACACCGTATCCCAGCACGTCCCTCTTTGGTGCCCACGATACCTGTCGCCATATATCACCCTTTTTCTCCTTTGGTTTAGCGTAGGATGTATTTGCCCATGAAATACGCCCCAGACTTTGAATCCCTACCAAATGAACCTAGTACCTAGTTTTAGCAGTAGTTATATAATGGCCGCGCATCACCTGCGCCCGAAGGCGCCGATCTTGATTACGCAGCAACCGCCAGTTCAAAATATCTGGCCCTCTGGGAAGCCGTTCCTGGTGGCTTCCATCACCAGCACGTCGAGGATTGTTCTGCTATCTTCTCGCCGCTTTATACACTCTCGCTCCAGTTGTCCACTCTGCCGTCGCTGTCGAACCTGGAGCATCCGGTCAGTTATCTCAACTAGCAAATAACCCTCCATTTCCCTGGGCATCGACCAACGAGGACTCTGGGACGTTGACACCGGTCACGAACCCGATGCAATTGGGCGATGGAAAGGAGGAGCAAGACGCCCTGCAAATGATGGCCTTTATGAACGACGCGAGCAAGACTGACTCAACCTCCACCTCAAAAGACACAATGCAAGATGACAGCACCCTGCGAGTGATGATCGTAGGTGACTCCATGTCCCAAGGAAAAGAAGGGGATTACACGTGGCGGTATCGAATCTGGGAGTGGTTCCGGGCGCAACACATCGCCGTCCAGCTGGTGGGCCCTTACACGGGGACCGCGCCGTCCGAACCGCAGGCCCACGGGGAGCACCAAACCACGCTGGGCCAGCCCAAGACCAGCGGCGGGTACGCCCCGGACGTGTCCCCAGACTTTGATCGCCACCATTTCGCCGTGTGGGGCCGCACGGCTGCCATCGACAAGGACTTGATCTTCGATGTCCTCAGCGCACATCAAGCAGACCTGATATTGTTGATGCTGGGGTTCAATGACATGGCTTGGTTCCAGAGTGATGCATCGGGCACCCTGGACAGTATCCGTACGCTGGTTATCAATGCCCGCGCCGCCAACCCAAACCTCAAGTTCGCTATCGCCAATGTTCCCCAGCGCAGCTTAATCCCGGGTCGTGAGGATATTCCGTTCAATACTAATATCTATAATGCGCTGCTACGGAATGCCATCCCAGCGTGGAGTACTGCAGATTCGCCTATTCATCTGGTCGAGCTGCAGGAGAACTACGACTGTGGGCCAGATTCATGTCCCGCTGGTTACGACGGACTGCATCCAAATGTTGTGGGCGAGTATCAGATTGCTCGTGCTTTCAGTCTCACCCTGGTGAAGGACTACGGATTTGGGGGATCGCCGTTAATCATTCCTGATAATATTCCGGAAAGACCTCCCTCATTGTCGTTCAACTTTTGAGGGAGATGTAGCAGTGTTCTCCCTGTGCGATACAGACCATTCTCATCGACCCACCTATGTATACTTGGACTCATGATTCAGTCTGCAAATTTTGAAAGTCATTATCCTAATTGGTGATCTTGTATGCGATGAACAAAACAAGCACACGAAACGGGAACATTACCACGAACCGAAGCCCTTCGGAGTACTAGTACATACATTTTTTCAGTGGAATTAAGCTTTTCGAGGATAGTTTCACGTGGGTTGTGGATGGTTCCCCTTGCATGAGTATTTTATGCTGTCCTCCTCAACTGTAGATTCCATGTGTGCAGACAAAATAGAGAGCAACGGGAAGGGAGTGCCATATCATTTGCGGTAGATGAGGGTGTTTGCAAAGTAACTACTTGGAGTACTGCCCAGGCGTTTGGCTTACTTGCTTAGCCAGACTTACCATAGATCATAAGTCATCAGCGGTTACAGTCGGGGTACTTCTTTATGACGTACTCTATCTGAGTATGGACTTGCTTTATCACTGAGGAGAGTATGTAAACACCACGATGGTAGGATACTAGACTCTACAACTCAATGATCACTAGTAATACCAGGGGTTAAAGTTGATTTATGATAGAAGAAGTCGAGGATATGAGCTTTCTGCAACATTGCGTAGAGATCCTATTTTGCTGGAGAAGTCATTAATATTAATTGTAAAGCTCACAAACGGAGGGAGCTGTTGGTGGACAAATTCATTTCGATGAGCTGTAAGTTGTAACCTCTGAAGGAATTCCTTACCAGGAAGGGCTGGGGTAACTGATCAGCTACCTTGAGGGTTATACCTATAACTTCGCATTTATCGACATTCCAACTCATCATTAATGAAGAAATCTCTACAGACTCAAAGTAGTAATAGCTATAATGCAGTTTGAATACTCACATGTGACTCTTATCGAGGTACCTACTGCGACACTGGGTAAGCTGACAGGGCTTGCAGCAAAGCAATCCGGTTATACCCTCACAGGTAAACCCCGAAGAATTCTCCCTCCACCTCTACTTATTCCCAGCGAAGATAGCCTAAGCCAACCATTAGGCAGCCTTACGCGCCAAAATTTTGACAGGAGACCAGTTATATACCGTATCCTTGCGTTCAGCGCAAAGTTCCTGTAGTTCTGCCTCATGCTTGGTCACCAGAGGTACAATATCTTCCGCGCATGTCAACTTAGTGCCGCGCAATATCTCACCGAGAGCAAGGAGATATGTGTCCGTACACTTCTGGACAAGGGATTCCTGGAATGACTCCGTCTTGGATTCTATTACATCCAGATGTGCTTCTTTCAAATCGCGAGGGAGTTTTGTTACCCAGCTGCAATAGTATCAATGAGCCTTTCTTGTTTTCACATCGAAAAACACGAAGTTGGGAAAAAAAAGAGGAGATCCTACCTGTAGTCCAGACCGACCTTCTTAAATAGACATGGTATCTGTTCTGCAAACGCAAGGGCCTTACGCCCTTTCACATATTGGTGAATGAGATCTGCCTCCTCCCACTGGATGTAGCCTCCTGGTTCTTGTATCTGTTAGATGATTCTGAGATAGATCTTGGTCGTTAAAATATAGTACTCACTCAGCAACTCTTGCAAGTGTGAAATCAGCGGCCTGGTGTTGCCATCCCGTATATTACTCGCCCACATCCGGATATGTACAACATCGTATTGGCCAACAAGTGCGGGAGGGACATCCTTGAGTGCGTCCAACAGCGCTAGATTGACATTCCCTGGCCACATATGCTTCGGAGGATATTGCTCCTCCGAGATATCGAAGCCATGCAGTTGCACGGTAGGTGGCATCGACTGGGCTAGGTCAAAGAGCCAAATCCTGTACTTTGTTAGTGTATATTCGTATGCTGGGTCCGGCATGGAACGAAACTCGAATATTATAGAAACCCGAACAGTATCGATCCATACCCTCGAGTAAGAAAAGTTAATGATCTATATTACGCATTTCCAGTGCCAACCTCCGCTGTTTTCATGTCTGTAGTGATAGAAATCTTGGGGTGAAGTGTGTATCCAGTATGGAGCTTCCATAGATGGTGCTGAGCATCCAACCTAGAGACATGTATGAGCAAGAGATTGTAACGTCAACAGGTCGCATTGAGAGCTTACCGAACTGAATCCGATAGTCCTCTTCCCAGAGGATATAGATCAGATCTAGTCATTGTGGTTGAAGTATTCTCTGGTATTGTTGAAATCCATTCGCTATAGCCGCGTGTTCGGGTATGGTAGGACTTGAAGATGGAGGGGACTGACCGGTATATATGTTCATCGCAATCCTTCATACTAGCCAGGAAAATAATGTCACGCGGGCTAATCTCATCTGTCGTCTCCAACTTTGATGACGCTCCTGAAAGGCATTGTATCACGTCAATTGTATACCATGTTTCCTTGCGTGTATGCACGCACGACGACGTCTTGGGGTTCATCTACTGGAATGATTGGCTTTGATCGTGAAGAATTACTCATCATTGTCCAACTTTCCAGGAAAAACTTTAAGGGCCTTGCGAGATTCTCCCGCAATTAGCGTTGCCCATCTCTTCAGTCTGTCTCCAAACTGGATAACATCATGCCTAGTGCCGGTACCTATGACAGAAACTACAAGAGTAGAGTTCCGAATTATAATATCAAGAACATCTCGCCTTTCCAGTGTATCATACGCCATGCTGGAAGAAATCCAAGGCTACCTCTTCCGGGCCCTGGAGCGAGGTTACACAAAATCTTAGGCCAAGCTGCTCCCTACAGATTGCAGGCTGCGGGGAAATGATCGTGACTACGTCTCTGTGTCACTGCAGACTATAATGGTTGTACTATGCATGTCTTCTAGACCAATTACCACCCACCTCTAGCTGCTTCACGTGTCCCAATGCTCGGATTACCCTGTTCCTTTCTCAAGCAGGATTGCCTGTACGACAATTTTGCCCGTGCGCTCGACATGAAAGTATGAAGAGAACCTCGTGGCCCAGCAGATTAAGTTGACGTCAATCGCAAAGTATGTTCTATTCTTCCTTGGTTGAAGGAACAATGGAGCTAATATGAACTCTATGTCACACAGCTTTAGGAATCCTGCTCCCTAGTGGCCTTTCCTGTGAGGGTTTTGTTATACTCGAGTGACGATTAGCCCGTACTCTTTCCCTATATTATCATTCTGCAGATACAACTCCTGGGATGATGATATATCATGGTTTTCGCATACCATTTCCCTGTACGAGTACTAATTGGGGCTCAGGCTTCCTCGTTTTGGACGGATAATTCGGCTGCTTTTCTGCAAAAAGCCCAATATGCTCGCAGCAAGCCAGGGATATTCTGCAAATTGATTGAGCTGCATCTGATACCAGACCATCCACGAGTTCGTTGAGCGTATTCTTCCAAGGATTTGGTGAATTAGAGGCCAATTGATCAGGTAAATTGAGAGACATGATCAAATGAACATAGCAAATGACACACTCGACAGCCCTTTAAGTCAATCCAGACCATGTGATGAAGGGGTATATGAAATCACTTCTGCCATTAAATCACATAGTTTCGCATCTCTCTGTGCGGTCTATCACAATTGCACTTCTTCCTCTTTGTATAGAGTGTCGAAGCTAGCCAACCGACTCGAACAGAAGACGAACATCTTTCTCCGGGTAAAATCTTCCCATCTACATTTTCTCCTGCAATTTGACTATCGTTCCTAACGGGTAACTGCAAGCGTGACAATAATTACCAAAGCGCAATGTCGTCTACTCAGATATCAGTTACACTCACCTCTCACTCTAGCGACTTGCTCAAACCAGTTATGTCTGTCCTGAAGAGACATGATGGATCTGAGTACTACGTCTATGAACGCAAAGACTGCTGGCATATTGGTCTTGGATCCTACAGATCCTTGATAGTTGACTCCAGCGGGGAGAACATGACAATTTCAGCGTCCGGGGAACCAAGTCGTCACTGCCTGGTGAAGAAGCCCCTATCTGATCTAGCAAGAGAATTTCTCCGTGATAATTGGAATCACACCTCCAAAGTCTGCGGGCACGTTGGATTCAACTATGCCGCTCATATCCGGGGCCTGAATTATACCCCCGGCAAATGGCCCCTACTCGCCTTGATGATACCTTGCATAGAAGTACTCATCGAGTCAGATAGAATAATAGTCACCGGGCATGACACCAAAGAGGTCCTGGAACTGTGCACACAGCTGAAAAATACATGCCGGTGCCGCAACCTACCACCTACCACTCATGATATCCAACCCGTTGACGTTAGTTATAACTCGAGCCAATACAAAACCCTAGTACAGAAAGCGTTGTCAGAAATTCAGCAGGGCCACTACACCAAGATAATTCCGTCTCGGCCAGTTAACCTCCCAGAACGTGTGGACATGCCTTCAACACTGCACAGTGGTCGACAATCTAATACCCCCTCACGCAGCTTCTCCTTCCGACATGCTGGCTACCAAGCCACTGGATTCAGTCCCGAACTAGTCATGTCCCTGGACAAAGGGGTAGTAACAACAGAGCCTCTGGCCGGCACACGCTCATGCAAAGGCACGAAGGCAGAAATCCAGAGACTTCGACATGAGCTAGAAAACGACAGCAAAGAGATCGTCGAGCACGTCATCTCCGTCAAAGAGGCCGTGCACGAAGTCAGCCAGCTTTCCGATAAGCCGGTGGTAGAGGACTTCATGTCCGTGCGAGTACGAGGGAGCGTGCAACACCTTGGTTCTCGAGTATGCGGACGTCTATCTCCAGATAAAGACATGTGGGATGCTTTCAATGTCCTCTTCCCGTCGATAACTGCGTCAGGTATTCCGAAACAGGCTGCTATTGATGCTATTTCCCGCCTTGAGTCGCAGCCTAGAGAGCTTTATTCGGGAGCTATTCTGATGATCGAAGATAATCAGTCCATGGAGGCTGCGCTTGTGCTTCGCTCTGTTTATCAGGATTCCGAGCGCCAGCGGATCCAGGCTGGTGCTGGAGTAATTGCGGAGTCGGATCCGTCCCGAGAATTGACTGAGACTTGTGAGAAACTTGCGAGTATTGCGCCTTTTGTTGTGAGGGAATCTGGTATGTAAATTTGGTGGCTATGACTGGTGACAGGATTTCCTGGGCGTCCTTTACTGATTTACTGCTCCTAGATGGTATGTTATAGATTGTCTTGTTGGACACCTTCTGATGGGTGATGCTTTTATTTCCATTATTCCCAGTATAAGAAGATAGTTCCAGCCTCGATATACGTATCGTTTCACTAAACCCTTCAAATTTCATGATAATTATCTAGAGGAACTAGCCAAACCACCTCCCATACTGATTCTGATGCATCGAAACATCCTCTCGTACATTTACCGAAACCCCTAATAATGATAATCACAGTAAAATAATAAGATCAATATGAACATAACATAGTATACTATCAGACGTACAAGACTGCCTACATATCATCCACTGCAGCTGAGCTAGTTCAATTTAATGTAGTACAACGACTAATCAGTACTCCCGAAATACCATGCCGAGTCGCATATATATATAAACGGACCATTGCTTCCCATATAGTAGATCGCAACAAGTACTAGTAGCAGCCCAAGGATGAAAATTGACGAGTGCCTATCAATAATAATCTAGTAGTACACTACCTACAACTACTCTCTAACCGTAAGCCGGTAGATACTTATTATAGACTATTGCGATAAGTGAAGCAACCAGTCCGGATAGACCTAAACCGAACCGAAAGTCCAAAACTTCTGGAGATACACATCTAATTACTTATCGTGACTTAAAGCAGTAAATATGCACTCTCTGCTTTGTTTTGATATCTCCCTCAAACTACTACGCTGGATTATCGGGCTACTCTGTGGTGGTTACTGCATAAGGATACGCAGGCAATAGAGTATTTATACTAGTAGCGTGCTAGTAGTGCTATCATCTCGTTAGGTCGGAGTAGGGAAGTTTGATGTTATTGTTCTCCTTGACTTTGCGCTTCATACCTCGTTATGGAAATGTTGGATATATGTTGCTGTCCAACGAGACATCTTTAGAGGGCTCGGAGCAAGGCGGTTCGGGTAAGGGGTCCCTTCTATTGAAGATTATAAATTCTAGGTAGACAAATCTCTTTCTTTCCAATAGCGTAGTATATAAATTACCGCTCACTTTCTTGGGGAGGTGATTGCCTGACGAACGCAAGTATCATGGCACTGGAATAATATTACACACTTGACAGCGAAGGGCACTTTCCGTTACTGTTACGGAACGTAAATCCCTACAGAAACCTCGGTTTACACCGCTGCCTATTTCTTGTGTCATCAATATAGACAGCTCAATATTTATTATACAACCTAACTATATAAAGCTAAACTCTGACTAATGTATTCGCTGTCTGGTATATATTAAGAAGGGAAAAGGTAAGAGCTGTACAAGCAAGCGTATACCGGCCGTTGAACCCATGTCTATCGTAATGACCATGCGATCAAATAAAAAGTATACAATGTATGCGCGTCCCAAGAGGAGGGGCAGGGTAGAGCAAGATAGTCCGGTCTCCGGTTGTAGCGAGGCTTCAACAGTATCAGCTGGTCATCCACGAAGTGACACGCTGAGCTCCGAATCTTCCCATAAACTGCAGTCCAGTGCTACCCATAGGGAAGTAGCTGACAAGGTACCAGAGCAGGGCAGCCAGCTGAAACACCGACGAGATGAGCGTCAACAGGGTTGAATGAAGCTAGAGAGGACAGAGACGGTTAGCGACCGGTATTCCCGCTGGTTTTCTTATGTGCACGGGCCCGACTGGGGTCTACAGTAGCGCATGCACATCCAACCTGCTACTGTTGCAGGACGATGTGAGAGATCATATCCACGACCGGGGTGGCGGTGCATTATGATGTCATTTCGTCGGCTGAAGGCTCCGAGTGTACGCGCACGCCCCAGGTATGCAAGATCCTCGAAATCGACAGGTTGGTATGCGATCGCAGAGGCGTACGCTCAGATAGTACAGGCATAGACAACATGGTCTGGCAGGGAAGATCCTGGGAAATGTAGCTAGAGCCAAACAAACAGGGGTACTTACTCCGATAGCAAAGTACAAAGTCATGGCGATCGAGCCGAAATAGGCCGCCGTGAAGGGCAGACGTGGTCCCGAGACCAGATGTTTCGCGTAGACCCAGGGTCCCATGAGGACTGCCCATGATAGGAGAAAGAGCAAGGAACCAACCGACCACCTAGTTCAAGAGGTAAAACCGGTTCGGTCAGCCACAGATTCACAAGAAGTTTCTTGGCAAACAGTATGGGTGAGGCGTGATGGGGGGTTCAGCACAGACGCTGGAATGTAGTCGGATCGGAGACGCGTGGTGCATAGTCCCCAGTGAGGAGGGCATGACAAGCACTCCACCGCCTCGTGCCTCCCTCCCCGGTGGGTGGGCGAAGTAGGGGATGTATTGGGGTTCGATGAAGATCGACGGGGAATCTGTAGAGTAACTTACAGGATGGCAAATTTGCGGGGTTTCAGCGATAGAACCGGGAATAGGAAAAAGCAAAGAAGGAAGCAAACGGCAGCACCAAGGTTGCATGCGATGAAAATGAGCATCCGATCCCATCGACTTACTGTAAAGGGAATGTATGATTAGCATTAGCCAAAAGTTAAAAGAGGAGGAGGTAGGGCGGCAAGAAGAAAAATAGAAAATGCGTAGAAGCGCAGAAAAAAAGAAAAAGAAACGAAAAATGGAAAATAGGAAAATTAAACGGTAGATGACAAAGAATAGTCCCATAGGTAGATAGAGAGTAGAGTACATCACTCAGCTTTTCCTAGGGCTTCCGTGGAACCCGGACAGATACAGGAACTGAGTCTCTGTCACCTGGACTGGGCAGTGCAGCAAATCAAGGAAGAAAGCATCTTTACGGAAAATCGGTCATGCGTTCGGAGGACTTACAGGCAAAGAAAGTATCTTCCTCCTCTCGGCGACTTGCGGCGGGTAGGGGAGCTCCTGGAGCTTCATGAGTAGGTAGTTGCAGATAGCCCTCCCCTTGACCAAATGGATTCCAAGACTGTAACCGTGAGAGGAATGGCGTATTCGACGAGTTGGTGCGGGTGGAGAGATCTGGGTCTCGTCGCGACCAACCCAAGGAGTTGACCGTATCGCGGAATGAATTGGTAGCCATGATTGCTATTCGCTTCTGTGCCGGGTCTAGTTACACCCTAGTGGAAGAGGAGCAGGGTGAAATGAAATGAAAGCAAGAGATTTGCCTTCGGACAATGTTGCTACCGGGGTTGGTGTAGAGTGCCAGTCGACCAGTGGAAAAGCGACACTGCGGTGACAAGGTGAGAAAGGCTCTGCAGGGACTATGCACGACGGAAACCAATATGTGCGTGCAGATGATCTGCAGATATCAATGATGGAGGGGGGGAGGAAGACGACGGCGAGAGAGAAACAGGCGGTGATAGGATCGAACTAAAGCGGGCCAGATGACTGTTGCGCAACCGGACTAGACTCCCGAGGAGCTTGGGCACGGGACAAACCTAGCGTCCGCTAATAGAATCTTCGGACGTTGGTGGTCCACTGGTCTCTTCTCAGAGTGAAGCTGATAAGCTTGTGATCGCCCTCTTGCCCGATTCGTAAAAGTCGTGTTATCGATAGTAACCTCTCACCAAAGGGGATTCCGCCTCCTGGAGGTAATCGGCCTATTCTTAGAGGAGGAAATTGCGAGTGCTCCTAGCAGTAGCGTAGACTGAAACAGTATCTCCGAACGGCCGATGTAACAGTTCTAATAACCCAGTGTGTCCCACGAGCAGTAAATCGGGGGTTTAGTCTCCCACCCTGGCGCAAGGAATGCAGAGATCGAATGGCCAATTACCCAGCCGGGAGAGGAGCTGCACCGGCCGGAGAATTAGAGGGAGGGTGGAGGAAGCTGCAAGATGATGACGATGACGATGACGATAATGGGAGTTGGGAGAGCGAGGATGGTAGCTGGCGTAACGCTGGGGCCACCCTAATTTCAAGACAGAGATCGGCTCTACACAGGCTGCAAGATTAGCCAGTCGTCATCTGACTTGGGAAGATGGAAGGAGGAGGTCGAGAAAAAGACGAGAGGGGAAGCCAGAGGAGGGGGGGGATGTGTGGGTGTGGGTGTGTGTGTGGGTGGGCGTTGAGCAGGTGGTCGCGATGAGTGTAGGCAGAACAAGGCACGTAGCCAGAACACCACCACCACCACCACCACTACTACCAGTCAAAGAGATGGGGAAAGGGTCGAATACGGTCACATACCAAAGCTTGCAGGAACTGATATCTCCGAGACACCAAAAGGTGATTGACAGTGGTGGTCAAAAATGGGGGAGCCTCTTTACCCACGGGTGTCGCGATAATGATCGGGGATGATTGCTTTCCAGCACCAGCACCGCCCATAATCGTCGCAGGTTGGAATGGGGGTTCGTCCCTTTCCTGCAAAGCTGGGGTGGGCTACCCAGACAACCAATCAGCAGCCTCATTGACAGAGACGGTGTCCCGGTGACGGATCTAAACCCAAAACGAGCTGGTGACCCAGCTGAGCAATCGCTCCACCAATCACTGATTGAATTAGCGCCATGGCAGGCAGGCTGGATACAATTGATTGGCTGATTTGAGACCATGGGAGAGTTTGGCCACACCGCCCATGGGGTTTATAACCGTTTGGCGCCTGTTCCGCTGACCAGGCCGGGTCCTTACCATACCGAAACATACTTACATCCCACTTAGTACTACAACTGCTAAGTCCTAACTATCGGTAGTCTACCTACTACGTTAGTACATCTTGTCGCCTAGGTCAAGACAGTGCCCACCCACTAACTACAGGCTAGTCATTTGTAGTTGGTGCCTATCTCCTAGAGAAACCACAAAAACCTGTTCAGGATTGTGGAAGTGCATTGCTCCCCTCATGGTTGGCTTCTCTGCTCGTCAAATAAGAAGCCGAGGAGCAGTGGTGAGACGAGTGGCACCCTGGAACCCCTTCCGGCTGGCTTCTTTCCTAGTCCAGTCGATCCTGGTTAGAGCAGCCGGGGATGCAGAAGCCTACTTGGACCTCAACACAATCTCCTCTTATCCATGATGAGTCTGCATTAGGATGCTTATCACGGCCGATAGCTTCTTAGTTGGGTTGCATCAGGCAACTCCAGGGAGAGACATGTTACGTACATTCGCTGCGTAAAGCTGGCTAAAGTCCAAAAAAAAAAAAAAAAAAAAAAAAAAAAAAAAAAAAAAAAAAAAAAAAAAAAAAAAAAAAAAAAAACCAGAAGCGAATGATTTACCTTTTACACACTCCCGTAGATCTTCAATATGCGAGCTTTTGTCTCTTTTAGGCGATAGTAAACTAGTGTCGACACCAAACGGACAGGTGTTGCCAGCCGGGTAATTGACTCCTTCAGAGTTTGATTGTTCCCTGTTGTTACGATAGAAGAATTCCGCTGCTCGAATTGGAAACCCCGTATATTTGCTCCCTCTACCTCTCTGATATTGAAACTTCGATCCCTGACTGGGTAAGAAGCTGTTCTGAGACGATTAGCGTCACACGTTACTGGATAGAAGATGCTTTTCTCGCCTGCATATCATACGCAGCTAGAAGCTACTGCATCCTAATAGCACCTGCACGTAGAAGAGGGTCGGCGACCAAGCATGGGGGCCGATCAGCTCTTTGCCATCGCCGACTATCAGATACATACGTAGTGAGAAACTCCCTTGCAGTAACCGTGGATATCAGCCATGCCCTCCGAACCTTGACGGGACGGGACGGGCACGATTTGCGGGAACCAATGCTATTGCTTCATTAGGCTTCCACTTCTGGTGCAGTACCGGGCTTATCTGCGATTCCGCATCCGGCAGAATCAACCGGACTTGTGGTCTGATACCGGTCATCCATTATCATCATTCCACCAGCAGCTGTATGTACGATGGTGTCATCGTTGGGAATGGCGGCACCGTGCTGCATACCACATTATTGTCCGTTGGGGGAAAGTCCACATAACGACCGGTGCAGGAATTCAGGTCAGTGGGCGCGGTTCATGGTGTAGCTGGTCGGATCGTGACATACCACCTATCGTGTCTGCGGCGCTTCGAACCAGGGTTGACAGGCTAATCTCTGCTGGTGGCTTCTTTCGGGCTATCAGGACCCTCCGATTGATTTGATGCTGCAAGGCGATTGGCAATTTACTTTGACAGCATTCCAGACGCAGCTCAATTGTTTTCCCACTCGCCGGATCATAAGGCTCCCCACATTCCTGGTGGCTTGTATTTCAAATCATCGAGCATGAAAAGCTAAAAGGCAAATGATGGAATGAATGGAATTAAATCTTGTCGCGACGCGCGGTTGAGCATCGAGAAGTACTTCTTATGGGGACTGCTCAGAACAACGCGAGAAGAATGAAGCCATTACCCCAAGAGCAGGAAAAGGGAGAAAACAACAGGAAATTAAACCAGCTCCTGCGCTGGGACGCCGTCGCATTGCACCAACCCCACCCCATAATTCAAAGTAGAGGCCTATCAGATGGCATAAGCTGGCGCACTCTTTCTCGGGAGGCGACAGGCTGCACGGTGTCACGGACCGCCTTCTGTGTCAGCCCCAACCTGGAGACGCTCGGACGCCGAGGTGTCTCTTCTGGAAGCCTGACTGCTTCTTCGTAAGGTTCCCAAGGAGGCGGTTCCATGCTCATCTTCGTACTCGACATGGACGTGCGCAAATGAGATGAGAAGAAGGGTCCTGACATGCGAAGGAAGCCGACCGTCCCAGCCTGACGATACCGTATCCCGGGTAGATGCCCCGTGTATCTCTCTCCAAAGATCATGGTGGTTGTATACCTCCTAGATACGAGCGGTATGTTTGCCTGGAGCTAAACCTAGTGCGATGGACATCGTATTGTGTTCCATGGTGAAGGCGGTGTTGTGTGCCGCTCGTTGGTCCTATTAGCGTGCAGCGATCCTGAACATGATCATCCAGAAGCATACTAAGTAGGTAGTAATAGCAGCAGTAGTAGTGATGAACAGTGGTAATTTGGACTGATATTGAAGTTGCTGAACAGGAGGAGATCGTTTCCCTCAACTTCCTTTCCACATGGTACACCACGATCATTCATCCCTTCCCCGATACCCGTCATGAAGCACTCCGGCAGAAAGCCTGGGGAAATAATAGCGATGAAAAACAAAAATTACCGATAATCTATTTTGAAACATTTAATCCATCCTTAGGAACCCCTCAGTACATTAGCAGTAGACTATGATGTCATCGTTCCCATTTCAAAATCAAAAATGGGAAAGAAAAACATGATTTTCCAAATCTCACGCTCCATGGTCATTAGTCCGCCCGTCAGGGTGAATGATCTGGTATGCTTGGGGCTTGCCCAGCCTGGCATCTGATACATTCCCGGGTGGGTTCCTAAAATCGAGGGAAAGGAAGTATAGCAGGTTGGCTGCTCCTATAGTAGGCGTCGGGTTGTAAGTCCGACGGCATTAGTGATTGATCTCTTAGTGCCCTTTTTTTTTTTTTTTTTTTTTTTTTTTTTTTTTTTTTTTTTTTTTTTTTTTTTTTTTTTTCTAATACGACGGAAGTATATGGCGCAACGAAATACTTTGTAATAGGAAGCAACCAACCAGGACCTAACCTGGGATAAGA